ACCAGTCAAAGACAAATCAAATGACTCACCAAATAGTAACTGCATGTATCAGTATTTATCCTTTAAAACTAAGCCTGTGCAGCTTCTAAGAGACAGGTACAAGATTTATGAGTGCCATGTTGAGACTTGACATTGATCAAGACTGCTTAGTCATCAGCAATCTTCTTAACTGTGTATCTAGATAAGATAAAAGACTCAAATAAGATAGCACAAGCATATATAAGCCTACTAACTCATCTAGATACTGACAAGTCCTAAATACATTGAAGAACATATGATATATGATCAAGATTGATTATATGATCTCAAAACACTTGATTAGTAAGTACTGAGTTTAGTTTATACTGGATCAATAAGTGCTGAGCACAGTTAATAAGTATAGAACTTTATAGAAACTTCTAGAAAAGGCCTAGAAGTGAATAGATTGTTCTAGAATATAGAATAAAGTTTCAGCAAGAATTTTAGTATCAAATTCAAGTTTCAATAGATAAGCTTCTATGTTTCACCTTTAGTTTATTTGTTTTATTTTAGTCTCAGTATATTTCACAATATTCTTAGTTTGTTTCAAGTAGTACACAGCCTTATTATGCTTTATATATAAATATACCCCCTTGAGGGCAGGTAGAGTTCCCAGTTCTAAATTCCAGTTACAAGTACCAAGTTCTTAGCAATCAAGTTTCTAACAATCAAGTATTCAAGTTTTACCCTAACCAAGTATTCATATCATTACCATCTTTCATCTTCTATTCTTACACTACAATCTAGTATTTAAAGTCTTGTTATTATATATTACTATCATATCCAATCTCAATCAAATTCTTTTACTCCATTTTACTCTTATGAATTCTTAAGCAACTTAGCTTAAAATTTACTGAACTTTGATCTTGCATATCCTCTTGCAATATAAACTAGTTAGGTTAACTTGCTAGTCAGACTTGAAGGTAAATCCAACTCCACCCTAAATGAACAACAGGGACATCCTGGTATAATGTCTTATCTAGAATCTTCTCTACAGGAAACCCATTTTCTGACCAACATCAGTTCCTGCTCCAGCTTTCATCCTTGCTCCAGCTGTTGTTTCTGCTCAGGGTTTCATTTTTGCTCAGGCATCTGCACCCAGTATCATGCACCAAAAGTGTTTGATGTAAAATAGGAAAAGAAGAAACTCAACTTCAGAAATAATCAGAACTTGTCTATAGGACTTATCAATATTATTGACAGATAATCTTGTCAATAATAAAGTCAGTTCTTTGAGACTTTGTCAATGACTCCTCAGCAAGCACCCTCATTACTAAACCTACTCTCACTTTGATTTGTAATCATTTAAGACATCTCAACCTTCAACTTCAACAAGTCTGATTTAAGTATTTCAGAGTCTAACTTACTGCATAGCATTCTTATAAAGCAAGCTCAAATTGCTTACAAATCATGATCTATATAGGCCTAGGCCTACAAGTTCTTACTAATCAAGTGCCAGAAGCTTATCAAGCATATTCTATTTCAAGTTCTAGATCAGATAAGATTATTTAGCTTTATTCTGATTGGACAAGAGTCAGAATAAGTCATTCCTGCTAAATTCTGATTGGTTAGAAGAAAAAGAGGCTTACTAATATAGGAAGAAGCTGATTAGTTAAAGGAAGACTTAGCAGAACTTAGGAAAAGATATATAAAGAACTCCAGAATAGATAGAAAATTGATCAATCTATTCACTGAATCAAGTCTGCTTCTGTGTCTACTAGTTTCTCTCTGTTAAAACATTTGAGATCTGAGTACCTCTCTGCTAAGATAAGAGGCCTGTGTGCTTCTCTGCTTTAGTACTCTAGATCCATATGTTCTAATTACTATTTTCTTAGTATTAGCTATCCCTGAAAACTGAGCTTTTTCTTAAAGAATATAGAATCAAGTTTCTATATCTATAGCTTTGTGTCTATCTGTGCCTCACCTATGATTAACTCAAAATTCTTATATATATCTATCTGAAGTATTACTATTCTAGTACCTGTAGGTCACTTAAGTTACAGACTATCTATGCCTCCACTTACTAGCTAACATTTGATTGCAATACAACTTACTATCTCATAAAAACCTACTGTGTAAATTTGTAAGAGTCAGTTACAATGAGCAACTAATTCTTTTCTTATTTTATAAGTTGACATACTTAGCTTGTAAATTTTCTTCTGACTAGTATTTCACCTCTATAACTCATCATTCTCAAGACCTTAGATTCACATAACCTTAGGCTCACTATTTCTGTCAGATAAGAACTTGACTGTGAGTCAGTTTGAGTCTAGTTCTCAACTTCACTAAAGTGAATATAAAAGCCTTACAATAAATCTCCACAACTTAATGAATGATAGAGAATATTCAGTCTAATAACTAATTCAAGATTTCTCTGCAGAAGAAGTGCTGCTTGATACTTGAGTTTTTATTTACTCAAGTACTATATCTCAGTGTCCACACACTGTGCATATCTTTCTGAGACTGACACTAGACACATGTATATATTACCAGCTGTGGCTTCATATCTAGCACTATCTTCTATGTACAATATACCTGGTGATATCTACAGACCTCTACTAGGTATATATTCAGTATATTCAAGTCTGATATATGACTATACCCTTCATTATCATCATTCTCTTACTATTCTAATCTATAGATGAATTTTTCACTGCCACTATTGCCATTGTCTCATAGTTCTTATGCTCACTATATGCATCCTACTCCTGATCTCTCTCAGCATGCTTTTCATTCTTCATATAATCATCATTATTCTTATACAGTTCACTATGAAGATGACTATAGCACTTCTAATAGTACACCAACTCACAAGTGACCTTATACTTCTCCTCCATGATCAAACAAGAAGCTTGCTCTAGAGTTGACTTATGACTCATCACCTATTGAAGTTCTAAATGATACTGAAGAGAAGATTACATTAGATAAGTGGTGTAGATGATTCAAGTTTAGTGAGGATATTTTCAAGAGTTTGACACATCTTGATTATGTGCCTGGCTATGTTTCTCTAAAGACAGTAACAGCTTTGCAGATGGCTAAGATACACTTCAAGTTCAAGCCACTTACATGGACCATGATTGTGGCAGCAGATAAGAAATTTAGATGTGAACTTAGAGATCGTATTGCAAAGATGTAAATAGAATAACTTTATAGATTAATGCAATTGAACTAGTAGTCAGTTACTATGTATTCTGAGTTTGCAAACTATGCTTTTGCCTTCTCTCCATCAATTGCCAATAAGCATACCTCAAGAATATCTAATTTAGGATCATCACTGTCTTGCAGTTCTCAAAAGTATCTATAAAGATAACTCTTTACTAAATATAAGAGTTATAAATATTGTCAAAAGTGCAAATAGTTAAGAGACATACAGCAGCTAAAACTCTCTTCAATTGAGTTAAAATTAGAGAAATATGGTGATACAAATATAAATAGACAGTCTGTTAACTGTTATTAGATGTTCACATGAATAAAGTAGCCTGTATACTAAATCCTTCTACAAGTTCATGCAAGGTCTCTGACTTGTGAATTGAACAGTTGTCTATAAGAAGAATACTTCTTGATTGTGGATAGAAATTTATCTTTAGAAGCTACTACCAAATCAGCATTGCATAAAAATAAGATATAGCTAAATATGAATATACCACATCCTAAAGAATAAAGTCAAGAAACTTCAAACTATCAAACAGAATTTAGAATAGCATGTTATGCAATATATTCATTCACAGATATGACAGCAACAATGCTTCAGCACTGTTCATGAGTAAATAGTACATGAATAACTGCATGCTCTCCTTGAGGAGCTCTACTATAATGTCAATACAGTATATAGTTGTTCTTGCTTATTTGATCACAAGTCAAAAAAAGCCCAGCAATGAGATATGCCTGGATCTCTGCCCAAAACTTTGCACAAGCCTCCTCATCATGCTCTGAAGTAGCTTGTAGGTTAATCCTGTATTCTGCAGATACTTATCAACTGTGCTGCAAGCTATTCCAATCTCATGAGTGGCAATAAGCCACTTCTGCATTTTCCTTAATAACAGCTCAGGACTCTCAGCTACAAGGCCATGTAACTCTATGGTAACTTAAATTGACAGTAATGAGGGTCAATCCTGCAGAGCATTATGACACTGCCATATGCAACTGCATTGTGGAATCAGCGAGATAAACTGCACTGAGAAACATTCATTAATTTGCAGACATTGTCTGGAAGATACCCCTCATTGCAAAGTCAGAGACATCATTTCTTCAGGTCTTAACTAACATGTTGAAATATTATGAGACTTGTCTTAGAGTTATTGAAGCAGATATATTTGAGTTTGCACCAATGCACAGAAATTGAAGTGCCAGCACCTCAATAAAAAAAAAAGTGCACTTCAAAAAAGGCTTCAAATTGGTGCTGGACAAGGTTTTATGAAAAGGCTGTAAAGGCTGTAGATAAATACTTAGAGTTCAAAAGAAGAATGGCCATGGTCAGTGTATGTAATGTTAACCATTACAATGTCGCATCGCGCACATGCACTGGTGATTATTCATGTACATATATAAAGTGAGGCATCCAGCAGTTCATACCCTCAGAGCCCCGACACCACACTAGGAGGTTTGTACAGTCAATACAGCCCTGAATCATCTGTTGGTTCATGTGCGGCAAGAGTCAACTACATTCTGATGATCACTGCATTTTTGAACTGAACATTTACCCTCTAAGGCTTTTCGGCGCGGCCTTCCCTATCTCTCCTTTGGAGAATTGTTTAAAAAACATATCTGCCCCAGAGAGGCTCGAACTCTCGACCTTCCGATAATTACGTAATAACAGTCGGACGCTATAGCCAACTAAGCCATAGGGCATTGCTTCAGAAGACGATCTTAATTTCACAGATTGTAGATTCGAGGAGACACCCGGCTACCTCCGGTATTTGGTCCGACCAAACACGAAGGTTGTAGTGAGTGGGCGTGGCGGACGATGCGAGCTCATCGACCTGAACAGTGACCATGCATCCTTCTCTTGTTCGACGACAGCTCGGCGGGCTTGTCCCCCCTAAAATTGCGACTCCTTCAATCTTGGTTGGTAACTAAAGCTGCTGTCAATGTCCTCAGGGCTAATACCTGTAACATAGTCTTCCGGTCAGGGAGCAGGATTGTCGCCGCTCGTCAACTTTTACTCAAAGTTGCCCAAGGGCCCAGCACCGAGCTCTGCCATTAGCGGACTCAAGGCGAGATATTTCAATGGCAAGAACGCCTCGGGCAAACCACTGCTCGCGACGATCTTTGGCATTTTCCTCCTCGGATACACCATTGATTACCAGAGTACGTGGCGCTTTAGTATGGGAGTGTGAATGCATATTGACGTCGCCTTTTTCCCTAGTGCACTTGAGTAGGTTTTTGGGTCGTGTTGCTTTATTTGTTTCGCTGACTCGTGTTCAGAGCACCACAAGAACCACCCTCACTAAACCCGGCAAGCGGTTGGAACGTTATGGGGATCGTATACATTCGATGTGCCTTAGACAGTTGAAACGAACACTCTTTTGCCTCATTGGCCAGCGACCTCGCGTGAACCTGTTATCACTGCGCCTTCCATCCCATCCTATCGTCTAGAGCGCAATAACACCCATGTCATCACCCTCTTTATGCCCATGGGTTCGTGAGATGACACTTTGATCGTATGTACAGCTAGTGGCGGAAGACGTCCTCTAGCTTCGAGAATCCGGTCCTTACACTTACGGAATTTAATCTTAGCGGTGATGCATTCTCGTGCTGTGTCTTTACGCTTATACCTTGTTGTTTTCTTTTTTCTATCAGGCGTTCCATGACGACCTAACTTCCATTATACAGCTTATCTCCCTACTCATTGCTCACTAACGCGTTCGACCTTACCGCCGAAACGCTCGATGCGTAATCTTGACGTACTCGGACGCGTGCGTATGAAGTCCTAGTCTCACGTTCTTTTCTTCTCTATCGTCATTCATTCCCGGCTTTCATCGTATCTTGATCTCATGCTGTAATTGCAGACTTGGTTGCCTGATTGCCATGGTAAGTCACTATCCGCTGTTCCTTTCATTACGTCGTTGACCATATATCGATCGCGCAGATCCCTGCTTTTTTTGAGCGCCCGAGAAGTTCAAAATTACACCATAGACGACACCCTGTTGTTCTGAGTCACTGAAAGGCCTCGGGCGAATCAGGCTTAGGCATGCCATCGGTGGTAACTGGATAACCGATGAAGATGGAAAAAGTTCCAGTTCTTCGTAGCTATCGCGCTATCTTATGACATATGTTGTATGCTCTTGAGACTATAAGGTGCGATATCTCGTATCGTGTCGTTTTGTAAGCTAAAGCGGTGATATCCAGGATTGTTTCCTCGCGGCCACCGTTTGTCGAACGTTTGAAATCAAGAAGCTAGCGTCACTCTTACCAATTGATGTCTGTGTGCCGTCCGAGTTTTCACGATCTGGACTTCTGTCAAGCACCCAGCTGTCGTATGAAGGTTCAGGGGACAATGGGGCTACACCACGTCTTGGCTCGTCCTCGCCCAAGAGTCGTGCCTGCAACACTCACACAAGCTTGCAATTCTATTCCAAACCCGCCTTTCTCGTGTTTATGCTGCTCCCGCAATTCTATTGAAGAGATTGTCATATTTTGCTCGCACAAACGTGCCATATCACGAGTTCTTGTTCTCTTTGTCCAGCACACGATTGCGATACGATGATGACGCATCTGCTGCTTCCCCGCTATGATCAGCCGTGTACGGCAGACTTTCTCCCGTGCGGACTACGCTGCTCAGCTGACATATGACATATTCGTAAAGTGACGGACGCCACGCAGAGGAGGCGAAAACAAGACGAGTAACATTGCGACTGATACGAATACTACTATACAGAGACATGGACGTGCAAAGACAATATGCGATATACGAGCGACTAGTCCGTGCGACGTATTACAAAGGAACATAATGGGACGTTAGTACTGCGCTGCAGTGCATGCGAGTCGTACGGGATACGTTGACGAGGGTATATCAGGGGATGGACGAGGTCAGTTGGGTGGCGGTGGCGGCCTACCGCGCGCTGCCGCTGTGCGACACTGAAAGCAGTCGTCGTTGACCTTGTCGACGTCTTTTTGAATATCGGGACCAAAGTTCTATTTGGATGCGTGAGCATGTTGTTCACTATAATAAAGTGTCTGAGAATTACCTTGAGACAACCAGGATCTCTGCAGGATTTTGAATGCAGGATGCTGCGTTCGCAATGACTTGAATTACAGTCCATGATGGCAACGACAAGATGACGTTGGAAGTGCTATTTGTTCCGGACGAACGTGCAATTATTTTTCCCTGGTCAGCTGACGGTAGGCAGGATGAATGTTATTTCAATTCATACCCCACACTTCTTCCATCGAGTACCTTCACTGTCAGAAGTTTCATGTTAGTGTCGAGCAAGTGTGGCAGAGGTCATGACATACGCGATTCGTCGACACATAGTGTAGTTGGTTTGAAGGTCGAGTGGTGTGAACGAGGAACTGTGACTTCGTTCAGGTGTGGCGTGAGGATAAGGCGTCAAAGAAAATAGAAGTAGTGGGGGGATGACTCGGTCGTCGAGGGGTATACCAAGGGTATATGGATGGGGGCAGAAAGACAAAGTGACCTATCCGCCAAATGCTCTCTTCCTTTATGCGAAAAACACGAGTCAGAAGCGCTGACCCTGATAGTCCTTGTATCAGAACCGCCAGAGCGGTGCATCGAGGTTGACCGCATTGGTCCTAGGAACATCGTGAGATCCAAGGACTTCTTGTCTTTTGCTCCGCTAGCCGTGGACGCGCTACACTATATTCTCCTTCTCGCGTCTGTATTGGAATTCAGTTCAGAACATCATGTGATGGCCTCTTTTCGTCCTCTGATCATCTCCGTCGTTCCATCATCATGCATATTCATGGAATCTTCCAATGCCGAGTCTAAGACTTCTTCGCCATACTGGTTCTCTGTTTGCGTAACGTTGGTGCAAATGCATTCGCGACCCTCGTGGAAATGGCGATGGTCTTGGACACCGATTCTATTCATTCGCAAACTTTCCCTTCCTATCTTTCGCCATCGAATGCGTCAGTCCGCCGACTGAGTCAGATCTTCAAGATGTTTCTTGGACGTGTCTCTGTTCCCGCCCACACTCCGGTGTATCAGGGCACAAAACCTTCCGATGTGGCCGTATAATACTCATCAGAACCGTCCCGGAAGCCCATCCCTTCCGTCTTGACCTCACTTATCGCGTAACCCCCATGTGCATCTCTTCCTGCAAACAATGCCGCGGCATTGAGTCAGGGCGAAGGCGGCTTTCAGCACTTTGTTCCTTCTCCTTGCTCTATAAAGTAACCATCGGTCCATTTCTGACAAGTAAAACCTCGGATCAATCTTCTGCAACATAATCGATCATGTTTGTAAAAAGTAAACTCACCTCCCCATTCGACACAAAGTCTCGCAGGAGATAGGAAGAATGGCATACGCGTGGCACGTATCGTCATCGACGGAAGATATAGAAGATGCCGCAGTAAAGCTGAACTACCGACATACGCAATGAGGAACACAACTTCGTTTGTTTGTATAGACTTCTTCCACAGAATTGTTCTATCAATGCTACAAGGGCTTCTCTCGGAGAGCGAAAATCTTCGTGGGATGCCAGAACAAAAGAAAAAAAACACAACTGACATCGGCTGCGAAACAGCAACGCGTCTTCCATTTCTCAGTTTCCCTACAAGTACAACTGCCCTATTTTTCCAGTATGTCTCAGGCTTCATCGATATACGGGACCGTCTGTGGCATCCGGCTATCTCAATCGATGCACAACGATGAGGTCCGAAGCAGAAGATAACGAGGCTACAGCACTCGTCCTGTATAATCTGAATAAAGACGGTCTGGTTCCAAGTGAGTAGTGGTCTAAGGCGGGACGCTACACACCCGGAGGAAAAAGTGCAAGCAGACTGCAAGCCGCAAAGCTAGACGCAGCGAATTGTCGGAAAGATTGGCAGCGTGTAAAGCGAGAACGTATTGTTTGCAAAGCGCCCGGTACAAACAGACTGTAAACATGAGCACAATCTGATAGCAAGCCTCCGCGCACGCTCTGAGTCTACTCTTGCTTGCACGCTGCTTAACCTCGCTGGCGGCTACAACTATGGCGAATACCAGGACGGATTGTCACGCAGTGACCAGTCCCAAGTCACATCACGGTTCAAGTTTGAGTGTCGAAGACTCTAAGTCCAACGTTCATCTGAGTCGCTCACTTGGTCTTGTCCGCGGGCTTTCATTCACTATTTCATTTATTCTACTATGGTCCTCAGTAATCTATGTCAGCCTGGCCCATTCAATAATCTAATCCCGGTGGCGGAATATCGTGTTCTCTCCCTTCCCCTTGCCAGCGGGACCGCCGCACAAGCTATCATACAACTTCCATCTCATTGACTAGTACTACAGCTAGCCCCAATTCTTCAATACTTCAGCATCTTCAACTTAACATGTCCATTGATGATTGCAGCTCGCTGGCACTAGCTCTTATCACCAGCAATATTATATGCAGGATGTGCTGGCCAGTCTATCGCAATCGGGAACAACCTCCTGTCGTATCGTGGTCTTTGGACTCTCATGACGCTCTTTCTCTCCTTTCTGCCCACCTGCTTCGTTGGCATCTTTGTCGGTTCTGAGTCCATCATTTCGGGCGGGTAAAGAGAGCATTGCCCGACCTTACGAGGAGTTGCCTTTCTTCGAGCGCCGGGTTCAATAGCCGGCCGGGCAGCCATAATTTCATTGCTTCATTTTTAACTGCTCTTCGTGCACGATATGATCCAGCTAGTTCCGCATTCCTTCGTGCTCTTCCAGTTGACCTGACATTCTGCATGTCCTAATTCTGGTTTATGCCGCATATGCTACACTTTAATTTGCATTTGCATTTGTCATGTTCATGCTTTGCATTTGCTCACACTCGTGTCTGCTTGTTGCACGGCCTGTAATATAGTAGATCTGCTTTATTTCCTTATTCAAAGGGACAATAAGGACGATATTCAGTAGAATGATTATTTTAATGATGCCAATGTGAACAAACATCCAGGAAGACATGTAGTGACTCGCGAACGCATGAAGGACGGTCTAACGAGAAGCTGACTCTTGGCGATTCGTTATCCGAGCTTGCAGTCTGCGTACAGTCCAGCTCACGGGCCGACCTTTCGCGGTGCTTTATAAACAGACAATGGTCAATTGTAGACGCACAGTGCAATCAATCACTGATCTACTTAGACTCAAGTTTGCGCTCAGCCTGCACCTGCGTTTTTGGGTGTGTAGCTAGCGGTATTCGGCGTATCGACATCGCGTTCCTAGTGACAGCGACGTACCGATGCATTGAATAATATATAAGATCCCAGATTTCGTTCCGATGTCTCCTGATATTGACTTAAATCCTATTGAATTCAGTCGATCCTACCTCGATCCTCCACCTAGGTCACTTGGCCCGGCCACAAGAGATTGTGAAGTTGTTCCTGATCTCAGCAAGTGAACGTTCGAACGGCTGCCAACATCCGGCTTTCCAGGAGCGCGTAACCTTTGAACCCGGCCTTAACAAGGCGGGAAGGTTCACAAGCATGAAACACGTTCGACTTTGGCCTTGTGACTACCAGAATTTGTACCAAGTGCAAAAGTGCGAATATCTTCGGACAAAGGATCTCTGGGACATTTGCATACTGGGCATAGCTGCGAACACTTTCATATAAAGTGTCATTCGATCACCAAGCTTCTACGAGAGCCGGTCGGGTCGCAAAATGTTCTATAGAAGCTAACCACGGACAGCAACATGCATGCGAAACGTGCCGCTCAATATGATCAGCTGCCGGGGGCAGGCTTCCTTGCGCTATACCCAGTTTGTACACACAGTCAAGATTCGGGTGAACGAGTCAGAGACAGTAATCTAATGAATGGAAGTCTTTCCAAGAGTCTCGTTTTATAATTCTGGTGTCCAGGAACCAGCATAGAATAAAGGTACGCAGAAAGTCCAAGCCGCGTACTCGGGAATCGGCTATAACAGGCCGGCTATTTGGGTTCAGGGGAGACACGAATGAGCGTGAACTTCCTCGTCAGCAGATTGAATACCATGCCGAATATCAACGCGATGAGAGTACAGCTCATGATGATCACGTTGTATGGCATACTGAAATCCGGAGTGGCCAAGTCCACGAGTAGCACAGGCGTGTACATCCTACGAGGAAGTCGCAGTTGCTCAAATCCGGAAGGAGGGTTTGAAAGTCCAGGGTCGAGTGTCGAGGAGTTGGAATGAAGCAAAGGAACGAGGACGGCGGGCGGTAGATCCCACCCGCGCTGCGCGTCGGGAGGATGTTCCGTGTAGCGCAGGAAAGGCTTGATAACGTCCATGGATAGATGCAGCGTGCTTTTCGGAGGTAGCGTCAAGATGGCTTGGAACAACGTTGGCCGTACGTGTGGCACGGATGGAATATATGAAACGATGGATATAAGATCATCTGAGCGTTTGCGAAAAGCAGAAGTCAACACAAGGAACTCATGGTTATTTGGCAGATGGAGCTTGTCCTATACAGGCACAACTCACCACGTGAGACACCATTGGAATATATTTGGAGTGAATGGAGGTAAAACTGGAGCAGCCATGGCATAGATTCCAGGTAACTCGTTTGAATGGTGATCGGCATATGGTTCGTTATCGAAACCGAGAGTCGGCCCCGTGATTGACTTGAACCTTTCAGTGTGCGTCGGACCGAGACATGGGTAAGAGGAACGGCGGACGAAACAGTGGCTGAGAAGCTTTAGCTAAATGCGTGCATCATTCTACGCTGCAACTTACCGTATTCAAACTTTTGTTCATCTGGCCAACTCATGGAAATGTCCAGCGGCTTGGAAGCTGGGAAGTCATCAGCTATAAGCTAGAGTATTGAAAAAAAGACGCTCACCGTTTGACACGTTAAAATAGACAAATCCTGCATGTGTAGTATACGAGTCTGGCGTTATCGCCACCGCCGTCTCCTCTTTAGGTATAGCAACTCGAATCTCGCTGGAATGGGCAATGGGACAAGACCTGTCAATGACGCGATCAAATACGGACCGAAGAGACCAATCTGCGAAAAGTGAAACTACGATTAGAGATCCAAAGTTCACTAATTGAACTCAAAACAGACCTCTTCTACCGTTCGAATAGCGGACTGGGTCAAAGACGCTCTGAAAGCTAAGTCGGACCTCGATGCCTTCATTCTCCAGATAACGAACATGGACGCCTAAGCCATGCCAGTCAGCATCAAAGAGGCGATGTGGATTTAGCAAGCTGGCAATTCCGGTGAGGGACTTGCATGGCAGAAGTTTCAGGAAGGGTGTGAGGTTCTCCGTGCAGACGTGCTCAGATGGCAGCGTTCCATGTCTTAGCTGATGAGTCGTCCCCCATTGCGGAAGAGACCCCTCTGGTCTGAAGGTGAGCTCAGGTGATGTTGTCCGTTGCTCGTCTAGTGAGCCAAGGGAGGCACAGAATTGGCCAGAGAGTGCATTTCTCAATCCTTTCCAACGTTCGTCGACACTATGGAACCGAAGCCTATTGGATTATTACGCAACTGAACGTTCGTGAAGCGCTTACCTGCGTGCTGCTGATTCACCCATCCACGCCCACAGCTCAGCACCAGTACCCACGCCTGGTTCGTCGGGATAACCCCAGTGGTCATAGTCCCATTTCCCTGCGTTGAGCGTAAGATGCAGCTCAGTGACTGCGTATTCTCGAAGGACTTGGCCTAAAGCAAGCGGGAAGATGGCATAGTGCTGCGCTACCCAAAGGTCAATGAATTCGAGATTAATCTATGAAAGATATTGAAAGACGTACATTCGTCTTCTTCCTGCAGTGTGCTGGGGTCTCGAGGATACGCTCCCCTCAGTAATGTGGTGAATGTGAATCGCGTCGCTAATCTTCCGTCCTGAAGCGGTCGAAATGTTAGAGCTTCATGAAATTCCTCCGACGTTGCGAGACACCAGGTACAGCACAGAAGGAGAACTGCCAATATATTATTCCTCCAGAACATATGCTTTGTAGATAGTCGGGACTAGAATAGATGGCAAATAGTAGGCGCCCTTTAGAGTTCTTACTAAGTTAGCCCTTTGCTCTCACGCTCACATTCTTTCTTTCTACGTTGAACCTTTTGATTGAAAGCCTTTTTGAACGTTTCTCAAAAAGTCATCAAGGCTTCAAATTGCGTTATTCACTGTACCTGTGATTTCATCGTGAGTTCCTGCCCTACAGTGAGAGGGTGCTTTCCCAATACATTATCTTTATTAATAGACATGTTTGACATAGGCAGGAAATTCTCGAGGCTTTCTCTAAACCATACGGGGCATTTAGCCTAACTTATCTGCTAGACCTCCAGTGAGAGCCGATTTGCCACTGAGAGTAGGTCTAATAGTAATAACACTAATGTCCATCCTCGCTTGAACAATAGCTTCGCCACGGAAATCAATATGTCGCTATTATCTGCCAGAACGTTCAAAGTAGAGCTTGCTAGTGAGAGCTTGGAAACAATAAATCGTGCCGCTCGGCGCGTTATCGTCAATGCCGACTTGCTCAAGTCCGCCAAAATATGCTCAGGTGACGTCGTAGCCTTATCGAAAGCAGGTTCCCCCCAGGATCGGGGAAAGGTGAGAACCTTCTAGTCGTTCTGGCGGTCCATGCGCCTTCTACGTCCACCAATGGGTTCAGATGACCATAACGTCGTTGGCAGCGTGGCTGTTTTCATGAGTCATAGTACATCAACTTAACATCTTCCATCTATCAGGTATTTGCTGTAGGCATTGCCTGGCCGTCTCTGGATGTCTCTCAAGACAGTGAGTGCTGCATCTTTGATTTTCAGTGCAATGTGGTCCCTTGCGCTTTGAAATACGTGTCACTCACATTACTCTTACAGCCGTTCTTGTTTCATCTCCTCATCTTCTCACTGCGCGCCTCGCTCAAGGCGAGAGAGTTCAACTCTTCCAGCTGAATACTGCTAAGTCGTTGCCGGGTCTTCCCTCCCTCCGCCAGGCACAAGAAGCCCGGACCGTCCATCTAAAAGAATTATCAAGAACAGATGAACGACTGGACCGTTCTGGTGCAAGCAGTTCTGCACATTCAGACAAAGGGAAACGCCGCGACTGGCTGCCGCTTCTGATAAGGGAAGCCTTAGGTGCGTCTCATGGTGCTGATCACATGTCTCGGTGTCCTCACGAGTGTTATCTGCTTAGTGAACCTCAAATATCTTTCGCCCACGCAAACCCTCGACGTAGTCTATGAGGGACAATGCCGCCGCTTCTCCCTAGCGTCTGTGTCCACAATGAAGGGCACAGTACCAGTTGAATTGGATGATCTGACTAATGGGTTGTCCAAACTCTCTCTCCAAACTACTCCGCAATTATGGACTGTTGGATGGGATACTATCGTGACTCTCATAGATGAGAAACCGAGCAATGACTCAGCGCAGGCGGTATGTATTTATCTATTGTGGTATCATTTCAACTAACGGTCGGTCCACAGCCCGACACGGAGGTAGTAACACGAGACGAGGCTGCAGAGGCTTATGCTTCCGTTGGAGGATTAAATAAGCAGATTGCTCAAATCCGTGACCTTATCGAGATACCTCTGACTCGACCTGAACTATTTTACCGTTTTGGTGTGTTTCTATCGACAACTTACACGATTACGTCTAACTTCTATCGGCTTTGTCCGTCTTCTCTTCTTAGGACTGAAACCACCACGAGGCATACTTCTTCACGGTCCACCGGGAACTGGGAAGACTCACCTTGCACGTGCGATAGCCGCATCCACAAACTCTTCAGTTCTTATTGTCAATGGTCCCGAACTGTCTTCTGCATATCACGGCGAGACGGAATCAAAGCTTCGCGATGTGTTTTCAGAAGCACGAGCTCGAAGTCCGTGTATTGTCGTCCTGGATGAGGTTGATGCTTTATGTCCTCGTAGGGAAGAAGGTCCCGGAGGAGAAGTGGAGAAGCGTGTTGTGGCTCAAATGTTGACGATCCTTGACGGCGTGGAAGATGAGGCAGACACTGATGGGAAAAATAGAGTTGTTGTGGTCGCTACCTCCAACCGTCCAAACGCCATTGATCCTGCCCTGAGACGACCGGGTCGATTTGACAGAGAAATCGAGATTGGTCGGTTTTTTTCTGGTATTTACACCTCAATTCTCTGATCGTGTCATTCACAGGTATTCCTGATGCCGAAGCGCGTTACGATATACTGAGTGTTCTCTTGCGCAAGACTCCACACTCATTGACACCGAAAGAAATTCAAAACGTGGCTGCACGCGCCCATGGTTATGTTGGCGCAGATTTGAGTGCGGTTGTTCGCGAAGCAGGAACTGCAGCAATCAAACGTTGGCTCGGGTCCCAACCGGCATCGTCTAGGCCTGAAGAGAAAGCCACTCTCGATACCGAGCCGCAGGTCCACCTCAACGACCTTCTAATGTCTCTGACCAACGTGAGGCCATCTGGTCTGCGTTCTGTTTTCCTTGACACTGTTCCTGTCCGCTTTTCGGACGTCGGTGGACAGGCGGAAACGATTCAGAAGCTTCGAGAATGTGTCGAATGGCCGTTGCTACATCCGGATGCCTTCGAAAGGCTTGGCGTACGACCACCTAAAGGTGTTCTTTTGTATGGGCCTCCGGGATGTAGTAAGACACTGCTGGTACGCGCTTGTGCTACTGAAAGCGGGGTGAACTTTGTGGCAGTCAAGGGATCGGAGGTTAGTTTTGCGCATTTTTGTTTCTCTTAATGACAGGACATCATCGTGTTTCTGTTGTAGCTCCTGAACAAATATGTGGGCGAGTCTGAAAAGGCTGTACGAGATATCTTTAGGAAGGCTCGAGGGGCTGCGCCATCTATTATCTTCTTCGTGAGTTTTTACTCTGGGTTCATTGGAGGCAAGTCTAACAAAGGATTAGGATGAGATTGATGCTCTCGGATCGTCTCGATCAGATGCGGATAGCGGTGGAGGCTCGCATGAAGGTGTATTGACCAGTCTTTTGAATGAGATGGACGGTGTCGAAGAACTAGTAGGAGTCACTGTAGTCGCAGCCACGAATCGTCCAGACGTCATTGTAGGTGTTTAGTATCTTGTCACCTGTATATGCTCATCAGCGTTGTTTAGGACCCTGCCTTGATACGACCTGGTCGGCTTGACCGCATTCTCTATGTCGGACTACCTGATCAATCAGGCCGAGAAGACATCATTCGGATTTGCACTAGGAAGATGAGTGTAGAGCCTGGTCTCGACATTCCTTACCTTGCCCAATTGGTAAAGTTTAATGATTTTGTATTTTATCATTTGCTGAACTCTGGTTTTAGATGGATGGATGTTCTGGTGCTGAGATCAAGGCATTGTGCCAAGAAGCTGCTTTGCTGACTATGAAGCAAGATATCAACTCACCATTTGTATGTATCTGACAATGGCTCAAATATAGGCTCAGTATTCATAACATATATTTCAGGTTGCAAATAATACATTTTTGGCTGCTACTAGGCTAGTGAACAGACAAATCACACCTTCTATAATTGAGAAATACAAAAATTGGAGCAGCCAGTTTGGTGTGTGTAGCTAATGCTTAGATTAGTGAATAGAATTTATCCTCTAGTTATTCATACATGTGTATGTATATAAGAATATATAGAAAGAAACAGGCTTAAAAAGTGACTATAATACAAGAAATTATTTAACCAGCCTTTGCCAAAAGGTATTAGCATGTTCATTCTCTCTTTTTGGCTCAGAAACACTATTTCTGCTAAAGGACATCTTGTCCACTTTCACTGCTTTAGTCTGATAGATAATCTTGTAGCCAATAGTAAGAAGTATAAAGAATGGCTATAAACTATCAGCATACATAAGAAGAATTGAGTGTGAGATATTCATACCAGAGGAATATAAGTAGTCAGAAAGGTTGCTATAGGATCTGTTATCCTATAGTTATCATTCTCTGGTATTGTAGATCCTGAAGGTTTAGCTAAGGAGAATAACATAATTAGTACATATAAACTTATATCTGTTCACTTTTCATACCAATTCTCCAATCTTGATGAACAAAGACAGCCCTAAAAGATAGAACACACTATAGCTGCATGTTATAGTTAAAAGCTCATGACATACCATCCATTAAAAATCAACACAATCAAACACATAATAAAGAAATACCAAGCAAGCTATAACAAAATTCTATAAGCTGTAGATATGCATATTTGAAATACTCACATATGGTTGAAATTTGGATCTATTTCTCTTGATTTGTTCAATTTCAAATAACACCTCTGATGCTTCTCCATTATGACAGTCTTCACCCTTATATCTTCTCTCAGCATATATAGTTCCTTTATACCATCTAGGTGGTGTAAGTATTATGTGTAGTAGAGATCAAAAAAATATAGTACTTACCTGATATATACATAAAGCATACTAGCCCAAGATTGAATTGATGCAATACTTGCTGCTAAGACTAACCAAGTAAAAGCCTAAAAAATGAAGAAAATGAGTATATGATTTAAGTGTCATCAGAATTTGATATACTCTTTGAGCAGTTGAGGCAACTGGTGGATTGACAGAGTGGGAACTCAAGAAACTTAAGAGTCCAATAATGGCAGATCCAAATATTGCAAATAGTGGTATTACAGCCCAAGGCTTTTGTTCTTCCTCCTCCAAGTTGATTGCAGTATTCTCTTGAATGCTTCTATTATTCTTAGTTAAAAACCAAGAATTGTATTCAGTGAGATAGGCAAAGATAGCTGGTGCATGACCATGCCTAGCCAGAAAAGAGAAATCTGCTGCTGATATAGATATCAGCTGCTGCAGCTGACCATGCTGCCATGAGAATAACAGTATTGATGATATGAGCAAGCTTTGCATAATTATAAATAAAATCATTATAAAATTATTGCAATACTACTCACAGAGTGTACTTTACTTTGGTTGAGAGCAATGACAAATGGTGATGTACTTGCATTGCCAGTATTACTTCCTAGTTCTTTATTCTTGGCATTGACTAAAAGACCAGCAAAAAATACACTGCCAATATAGAAGAATGCACTAAGTATAGATGAGAAGTATTCTAAAGCTCATTAGATTTGAACACAGCTCATATACGAATCCATACACGGCAAAGAGCTCTGGGAACATTCTACAAAAAAGAAATGTTAATAGAGAATGCACAATAAGTTTAATTTCATACTCTAGTTGCATCAATTACTTCTCCTGCTGCCTATAAGATGGTAAACTTTAGAAGAAATATGAATAAATTCTGCTTACAATGCCAGGTACTTCAGATCCAGAGAATGAAAAGGCAGCTTGCATTAAGACAGATATAAATCCAAGAAATCTGCCCTTGGCACCATCAAGGCTGAGATATTGAGCAAATGGTTCTTGCCAATTGGAAAATCCAAGTGACCTATTTTATAAAAAATGACATGCTAGAAGGTGAGACAGTTAAAATGATATATTCACAACTCACCTTCCATCTTGACCTGGAACAATATCTAACACAAGAGAGACAATAACTGACAAAGACCTTTAGTTGACTATTATCATAGAAAAATGAATACTCACTCATTATAACAATAGTAAGTACTTTGATTGTTGAGAACCAAAACTCAAGTTCTCCATAGACATGTGAAGGAAAGCAGTTGACAACTGTAGCCATAAAGAGCTTTTTGCTTCTTAGTTTATACATTCATATCATAAATGAATCACTTACAAATAGAGCTGTAAGTATCCAAGGACTAGAAGATAATGAGAGCTAGTAATAAGTATGCATCTCATAAACTTACGGGATAGCCTTAGTCCAAAACCCTACAACTACAGTAGCTGCACTGATCTCTGCAGCTATAATACAGAAGTTAAAGTTAACAGCATTAAATACAATGTGTAGAGAACTTATGCAGTGTGATACTCCAGTTATACTGATAAAAATATAGTCAGTTATAACAAATGACAGAACATTGTGAATTTGTGCATACCCAACTTGCCCATCCCAGAGAAAAGCCTAGGGCAGGATCCACATAGAGATCAGCCAGACCAACTGGACCTCCAACATTGGGCCTGTTCATGTTAGAATGGATCTGCAGAGATTTAAGTACACTCACAGAAAAGCAATCATCTCTCCTATGGACACACAGAGACCAAACACAACAGAGCCCACTACAACATATCCCAACAATGCTCCAAGAGGACCGCCGTTGTGCAAAGCAGACTAAGCAATATATAGCTCAGAACATGTATTGGGTCTCAGTAATGTTAACTGAGGCTTACCGCAGATCCTAGAAATAGGCCGGTACCTATGACCCCTCCAATTGAGATCATACCAACTAGATACAGCACAAAGAAGAGCTAAATCAGAAGAGAAATAATATGTCACTTGTGGCGATCTGCGTACTATGGCGTCGAGACAACTGGGGGGGAAGGTCCACCTTGATGTGTCTCCATAGCTCTTGCAATTCCGCTATATGGCGGCGCTGTTCCTCAAATCGCAGAGTACCGCCTGGCGGCGCCACAATTTGAACATGTCCAGAGCCCGAAGACCTTGTTGTTCGTTCACGAAGAGTTTGAGACATGGATGAAAGATGAGCGATGTACTCTCTAACAACCGGTATTTGAGTAGTCCAGACAAGATGTAAACATAACCGGGCAGTGCCTGTGGAACAGAAGGGCTATCAGTAAAGTGCCAAATTCGAAATCATAAACCTGTCAACGCTGGCTGCGACCCGCATATACTGATGAGGCTAGTATCACAGCCGAAAACTCTACTGAACGCTTGCCAATGACCCTTCTGCAGAGTCATCATAACCCTTGTCGCAGAGATGCACACCTGAATTTTGCGTGTTGAAACAGTGAGATGCGCAACGAAATGGCTAAGAATAAGAGACAATCGGAGGTCGCCGAGAGGACTTGCAAGGGTGGATCGCAAAGTTCGAAGTTAGTGCGAATTACAAGCGTCCCCTTACCGCCATTCAGTGATCCAGATGCCTTTCACTAGTACTGCATGTCTGCCGTAAGGCTTGCATCAAGTGGAGGCAGTGAGCCTTGTGTTCGACTTCAGTATTTAGCTAGCATCCCGTTGATTGGGCATGTGATCGAACTTGAACCTGCTGTTCAGAGCCGAAGTTGTGCTGACGACTATCATTAGGCCCACCTTTTTTTTGTCAGTTCGAACTCTCACATTGAGTTTTGTGAGATGGAAGAGTGTAAAGGTCTCTCCTCGAATGCCGATCTTGCTGGCATCGGTGTTCGGGCGGCTTTTTACCTCCAGAGTTTATTGAATAGTAAGCTCATTCCCGACTATGTTTTCCCTGAAGCTTTAGTTGACGTTGTCGCATGTCATTGCAGCTGTAATGGTTGTAGTGTCTCCTCGTGACTCTGTTGCTAGTGCTTGGGCAGGTACCTTGTTGACAATGGCGCTCATCATTGCGGCCATGGTACAGAAGATTAAACTGCAGTTGACGCTGCACCATGCTACTCTGGTACTGAAGTAAGTCTGTACATATTTCGGACCTTTAGAGCTCATTAATCTTGTTGTAGCTATGCCACCTTATCTTGTATAGGATCCCTCGCCGTTTCTCCACTGCTACCTATTTGGCGTGTTAACCCGAATTCTAAGGACCTTCCCTTCGGTGACAGAGACACACTGCATTTTCGAACGCAAACACAACACTATGATGAAGCTGTAGAAACGGAAGCCGATCGTGAACCTGCCCAAGAACAAACTCCTGAGGACCTAGTGGCAAAGAAAGAGGCATCTAAGGAGAAGCGACGCAAAGAACAGATTCGAGAGCGCGCAGTTCTCTCGCTTGCTCTGCTCACCCAGGTGCATATCCTACGTCTACTAATCGAAACCGTAAAGTTGTTCTGAGTACGTGGCTTCGACAGGTGGTGCTGCAATGGGCGTGGGCGACACTATTATTCACCTCGCCACTGTACAGCCAAACAGAGTGTAATGATGGGACCGTGGTGATACTATTTATGCATGTGTTCTCCGCGAAGGAGATTAACGAACGGCTTTTTTTCGTCTGGGCGTTCTGGCTAGCATTCTCTCTGGGAATCACCCTCTCGCTTACTATTTCCCTTGCTATGTCTGGACAGAGTCGCGCACACCACTTGATCGTACTGTCTCGCCGTACTACCATATCTTTCCTTGAGAACTCTCATCATCCCAGTGACTGCTCGAATGATCTCAGCACCGCACACATGCAGCCTCCTGTGCCGTGGTGGAAGCGGCACTATCTGGTACTGTCTATAGGGCTGAAACCTTACTTCAGGGATCGCGAACAAGTTCGCGTTTTTCTGACATACATTTTTTCATTCGTGTTTTGGATTCTGCTTATAATCAGTACGTTCCTCCTTTCTTTGTCCACCTCCGTCACTCACTCTTTTTTTCTCTCTGGACTAACTAGCATCGGAGTGGCAGCCGAAGATGAACCAAATTGAGGATGGTGAGAACGACTTCGCAGGTTTTGGTCAAGTACGTATGGAATTTACTTCTACTTTTCACCCCATACCTTATTGGTGTTGCAGATCACGGCTATTCTCTTGTCATTGGCCCCTTTGTGGAGTTTGACCGTTGCACTTTACCGATATCCCGCCCTTCGCAAAACTCTGAGGAGACGACAGCTAGCTGCAGCAACAGGAAATGGTAGAAGAACTCTTGTCCTCGCACCCGTACATTCAAGGCAATCGTTACCCTAGTCAAACGAGGCCATCGGACCTCGCTCGTTAACACCGACGAATGAGGCGACATCGTCGCTCACTGAGCATACATTATCGCTTAGACCATCTCAAGAGGGAATCGATATAGTCTCTTTGAAGCAGAAACGTAACCTTCGTGCCTCAGGATATCTAATTGATGGAGCAATACCAACAGCAGAGACCGGTGTCATGTATCTATGAACAATACACATATCCCGTCATCTCGAAGCGGACATGGATTACTTACCTTAGGAGTATTTCCAGTTTTCTTATAGTATTAACATTGTACTTGTAGTCACGTATGTACGCATAAGTATATCCTCTCGTTCGAATCGTAGTTACATGAAGCTCTTCGTTTCGAGCGCCTTGATATCGACCATCATCTATGAATTCGAATCTGCCCACCGTTCTATGGTTCTCCTCGACCACATTTTCTTCGACTTTGATCCTCAAGGTTGGCGAAGCTCTTGATACCTTCAGACGTTCTTAGATAGTAAGTACTACGCTACTCAGGGCATCGACACCAACACTTGCCCATCCGCTCTTCCCCATCACTCCTTGAATTCGCAGTCTGCAACCTTCGTCTGCCGAGGCATTACGCTCCTTTACTTCGCGATGATGTTGGAGTCTCGCCTGAAAGCATTGACTTACCTTCTTATTGCATTGTAGCTGTTGCCTCGATTCCTCCGAACTAGGCCTGTCATGATATCGACTATATCGACTCTGCAAAAATCATCCGTATGGCAATCAATGCCTCCCCGACTGTCTCACTTACCTAACAACTAGGTCAAGGGAAACGCAGGAAGCGGTCGGTCTGTATATAGGTGGCCAGAATACGTGGTGGATTTACTTGTCTCCCTCGTTACACGTGGCTTTCAGTGCTGCTCCGATGTCGACTCAGAAGAATCTACTTGCGATCACACGAAGACCCTGGTACTGCAATGGGACTCTATGCCCGCCGTCACAGAACTGTATTTTGTACTTTGGGAAAGAGGAACATGCTCAAGATGTGCGCTTTCACCCGAATGTGGCGTCAACTCGTCGTCGTGCTACAACCGTCTAGACTTTCTTGATATTAATGAAGACCTTGTCTTGGAGCTTTCGAAGACCAGTGATGTCGCCACACTTGGTCTTAATCAATAGAACTTTCCCGATGAGTCGTATCGCAAGGTTGGCAAGCTCGACAGTGACTTCTTTCCCCCGAAGTTTTAACTTTGAAAATTCAGGCCTCACTGAAGTCACACGTGATACATTGCTTGACGAGTTACAGACCTAGCCTCGTATCAGTACGGAGTTGTACACGCCCAATGTCTACGACAAGTTCAACTATGCCCAATGCTTACAGCCACTTACTCCCCAGTCCCCACCCCCTAAACCCTCTTCATAAGGATCGGGATCGTTCTTCAAGGCTCATAAAGACACGCCACGTAGCGAGAATATGTTTGGCTCTCTAGTTCTCGTATTCCGTACCCCGCAACAAGGAGGATCGCTTGCCCCTCGCACTCACTATTCCTATTCGTGTACGTGCGCATCAGTTTACCGCATAACTCATGGTTTTCCTTTGTACATAACTTAGTATATCGGAGGAACTCTTGCCAGTGGATGTTCTTCACGGCATGCTCGACCTTCTTCTGGATGATCAGGCAACACTCCCGCCCAAAATGGGGCATCATGAAGTCCCTTAGCCTAGTTACCGAGTTTCCATGCGCGGCTTCTCTGATCGTCTCGAGGATTGACCAACACCTGTGTCAATGTCGAGCATCCTTTGCAACTTCCGGCATAGTTAACCTGGTTGCGCAGCCCGTCCCTCCTACACACCATCGCGGGTTATTTAGACGTATTGCACGTGTCTACTCATTCGCCTTTTTTGCTACCCTGAAAACTGTCACGACGTACTTCTTCTTGACCAGTGATCTATTCCACAACACTGCCGGTCTTTTGTCTACCCTCGTATTCTTTGTGAACCCTCATAGCTAGACGGTCGTCGGCATTCCCGGATCAAGAAGGCAACCACATCTATTGAAGATGTATATGGCGCGGTACTCATGCGCCTAAAGACAGTGAGTGACATGCCTCATATCGTTTTGACTATTGACTCCAGTATACGACCACCCGCCCTTAACCGCCTTACAGGCACTTTTGCAGATAAAATACGGCGACCAAAACCGTCGCAGGCCACTGGATATGATCCTGCTTAGATTCAAAGGTTTCGAGAAGCTTGTCTTGCATTCTCATCTATCTCAAGGAAATATTCGATATTGACATCGGTGAGCCTGCAGTACAAAATTGCAACTTTGAGAGAGTTACCGGTGTGTCACCGAGTATAACGTGGAGTATTGGATCGTAACTTGCTTCAGTCTGTGCTCAGATGCTGATGAATCTGAAGATTGTCTCCATTTTATTTTATTTTAGTGATAAGAGCGATGAAGTGTGTGTCATGTGTATAAGTTGTGTATCGGTTTCTCGATCCATGATCGGGATCCGACCCAAAAGGCATACGTTACGCGTACACCAGGCCTAGGTCTATCACGACGAGCGTAACTACTTGTTCGTCCAGAAAACATTTGTTCTTGTTGCAGTCGTACCCTTGAGAATTTAATCGCAATGCCATCTTCTGATCCCCGTAGGTCTACAAGCCTCCTTCACAGCGGTAAGCCCAAGCGATATGAAAGTAATATCATGTGAAGCTCTTCAAACTGCAGCTGGTAGCAAACGTTACGCCTCTGAGTCGAACCGGACCGTGTAATCAGCAAATTACTAACATATTCTTCCGGCGGAAATCTGTGAACATTGGCCGAAGTATGCGGAATCTCATCCATCTACGCAGTCTTTCATAGCCCTTGCCCATGCACCGGATATCAGCGGTAGCATGCCTTATTGTGCTCAAACCTTCAGGCTTCATCGCGTGCTAAGAAAAGGACGACGTATGCCAGCAGAGCTTACGACTTGGGCCGGCAGGGCTTGTCGAATACCGTTTTGCCGGCAAAAGGTCACCATGCCAGTGCATGGAAAATCCTGGCGTTTCTATTGCCTGCGTAGGCTTTTTATATTTAAAGCCACCTGAGAAAGGTGAGAAGTATTCCCAGACCCGCAGCACTTTCCCTCATCTGAGACGTCATTGAAAAAAGGCTTGACAGCTTCTCTCCTCGTCTTCTATCCGCCTAACGAAGTTTGACACTTTGAACAAGCACTTTCGTCTATTATGGGAAATGCTATTGGTACTTTTCGTACTGTATGGGACCAGTCACTTCCCCCGAAGTCAAAGTTCTCGACCGACCAGATTCCCGACCTTACTGGCCGAGTTGTCATCGTAACAGGTCAGCATTCCTTTCTCGTTGTCGCCCGTGAGCTAGTTCAGTGACAGTTTGCCATCAGGTGGTAACGTTGGAGTCGGAAAAGAAACCATTAAGGTAGACCCTTGCAGCGCTTGAACTATATTCCGTTGCTCATACGTGCAACAGGCATTGCTTGAACATAATGCGAAAGTGTATATGGGCTCGCGATCGAAGAGCAAGGCCGATGCTGCTATCAAGGATCTGAAAGCAGCTACGGGCAAGGAGGCCATCTTCTTGGAGCTCGACCTTAGCAGCCTTGCATCCGTTCGTCGTGCGGCGGATGAATTCTTAAGGTGCGCGCGCCAAGGATACCTTGTATCGTTATTTCAAGTAGCTGAAAACCGTTTTAGCAAGGAGACAGAGCTTCACTTGTTATTCTTAAACGCGTACGTCTGATGCATTTCAATTTCAACTGAGCGACTTCTCATCATGATCTGCAGCGGCGTCATGGTGCCTCCTCTGGATCAGATAACTGCTGAGGGATACGACCTTCAATTCGGTACCAATGTTGTTGGTAAGTCGCACGTCGCCTCGCCACCTCACCTACCAATGTAAAATTTAACGCCTTGCAGGTCATTTCCTCTTCACCAAACTCCTTCTCCCTGCTCTCCTGGCAGGAAAGGAGACGTCGCCCGATAAACACGCTAGGGTCATCACTACCTCTTCCTCAGCGGCCTACTTCTTCACGCTCGATTGGAATTCCTTCAAAGACGGGCCTGCACGTAAGAAACTGGGCATACAAAGATTGTACGCCCAGAGCAAGTTTGTACGCGCCTAAGACGTCCTTTCTTCGTATGTCAGGATGGGGAAACTCACTTGTTGCTTTACAGGCGAATGTTCTCTTTGCTCGTGAGCTTGCGAGACGATACGGTCATCAGGGAATTATCTCGATTGCCGTGAACCCAGGTATGCCTCCAAACTTCCGTTGTCACACCTGCAAAACATCTTATCAATACTGCTCAGGTAACCTGAAAACCGACCTTCAGCGTAATCTCAAGGGTTTGCAAAAGAAGCTTGTGGTACGTACATTCGCCGCGAACCCTTTTCCTCATTCTGCGCCCATTTTACGTCATTATTGCGCAGAACTTGATGCTCTACCCTGCCTCATACGGTGCCTTGACGCAGCTCTGGGCAGGAACGATGCCGGAGACGTTAAACCACAATGGCGAGGTACGTCTGACGTCAATCACCTCCGTCGCTTTGACAGATGCTAAGCGGATATTTGCTACGTAGTTCCTGATTCCGTGGGCGAGACTTGGCAGGTGCAGACCTGAGGCGTACGATGCTGAACTCGCTGAGAAGCTTTGGAACTACCTTGATGAGGAGGTTAAGGCCTTTGAGAAGAAGTGATTATGACTAACGCTCACGTAGGCCCGTCTCTGGTCTATTGCTTGGTGTTTGGTTGCTCCAATACGTTCATTGTATGATATCCTTTGTACCTGTAACATTATTTAATGTTTGTGAACTCCTATTCTCCTGTACGCTCGGCCACTGCTGTAGTGGACATACTCTTTCAGCAATCATCGCTTAACTTGCGGACATACCACTGAGAAGCTATCCGGGTGATCGACGGACTCTCATGTCAGACTTCAAATGAGACTCCGAACCATTTGACGTGTGGACGTTCGTGGTATTGCTGTTCAACAGGCACCGTATGATGATCGATGATCATGATAAGTCAGTACCGCACAATTGAATACTCTCTGCTGCGTCCTATCAGCTGTCAGGACGAGAAGACACTTGAGACGCGGGAGGTTATGCCTTAAGAAGGCACTGTTCAAGTTGGCGAGGTACGAAATATGAAATCATTTGTGATCTCCGTTGCGTATGAGTTGAACGTCGTGCCTGTGTAGACCAACACGAAAGTTGATCATAGGCAGGAGAGTACGGACGGATTGTCAGCATTTCATTTGATTGGATCGTCAAGCCGAACAAGAGGTGAGTTTGTTCGTCTCCCAAGTTTCGCAGCCCGACGTGGTCATCATCATCTACAATGTGCGAATACTGTATAGCAGATGTGGATTCACAGGTGAGCATAATTGCAATAAATCAATGGAAAGACACCTGAGAAAATATCGTGATCATACAGTAACATATCCACGGAGATACCAACCTCTTGAGGTGTCAACAAGTTGTGCTGTCTGCAGGTGAAGGCATGCGGCATGCATTCGGGGATTAGTCCATCGCCGTTCGGTATCAAGAATTGTTACCTGTCATCGTTATGATTGCCATTATCAGATCCAGGCCGTGACACTTACTCTTTAAGGATGAACAAGCCAACCCGGGGAACAAGACTACTTGAATGCACAGCAGGGTGGAGCAAACAGGAGGGCCCGAGAAACGATGATAAGCTGTGCAGCAAACCGAGGACCCTGTTCGCTGTTTCGAGTGCTTGATGAAACAAAGTTTGTTGCACTGGATAGGTATTTGTCGTGTGGCGTCCGAATAGAGAGATTATTCGGTTGCGACTCCACTATCTCCAGGATGCTCGTTTGCACGAGCCAATGACTTGATGACGATCATCTCGGGAGGCTGTCCTGAGATACCAAAGGTTGCTAGACAACAGAAAGAATGTAGATCGCACGACGTAATGAATAGCGGAGGATTCTCGAAAAAGAACATTAGCCGCAGCGTGTGTAAAGTGCCATACTCAACGATATTTCAAAGGCGAATGTCGGAATTGCTGTAGCGTTATACGGATTGACGGTTACCCCAACATGCTCAGAGGTAACCATCAATCCATACACTGTTGGTCCAAGGACCCGTGACATTGCCAAGCTATTATCTTTACATTACATTTCTGTTGTCCACGACGTAGCGTATGAGCGTGGAGAAAGTACGTATACGAGTCCGAGAAAGGACGGAGAATATATATCGTATTTCATCGGAATTTCCGTGACATCACGGATAGCGGGAGAGCCTCCGCCGAAAAGGAGAGGGCAGATAATTATGCCTCAATATTGCGTATAGTCGGGGCTGCCGTATACATTTGGTCGAGATTCGTGGTCTTCGCAATGGACGTCGAATCAAGTTCGCGCCGGGTCGGACTGATCGCGAAGAATGGAGAGTCCTAGGAACCACGCTTTCTTGGATTAGCTCAATCAGAAATCAGAAGGCAAGTAATTGATACCAGTATTCAATGGGTGCTCTCGAGGTCATAAGTTGCTCTATCTCTCCAGGCTGAGGCTGTCCAGATTGTAAAGCTTAGTTGAATACACGACTCTGTTGAGAAGAAACAGCACTGAGTGATGGAGATCCTCGAGGCGCAGGTGAACAGGACGACAAACAGCGCACAACATGTCAAGAAAACTTCCGAGCATGTCAAGTCCATGAGTACAAGGGTAAATATCGCCCTTACTCCTGACAAGAATCCCATCAGGTCAGCGGCGTGTACTACGTAGAACTCCGAGGCAAGAGAAAGGCATACCAAAGACGATGATATAGATGCCTTATATCCTCTTATAGCCAGCTAAGTTTTAGAAGATTAGGAGGCATTACTGGTCTAGCGTGCGATGCTTGCCCGTTGCAAAGAGCATCGCAGTCATCGTACATTTCGACGATGGCAGTCGGTGAGAGAAAGCGAACATGGATAGCACCCATTTTGGGCAATCTGAATCGGTGTTGACCGCCCGCCGCTCCGCCTCTGCCGGCACCTTCTGGCACGAGCAGCGGACTGCTTCACAGCAACCGCCTCCATTGAGGATTCAAATGCTGTTTTTCTCGTCACGCAGCAGGGTATGTTGCATGGAAGATTGTTCACATCTTTTCGCTTTCGACCTTTTCGGATCGTGATACAGAGCCCTAGTTCAGTTTTCACGTCCATTGCTCTGAATCTTTCTTGACGAGCTGAAGCTCTGTCGGCTTAGAGCCGAACTCAATGTGCTGCAAACAGCACGACTGATATGTGTGAGTATCGCCGCTCATGCTCAGCTGTCATGCCAATCCGATCCTGACGGGAGAATAACAGATCGTTGACGCCTCCGAACCATAAATGTGGTCAAAGGCCAATTAGAACAATTATTGTCGGACACTGCTGTCACCACACAGCCGCTGTGATACTTCTTAAGCCTGTCATTTTCCGGCGTATTACACGGTACAGTTGTGACGAATCTAGTCATCTGCAATGCGTCGGATCAGCCATAATCCATAACGACGCAGGCAATTCTAGATGTCCTTTGACATGGACCCGCGGAGTATATGAACCGAACATCATGTACATTCCTCTCCCACAAATTCTTTCCCCCCAACCCTCCCGACGCACACCTTCCCTCCATGTCTGCGGTGGACCTCGAAAAGTGTGATACGCTCCTGGATGACTCGCGAACCAAACTCGGAGGATGTACAACCGCTTCTTACATTTCTCAGGATCGCACTGAGCTATCGCGTGCATCAACTGTAACACCTTCATTAGACGATGTATACCCAGACGGTGGTCTGAATGCCTGGATAACTGTCTTCGGCGCCTTCCTTGCTTTACTATGTACTTTTGGCCAACTCACTTCGTTTGGCACCTTTCAATCCTGGTATGCCGAACATCAGCTACAACACCTATCGCCTTCGACTATCTCATGGATTGGATCCCTTCAACTATGGGTCTTTTTCTTCTCCGTGGGTTCTACATCATGCTTCCTTTCGAGATCATTGTTAATAATCTACACTTATCCTCAGGGTGGTTTTGTTGGTCGCTTGTTCGACGCATATGGACCCCACGTACTCATGATTCTGGGTACTGTGATACTCGTGGTTAGCACGATGATCACTAGCATATGTACCGAGTACTATCAATACATACTATGTCAAGGCGTTCTCTTTGGTCTAGGAGTCGGATTATTGTATGTCGGTCTTCTCTCCTTTTAAAACCATCTGATGAGGTGTCTATGTTAGGTTCTATCCGTCCCTTGCAGCTATTTCAACACACTTTCGCAAATATCGAGCCACGGCATTGGGTATTGCAATGGCCGGTTCCGGTGTAGGTGGGCAAGCAAACATTATCATCTTCATGCTCAAGTTACTGACTTCTGCTCGCTCCCGAATAATAGGTGGCGTTATCTATCCGATCATGTTTCGCCGGCTTTTCGTGACTTGCGGTTTTGCATGGGGTGTTCGCATCTCAGGCTTCATCGGCCTAGCACTCTGCATCGCAGCAACTTTCATGATATCTAGTCGCCTCGCTAACTCAAGACCTAAGGCCTCGGAACCTTGGCTCGACTTAAAACACTTAAAAGATATCACGTTCATGCTTCTTGTAATCGGAAGTGTATTTGTATCACTTGGTGAGCGTTCCAGTGATACTTTTGAACTGGGTAGCTAATGCGACACGCGTAGGTCTTTTCGTACCTAACTTCTACATCGTATCATACGCCACCGAACACAACCTGTCCCCATCTTTGGCTTTCACAGTTCTCGCCGTACTTAACGGAGGCGGTATCCTAGGACGCCTCGCGCCACCGTGCCTCTCCGATGCCCTGGGTCGCTTCAACCTCCTCATTCCTTCAGCATTCCTTGCCGGTCTATGTACGCTTGTGTTCTGGAGCTTTGCTAAGACTACAGCCGAGATCATGCTCTATGCCATCTTATATGGGTTCTTCTCTGGTGCTTTCAATGCACTCATCATCCCGTGTATTGCCCAAATATCCGATATTCGGGAGATCGGTGTGAGGATCGGGATCCTCTACAGCATCATTTCATTCCCGTAGGTTTCCCGCTTTTCGTTAGAGGCCAATTTGGTTGACGATGACATCTCGTTCAGGTCGTTATGCGGAGGTCCAGCAGCGGGAGAACTTCTCAAACTACAACACGGGTCGTATGAGGGCATGATCGCGTTCAGCGGTGCTGCAGTAGCCTTTGGGTCCTTGTTCATGCTATGGTCCCGACTTCGGATCAGTTCCAAGTTTCTTGTTGCCCTGTAATACTAACGTCTCTCGTCTTCTTTTCACGTTTGAATCTCAGACATTTTGCTTCTACCCGACACTCCTTTCATAACAGCAATCGCATCTTGGTTACGATTCACCATTCAATAATCATGTAGCATAGCTTGTATTTTAGTATACCCTGATTACGAACTAGTTCAATGACGATTTCTTGAGAATCTATCCATGCAAGTGACCGAGTCTGCTCACAGTCTCGCAGTCTCAGAGTCGAGATCTGTAACTTATTAATACTAGCATCAATCAACAGGGTAATATAGAAAATTGAGCGATTTACTTTGGGTCCTTGTCGATTAGTGGTTAGATCATCACGTTGTGGTAACACAATTCCGTGAAGACGGAGGCTCGAATCCTCCCTGGGACACTTTTTCTATCATCTTTCTTTTTCATTCATGCTGGAACTGAGACTTTGGAAATCATGACAGTTGCGACGTGCTCTCCAGAGTCCAGAGTACTCCATAGGACCTTGCAATGATCGGCTTTCCTTTCTCGCTCTCGAGAACGTGATCAAGTATTATCTGACCGAGCCACTGATCGTGTTAAAAATTGTCGTATGTCGTCTTCTTACCATTCGCTCGCCCCCCTCATCTGCAGAATGGACTGCTTGTATATGTCTCGTTCTGTCCTTCAGGGTACTCACCGGCTTTAAGCCTTGGCTTATATCTATGGCCTTATTGGATTCATTATTTCTTCTTGAGACGATGCACTCTGGAAGTTCGGTTGCATATCTAGTTGCCCGTTCAGAATATGTTCCATTTTTAGTCGATTTCAGGTCAATGTCCACTTCCTCTGAGGTTATCAAGTACAGTAAGCTGCTGACTTTTGCGATACCTGCAGCATGCGATCGGAGCGCCGCGGTAAGTATAGCGCCTAGCGTTATGTCGAGCGACAGTTATCAATGTGAGAGACTAAAGAGTGCTAGTCAAAATACAGTCACGACACTCGGTCAAAATACAACCAGAGTGAAAGACAGAAATTTACCAGAGGGTCGCCTGGTTGAGTGCCAACAGGTGCTGGCAAACATCAACGGAGGAACTTCCTTGAAGAAGTGGCGCTCCTGCTGTACACCGGCGTCTCTTTCCGGCCCCTGCTGTGCTTCCCAATGCGGATTCTCAACCAGTGAGTTGCACTCTCTAAGCATCACTTTCTATTAGGCCTCGATAAAAAGACAGTAGTAAGCTGCACATATTATCCCTTTATCTAGGTGGTGTACTTATGATATCTGGTAATAGATTTTCAATTGGTATCCCGTCTAGTGCTCATCGCTGTGTCTTTGTAAAAGACAGTTCAGCTGACTCGCGTTCATCGGGTTTACGTCTGTTGCTGGTTTCCCCAGGCACTCGATTCCGTGATCTCACACATCGGGTATGTGAGAGCCTGAAATTCTCTCGGTGAAGACATGACTTGGTATCGTTTCGTTTGACACGCTTTTTCCTACTACGCCATAAGTAAGTTCTCGAATAGCTCAGACTACAAGTGCAGTAATAGTTCAGACCATCCTGGCACTGTGAAATGCAGTAGACCACCCATACCGTCCCCAAAATCCTTGATGCCGTGGCATGCACGATATGCTTAGCGGCATTTGCTTATCCACATGCCTCCCCTCTAGAATGATCCGGGTATGTGTGTATTTCAAGCCAAATGGACCGCATCTCTAACGGTCGGTCGGGCGCACTCCACCTTATGCCGGAATCCCGCTGCAATTCGTCCAAGTTCGTGCCGCTATAGCCCTCGCTAACTCGAAAATATGAAGGTATCTCCCAAGACTTTCACAGTATAACTACCAGCGTGAGTCCGCTCTCACACTCCCATCCTTGTACTCTCCTCACAGAATATGGCTCTCAGGACCTACCTCAGCATTCTTAATGACGCTGCTGCCCTGTTTCCCCAGAGCGCCGCTTTTCAAGTCCCAGACCCTGCCTCTGGCGGTACTGGATCTCGAGGATGGCGACCCATCACGTATTCTCAGTTCGCGAACGACGTTGAAGAGTACGCGAAATACTGGGCCAGACTTTTGACCTCAGACGGTTTACCACAGAAAAGTATAGTCGGACTTTGGTATGTCTTTCCATTTCGCTCGCATTTTGCGCGAAGCTCAGTTGTTAACTTAGGGTCGGCGGTTTCGAATACACCGATGTTCTGCACATTTACGGTCTTACAAGGGCAGGATACATTCCCCAACTCTTCCCCGGGAGACTCCCGAACTCTGCCGTGATCTACGAACTGATGGAGATGGCGGGAGCGAAAGCACTCGCCTATGACCCTACGTTTGGTCCAGTGACCGACTGTCCCGTTGTTACCCACATCGCTCGCGCGCTTTGTTCTGATGATGTTAAAGGCACGCCTGCTTTACCGCCAACTCCCGTTGACGTGAATGCAGAGGATATAGTCATCATTTATCATACTTCTGGCTCCACGGGTAGACTCCCGAAGCTTGTACGGTGCAGCTACAGGTGGCTCGAGTCCATGATCACTAAAACGGCCCACGTTACCAAGCCGAAGAATACGGCTGGGCAGGATGTAACGGTCTGGATGTCAGCAGATCTTCCGTTTTACATGTAAATGACCTGACAGTAAACCAACGAGTAGGGGATCCATGGCTCACAGTCCCCAGAACTTCATGCTCATGGGGGCCATACAGCATGGTTCTTGTACTATCCAACCAACGAAGGTTCCTTACAGCGCCGAGGAAGTCCTAGACATGATCCAGATGTGTCGTTTGAACCGCATCAACGTCTACTCGCCTCTCTTGACCTCACTCCTTCGGCAGTCCAAGAAGGACAAGGAGTTCCTCACGGCCTTAGCAAGGCTGGACGAGGTCTTGTACACCGGGCTCGCTTTGCCCAAGGAAGACGAAGACTGGGCCTACAACAATGGGATTAAGCTGACAAACATTTTCGGGAGTACGGAATGCGGTGCGCTCTTGATCTCCATAGGCGGGACAGGTCCCGAAGCTCGCCTCTTTCATCCTATTGAAGATACGGCGTACGGCTTCTTTCCCATCGACTCGTCGGATACAGCGGCATCACATACCAAGCTTCTGGAACTTGTAGTTCTGTCACAATCCGGAGACTGTCCTGAGCCGTCTCGCCGCTCAGAGGACGGACACTTCCATACGGGTGATTTCTTCGAAGAACTCTTCCCGGGATGTTATGCGTCCAGAGGAAGGGACGATGACTGGATCAAGTTGGCCAATGCTGTGCGTTGCGATACCAAGGGAATGGAGGATGAAGTTCGAGCGGTGTGTGGAGACCTTGTCTCAGAGTGCATCATAGTTGGAACTGGTCGAAGATGCCCCGCGCTTTTCGTCGAAACCTTGTCAGAGATGGGAAAAGAGGACGCTGAGAAAATACGATTAGACATAGTCCGGCGCATGACGTTGTTCAACTCCAGACGCTACATCGAAGAACGCATTGCTACAACACAGCTGGTGTTCGTAGTAGCTTCTGGATCTCTTCCCCGCACGACGACGAAAGGGAATATCCGAAGGAAGGCAGTTGAAGAAACATACAGAGAAGAACTGGACGAGGCATATGAAGGTCTGAAGGAAGCTTAATCGACATTGGAAACCAGAAGCGTCCGATCATCGAATATTGTCAATGTATATTATCCACTGGAATACTGTAGTACTACCCCAGGATGACTTCATAGGACCGTTCCAGCTAAACTTTTCGAAGACGAATGTATCATGAGAAGGCCCTTTGCTATAAAGGTCGCTAAATAAATTTGAATCGCACAGAACCACTGATAGGCCTCCGGAAAGGAAGATAGTAGTATACACTTGGAACAACAGCCAACCACTTACTTAGTACATAAACATGGGTTCTGCCTGCCTCTTGGCGCTGAAGTTGAAACTTTGCGGCTATATGTTGTTGCCGTCTTTGGGGGTACTCACAGACGCCACTGCCAAACAAGGCCAAATATGCTGGTTTAAATTTCCCCGTGGGCAACTCGTACTTTTTTGCTTTGGCCCTGACCATCGGTGAGTTTGTTTTCCTTTCCACTTATGAAGATGTCGGCTTTAAGCCATTATTTATTGTCAATGACTCTCCCATGATCACAAATCGTGTTCTGACTTCCTGAATCTTCGTCACGTTCTTTATCACCGGTTCTGACTTAATTTCTTCAGGTCCGCTTGAGATACCGGAGCTGCGCCACTTTTTTTCCTTACCTCAGTACCAATCGTTGACATTGTAGAGATATACTAGCTATGAACGCTCCTAATTGCTATGAGTTTTATGTTCTAGAGGAAGGAGAGCGACCGTGCGTGTGTCCAGTTCTTCTGCTAAGGCAATCCTTGAATGAACACGTGTTCTAGTGTTGAAGTTGAAGTTACAGGGAATACAAAAATTCCCAATTCGGTTACCATTAAGATCGTGAAGCAGGATCATACCTTGGACAACGTCCTTCGATCGTAAGCGGAACCAGAGCATGAGTTTGATCTGTTCACAGCAACAGTGTTCTTGCAACCAACTGCTCACAATGCTTCAGGTTTTCTTTGCAGGCTACAAAGTCCCACATCTTCTACATCCTTACTTTCTGATCAAGATTCAGATTGATAGCACTATTGCCCGGACTAGTACTGAAGTTCCCGAGCAAGCATGTCCAGACCTTATCGGGAAAATCGCGTCACTTGAAGCAACCTTCGAGGAGCAATTCCAGATGAGAAGTATTGGAGGTGCTGTCTCCAGCATCGATGATCCTTATGGCACTGGAGCTGCAACATCTTTATTCCCTGAAGGCAGAGACTACTTGGATTTCTGATTGGGATCATGCATTTCCTCAAATCGTACAGTCATGGCCCGCAATGGCAATACTGGTATATGGCGTTCCCTACTGGACCATCGACTCCGCTTAATGGCTGTGAATTATGACCACACATACGTGGTAAGCGTCGTATTCCAAGCTACACGTAGAACCGTATCACGGCTAATGAGGACCTAAGCAACAAAATGAGGATGTATTCTAAGTTTCGAGTTTTCTCGGTGTCCGAGACTTCAGCTGTCATCATCCTCAAAGGGATTGCCGGAAACGCTAGGCCCCCAGGACAAAGGGCTATGAGTACCACTAGGGAGAACAGGGCCGTAGAACCCACGGCCATAACCACGCTGAAAACCACGACCTCCCGGACGCGTGGTGCCGTGTATAGCTGTCGACCGAGGCGACACCTTCCCTTTTCCAGATGTTGATGCTTTCATGGGCTTCATTGTTTCAGAATTGTTCTGAAGAAGATACTTGAGAACATTCGCTGTATGCAAGTGGTCTGGATGTATGATCTCGTTGAGCTTTGCTTCCAAAAGCGGCGTGAAGTCAGACGATTTCAACCCGGACATATGCAGGAAATCGAGCTGCGCCTGGAGGACCTCTGGGTATCTAATACACATGGTAAGTGAAGGACAAGCAATCCATGTCAACAATTGAACACTTATTTGGACGAGAACTTTGAGAACACCTCATCCAGAATACCACCTGGAGTCAATTTTGACTGAATATCATTGGCGGCGCGTTGCTTCAAGTCCTCAAAACCATACTACGACATCAAACCCCTTTAATGTCCGCTTTCTCAATCTGCAATATGGTTCTTTAGACTCACTTTATCCGCAAGGCGGTACATAGATTTCGGAGAACATAACGGCGGTTCCTCCAGTTTGGTATCCTTGTGTTGAGTCCTTGCTTGAGCACGTACGTCTTCACCTTGCGATCGTAAAGGTGCAAACCTGATTTCGCCTGTGTAAATATAGAACAGTAGGGCTTGCCAGCTGGACCTCATGAGACAGTCGGCAGGTAGTATGAAGTGACTGCACATACGTCGTGGCAGCGCAGTCAGGTATTAAGATTGAATATTTTGTGGCTTGGGGAGTTGGTTGTATCGTCCAAGCGGCGTTTGTCTCCTGCTGCGTGTCGATCAACAATTCATCAACGCTTCATCCTGATATTGTATATCTATGAGGTTTCGCTCACCCTGCCCTTCGAATTCGATCCTGAGCTGCCGGTAGGCAATATCTCTATGGACTCATCGCTTAGTGATCCAGTCTCTTCTTCATCCTCCAGGTCACTATCTGAGTCGTAATCGTACTCGTTGGTCTCGGGAGGTACCTCGTCCCCCGTCGAGAATTTCTCGGATAACTCTGTAAGGTCTATATGAGCATCACTCTCATCGAAAAGCGCAAAGGATTAGGAACACACGACGCTTAAAGTAGTCTGTTGCGTTGAGAATGCAACTATTGCCGTAGACTACACGAGGCTTCCCCACCTTGCCGGAAAGCAGACGCATCGAGTAGACATGGTAAGCTGTATCAACGAAATCGCCATTCAAGATCGAGCAAGCCAGGGCCTGTTGAAGTTCCGCAGGAGGGAAGGTACAGCCAGAATTGAGTGCCATGAGAGGGTCAAACTGGCAACACCAGACGGCATGTTCATCTGGCAGAGCATCTTATAGATACTCTAGCTACTATCGATAGACACCCGCAGCAATTAATGCCACGATGCAAAGAAGCAAGACTGCATTGATGCATCCTGCAGATCAAAAAGTGAAAAAACTTGAGACACGGCGGCCACAGTGAGATAACTGAGCGGCGTGGCGTGTGTATAAATTTACAACGATTCTAGGCCTTATTGACAAAAAAAACAGCTCAAAGCCATCGTCTTGAAACATGGACACTGTTGCATGTAATATAACGCATCGAGACCACGAGGCAGACGTCGCATGCTGGTACAACGTAAACAAATGAACTGGCGTCTTGCCAAACATTGCAGTCTACAAAATAGGTCAGGCGTTGACCTTCCTTTGATAACAAACGATAAATATGCTATACGGTACCTTCCAAAGTCTAGCATCTCAATGCGTTCATCTTTTGGCGAAGGTAAACATTCGGGCACACATTGAAGCATCAGACCATGAAATCGAGGCCGATCTCAGATAGGCCCGAAGCAAATGCTCGTCCTTTCATTGAACCTAATTGAACCCAGGGCCCTGCTGCGTGATTTACGTGCACTTCCTGCAAGACTTCAGAAGCTCTCTATGGTTTATATCTTGCCCCTTTTCCAGCTTTCTTCCTCTCGCCGAAAGCCGATGTCGGGACGGGATCTCCCTCAGGTGTGTTTATTCTCTTATAGTCATGTGGAGCATCAGGTGTGGCTGGTCTACTATAGTCGCATGAAGGCGACATCACACCATTGTCTGCTGCCGGTGGAGGGGGGGACAATAGCGGTGATGGGTTTGGTGTTATTTTCTGCAATAACGACATGAGAATGTTTGTCGCGTGAGGCAATTCTCCTTCGACGACACTGCGAATCTTCTGCTGGAGGCCTATCGCCACTGCCGGCCTTGACAACCCGTGATCACAGAGGTAGTCCACTTGCATACTCATGATGTCACAATATCTGCAATTCATATCATTAATACCCCTAGGGTGTTCGAAATGAAGCGAGAAAACGCTATCCACCTTGAAGAAAACTTGGAAAACACTTCATCTAAGATCATTGTGGAATGCAACTTGGTCCGGAGATCGGAAGAAGCCCGAACCTTTAGAGCCTCCAGGCCAACCTACATAACTTATTAGAACCTAGATTAATGTCGAGATTCATGAAACCTCACCTTATCTGCAAGTCGATACACTGACTTGGGAGAACAGAGAGGTGGACGATGGGGATGATCGTATTTGTGCTGCTTCATCGCTTGCATGCGACCTTCGGCTCCTTGTGATCTCAAAGGAGCGAAGTTGATCTTGCCAGTGTAGATATAGAATAGCAAAGCTTCCCATCTATAGTAGACATTTCAATTCACACTACTCAGAAGGGTTCAGGAATCGAGTCAAACAAACGTGTTGGCTGCAACGTCAGTGATGACAACGGTGTGTTCTACTGCTTCATTGGCTTTGGGTGGTTCTGCCTTCTTCGACAACTCATCGGAATCTTCGGATTTAGACTGGGAGAATAGGTAAAGGTGTAAGAACATCTGAGCAGAGTCGTGGTTAGGTGTATACCTTTCCCTTGTCACGGCTGCTTGAAGGCGATGTAGGGGATCTGACCTCCTCAAGATCCCAATCGTCGTCCAGATCACTGTCGGATTGATACCCGTATTCATCAGCCTCGACTTCCTCTGGGGTCTCATGCGTCTTGGAGAAAGATGCTGACAGTTCTGAGGAAATGCGTAGTTAGCCCCGGAAACATGTTGCCAGTTCGCATGGAACCCACGACCACGAAAGTGTTGTCCAGCAGCCTTCATGACCAGACTGTTGCCATAGATGACACGAGGCTTGCCCACCTTCCCCGACAAGAGGCGATGAGAGAAAATATGATAAGCTGTATCTATAAAAGAACCACGAACAGCAGATTGCGCCAGAGCATCCTGCAGATCGAAAGGCGGAAAGATTTCAGACGCAGCCATAGTGAGACAACTAAACAGCGTTGTGGTGCAACGACCGAATGGCTTATCTATGATCTAGAGGTTCGAACATCGACAATGTTGTAATATAATGCATTGAAACCACGAGGCAGATGTCACATGTTGGTAAAAGGCAAATGAATGGATTGGTGTCTGTAGAATACATCAATCGCCGAATTTTCTTTCGTAACAAACAGTAAAGATGCCATACAATACCTTCCAAGGTCTGGCTTTTTAATGCACAGGGTTTTTGGCAGAACTAGACACTACAGCACAAACTGAAGCGCCAGACCATGAACCAAGGCCTATCTCAGATATGCCTGAAGCAGGAGCTCGTCGTTTCCTCGAACCTAATTGAACCCGGAGACCTGCTCGTGACTTACGTACACTTCCTGCAAGGCTGCAGAAGTTCGCTATGACTCCTTGAAATGGATTTCCTCCGGCTCTATCTTATCATGTGATCCTGCATTAGTGCAGTAGAGTGCATGGCTCAACGTAAGTCGTGAAAAGACGGCGAATCCATGAGGCCGCCTACAACTACTTTCCCGGACGAGAGTATGCCGAGACACACGAGCTCCGGATCCGATATTTTTTGCACCTTATACATCTGCAGACGAAGAGGAAGCGTCCATAAGGCATCACCAACGGAGTTCTATAGATATTACGACTAATGAACCACTCACCTAGGGACCATAGTGTGACTGTCGGCTGATTTGATCCACGGTGATTCAATATACTCTCGGGGACCTGCAAGTATCAAGATCGAGTTTTAAAAAAGAGTCGGACACAGAGACACGTTAGGAGCACATACAGGGAAGATGACATGGGGCCGAAGCTTGACACAAGCTTTCTAGATTGCCGCCTTTTGCTGAAGACATAACTTCTATAGTAGGCGTCGCTGTGAACTTAAGAGCCAAAGTTGCGAAACGATGTTCGATACGTATGTACGCCAGCCTCGGCAATACCAACAAACAGTGAAGATAAACTCAAGTGAGGGTCTGTCGAAGCCAGGGAGAATAGCACCTGAACGCGTGAGCCGATAAATGCCACATGAAGTCGTCTAAATGGTACGCGTACCTGAACGCTCGACCCACAAACCACCTTTATTCAAAGGTCCACGGACGGAATCTGGAAAGTCCTCGCCACCAATATTGCCAATGAGCTTCCATATGGTGAAGTCCCCTCCGCCAATCAACGAGTATTCTCGTATACCACGAGAGTTCTGTGCACGCATACGAGTCTGTGAAAACCATACGACTATTTTGGTGGCTTGCTTCGAATGCATCGTCTGATTTCCAGCCACCATCAAGCCCGATGCACGAATTCAGAAAGAAACATAATGAAACTGACCTAGGTGCTTTGCCGTTAGGATTCACAATGAACGTTAGAACCTTTATATCTCGCGAGATGGTCATGTCAGAGAAAGAGAAGGTACTATTGGCCGTATCAGCACCCGCGAGACCTTGATTCGGTCCGAGGAAGCGACCATTCAAAAAAGCCGAAAATCTGAAATCCGACCCTCTGGGCAAAGCCAGGCAACATCAGACGGGACTACCAATTCATGGACCTTGCCCCTGAACAGACCCTGGTGGAACAATGTACCCCTCGAGAGCATGTACACCTAAGAGCGCAGTCAATGCAAGCCAAAGTAGAGTCAGCCGTCTCATAGCGAGGGTCGTCTTGAATTTACGGAGATATACTGTCTCCGTGTAGTGTCCATAACAGTCAAATACATTGGAGCTGTAGATGATCAGAAGACAATTGCAGCGGAGGTGAGAGGCGTGTTTGCGATGGACGGGCCGATGGTGGATCGCGTCTACAAAGCCCATAGATCTGGCGAAGATCCAGTGAATTGTTGGCAGGAAGGAAGAATAGCATGCTGCCTACTGTAACTCTCACAGGGGCCAATGGAGGACGATCTGAAAAATGAGTCCAGAGCGTGAGCTCACGTGGCGGTATAAAGTATCTTACCCCATGAATAGGTCCCCTACGACGACCTTGCGACGATAGAAGTTGGTACATCACAAGTTTCTCGGACTGCAGAAGACGTCGAGAGCAAAGATTCAGCATATATTTGTAGATGAAATTGCGAATACGCCATAAGGACGTATCGAGGTTCAACCAGATAATGTGATTCCGCCAACCGTAGTGGCATCAGCTTGAGTAAAGTTAACAGAGGGTTTCCTATCCCAGGGGAATGAGGCTCCAACAAGGTGAAAACAGTTTAAGAAGCCAATTTATCCTGGTGGTATGGAGAAACCGGGATGAACGCTGAAAGCAAGTCTTTAACCGTCACGTAGTCACCAGATGGCATGACTGTGACAGATGGCGTTGCAAAGACGCGTCGCTCATACTGTACCATTTCGAACGGTTCGTCACCCGTTGTGACCTGTGACACCACCTGACGAAATTTTGTGTTCGTCGAGGGTGCCTGTGACATGAGACACATGGTATATTTCGTCAAGTTGACTTTTCGTCAGCCAAATGGCTTAGCGGAAAGGACGGAGTATGGGGCGTGGTTTTCAATTCCCTATAGCAGCATTGTTAATTTACTATTTTTTGCTTGCCCAGTTTTCATACTGGCGCATAACTCGAAATGTTGGTAGGCTGGAGCCGCTAGACCGATTCGTCAACAGCCTCCGTGACCTGTGACTTTGACGAAATTTCGCTTCGTCAAGCATGCCTGTGACGCGTGACTGACGAACCGTTCGAAATGGTACAGTACTCGACCGAGCTCCTTGCAGTTCACTTTAAGTTCGATATGTTCTTTGAACTACATCGGATATCTGTTTAAGATGTAACGGCTTAAACACGCATCTACGGTGAATCAAACTACATCTCCGAAGATCTGAATTCGGAACTTTTGTTCTCGTTCGGTGGGACGCATAATCCTTACTTGCTCCGACGGGTTTAAATAGACCAAGTACACGCGAATGCAACTGTAATATCGGGGCAATTCCGGTGACATTACAAATATTTAAGGAAAGACTCTCTACATGAGACTTAAAGAAAGTGAAGGATGGGGAAATGAACAATACATCTAAGCGTATGCCTTTCCGCCATACGCATCTCCGCTGACAGAGGTACCACCATTGCCGGCCTTATCTGGAAAGACGAATGGTCAGTCGAGAACAGAGAGGAAGGGATAAGTAAACTTACTGGCTCCCTTGTCGTTGACAACGACGCCTCCAAAGTTGCCGACGTTACCACCGTTGGCATCGCCGGAATCTCCTGAGTAGGCATTGCCTCCACCACCCTTTCCATTACCGGCTACAGCAGTTCCTGACTTTGTGTAGCCGCCATTGCCAGCCTTGTCTAGAAGTAATGGCGTGCATGAGTGATGTGTATGCACAAGAGTAACGAATAGACAACATACTAGCGAAGGGACCGTTGAAGATCTTGTAGCCGTCGTTGACGACGTCACCACCGTTCACATTGCCCGAATCGCCCGTCTGAGCATTACCTCCCTTGCCGAAAGTAGGGAAGGAAGGATATCCACGCTTCCAGGCATTCCCGCCGTATGCGTCTCCACTGATGGAAGTGCCACCGTTACCAGCCTTGTCTAGAGATTAGCTAAGTCAGCAAAAGTTCAAAACGATAATGCAAACAATGAACTGACTGGCTCCTGATCCGTTCGAGATGTATCCACCGCTGTTGTAGACAGATCCACCGTTGGCATTGCCAGAATCACCTGACTTAGCATTTCCTCCTCCACCTTTGCCGTTGCCGCCCACAGCAGTTCCTGACTTTGTGTAGCCACCGTTGCCGGCCTGGTCTAAACGAAAAGACGAAGATTAAGGTGCGGTATCCGCCGGACAGTAGCTGAAGACTTACTGGCTCCCCAACCATTCCAGATGGAGCCGCCCTCGTTGACGACATCACCGCCGTTCACATTGCCGGAATTGCCAGTCTGGGCATTTCCTCCCTTTCCAAAGCTTGGGAAAGAAGGGTAGCCACGCTTCCCGTTGCCGCCATATGCGTTACCACTAACAGAAGTACCGCCGTTACCGGCTTGGTCTACAGACAACATGTGGTCAATTACAGTATTGTTAGAAAAACGTCGAGTAACTCACTAGCTCCCTTGCCGTTGACGATAGTGCCGCCAAAGTTACCAACGTTGCCACCGTTGGCATTACCGGAGTTGCCGCTGAAAGCATTACCGCCTCCACCAGGACCATATCCACCTACGGCGGTGCCAGTCCCAGTGTAACCGCCATTGCCGGCTTCATCTGTGAAGAGTTCGATATTAGGAATAGTTTGTATGAGTGGAGCGCGACGACAAGGACTTACTAGCCCAAGGGGAGTTCTTGATTTTCCAACCCTCGTTAACGACATCGCCGCCGTTGACGTTCCCAGAGTCGCCTGTCTGAGCGTTCCCACCCTTAGCGGGCTTGGGGAAGGAGGGGAAACCTGGCTCGCGTTCAACGATGACGGGAACAGCAGAGGCAAGAGTAGCAACCAGGACAAGCGATGCAAAGAGTGAAGTACGCATTATGGATACAAGAGATAGTACGAATGGATTCGGTGGTGGACGCGTTGGCTGAGCGGGAGATGTAGGAATGCACGGCGAGTCCGTTGAGAATTGAAAGGCAACATCCCCCCACTATTTATACCTCTTTGTTGCGAGAAAGGAGTCAATGCAACCTCTGTATTGTTAAGAGGAGCAACATACCTGGACTCCAGAGTCGCGACCTGAACAAGGCGCTAAACCGTTCAAGTTGTTCAGGAGGTAACGGTGTTTACGATCATTCACGATCAGAGAGTCTCGTTCTGCGGCTAGGAGCGGATATCCTAAAAGAACTTAACAATCATCGCTAAATTTACGACCTACAGCCATGGGATCAGCCCATGCTAGTAATGAACGAACAGAGACAAGTCACCTTGCGCAGTATTCGGACTGGTAAGTCCGCCAAAGCACAGGACCAGGCTCTAGTGCCTGAGGCTGAGCATACACCTTCACTGATTTAGACACGTGTCCGTTCTTCCGCGTGTCTCGACCTGCGGAATTCCGTAGAGGGATGCGAAGTCTACGGCCAAGGCCAGACTACTTACCTTGGCGTTCCTTCCCCATCGCACAATGGAGCATACCCGCGAAAGCATTGAACAGAACCTTGTGCGCTGAATGTTAACCGGGAGTATGCTGAAAAGCAAGGTAGCGAAAATCACGCAAGTGACCGAAAAGGAGAGGCGGTTACCAAACTCGGGAACGGAAGTATGCTTTGCGACTGCGGCTTATTGGATGCCAGTGATCATTGAAAGTTAACGCTGAAACCCCCCAAAACACACCTCCTGATCTTGTACGCATACTCTCAATACATTGTCAGAGAGCAGGAAAAAATGCTACTCGCGTTGACAGAGACCAGAATGACCCAGATATTGTCTGAAAGGTTGTGCTCAGGATACTAAAGTATCCTGAGACGCCGCTAATTCAGGTTGAACATCCGGTGAAACAAGAGGCATGTATCCGAATCATTGTCAAATACAGTGTCGAAACCAGTCTTGAGAAACCATTATATGCTCCTGTACTTGAGCAATTGCTGGGGCTCAAGAATATAATGTGTCGAGCCGTTCAACTTCAAATTGCACTGTAAGAAGCAACAATGAGAAGTTCCGGATGAACATAGCTTAGCAACTCACGAAAATTCCTTCTTCGCAAGCAATTTCTCCCTCCGTTCTCGCCCTTCCTTCCTCTGAGCTTTCTGCTCCCTTCTCACCTCCAACTTCTCCTTCCGTTCATGCAACAGCTCCTCTCGCCATTCACGCCATTCTCGACGCGACGCTAACGCGCTCTTGATCGTTTTCAAATTGCTATGCCATCCGGGGAACTGTCGCCTCAAATTTCCACGAATCTGGAATATCTCCCCACGTTGTCGTCTCTTCTTAGAGGGTGGAAGAGGACCAGCCATGTGTGCTTCATACCATTTCTCCAGGAATGCGACATGTTCCTCCCGAGAGAGCAATCCGTGAGGATAACGATTGGTAGGTCTGAATGGCATGATTAATGGATTCGAATTGTAGAACTTAGAAGACCACGAATTAGATGGTCACACTGTACAGTATGTGCAATGTTCAACGTTCAGCACTCGGCCACCAAGAACTTCATTGGGTGAACCCGGTCTGCGCCCAATATGGATATATGCTCCCACGACTTAACGAGTTCAATTCCAGGTCGGTGGCTGGCCGTCATGTCGTTCGTTGCTGTGGTCGTGGTGATAGCCTGACTGGATTTCTCAACCCTTCGCAGCCAGTTCCTAGGCTGAATGCACCCTTAAATGCTTGTGTATAGGCTCTCAGACCCTTTGGAAACATCTGAATTCAGCAAGGCCAAGTTCGTTCTTCAAACGAGCTCTTCAAGACCGATTTAGACGGTCAAACCCCACAACGTAAGGTCTAAATCGGTCAAACCCCACAACGTAAGTCTCTTTCAAACAGCCACTAGTTCAGCTATTCAAATCAATTCATCTATGCCTTAAGGTAGATATCAGGCGTCGGCATGTCTTTCTACACCCTCGGTGCACATGCCCGCCAAGCGCATGCCTCTCCCTCGATCAGCTTAGAGAAAGGAGCCTATCGAATGCGTGCGCCTAGGAAACGCAACGTTCCAGCACCTCTCAATCTGGACCCCACCGTGACGTCGCAGTCGTCATCATCGACTACTTCAACGTCGCATGGAATAGAACGATATCTATTCATCCTTGTCTTCCTGTTGGTTTTGGCGGTGTTTTCGTGTTTCGGAGTTGCTTATTATCTCTTCACTACTAGGTGGGTATATCGTAGTCTCGTTCCTGTGGTTCTCCCAAGCGAGACCGAGGCTGACATTGCATTTGCAGTCCCCGCGTTGCGTAACATGGACCACATTTCGTTGGCTCACCGCGTTCTTGCCGCTTTGCTATTCATCTTTCCACTGCACATTTATAATACCCCTGCTAGTCACATACCATCCTGCATACAAATAAATATCTTGCTGTTATTCCTAGTCACAGCATGGTCGGACGTAGATTAGTATAGCCTCCATGATAACTTGTGACAGCCACCCAACACGATCCGAACCAATCCTGTCCCCAGCCTACGAACGTCCACATGTCCGAATAGGATTCCAACCCGGCTCACATTCGGCTTGACGTAGACTTTGTTGAGGAGATCAAATTGACGAACGTGCAATCGACTCCACAGTAGCATCGATGACAGCGTTAGAGCAATAATAGAACATATACCTTGTGGATGAGTACTGAGTACTGAGCACCCATTGCACTGCTCCACGAAGGACATCATCAGAGGTGCCCGTATTCCCCTCTGTTCAAGTTTGAATTATTAGCCTGGGAATGTCACAATGTTCAATGTGCACATGATATATTGAGAGGACGTGGAAACATACCTTTGGATAGCTGGAGAGGCTCTTGAGTCGCTTAATGACTTATATCGGGTGTCTGAAATGACCTTGCTTGAGGCAGTTCCGTGATAATGTCATCAAAACCGTTCGAGACTTTCATCTTTGACAAAAGTTCACGAAGATGGTCCGGTGAATGACTAAAGTCGGATTCATCTCCAGTAGTTTCAGGATGAGAGGCCTCCTTTGGGATACTGGTTTCTTCCTGCGAAACCTGTTCCACGTCTGCCGTCTGGCCCGGTACGCTTGCAGAGGATCGGAGGTTGGCAACCGCAACATGAGGCGCCTGGCCACCAATTGAAGTTTTCACTTCCTGCAGTCGATTCTTCCCCGACACTTTTCCTCGCTTCTGACGCAAAGCGATCAGCTTGTCCCACCTATCCTTCTCCACCTCCTCCCTGAACTCAGTCCATCCCGGTGAATCATGGTTTGCGAGAGCATGCTTGATGGTATTGACGCTCGCGTAGAATCCTGGAAACATTCGCCTGAGGTGATTGCGGATGAGTGTAATTTCTCCATGTTTTCGAAATTCTCGCGCCGGCTCGAGTTTTCTGTTGTTTCGCCATTGTTCTAAGCCTCGAATATGATCTGCATGCGGAAGGATGCCATGTGGATGTCGAGAAGAGATTGTGCCAATGGACAGCTTCGTGATCTTGAACGGCATCACAGAGACATGGTAGCAGTTCTAAGGCCAAGAAGACATCAGGGCACGGAAGTAGAAAGATACGAAGAAAGTTCACTCACCAGCAACTCCGAACCAACCGAGAACGCGGCAAAATGGAACAGAAAGTTGGCTGGGCAAAGCGGCCGATCACTATTCGGTCGATCGTGATCTCGACTCTAGTGCTTTGACATACCTTATTACCATGGGCGCCTAGTATGGTATCGATGAAAAGAGGTGACCGGGAAGCGACGGGGTGAAGGTGGCCAGCCGCGGTCTTTGGACCTTCTCCCACATCCATCTGCACCGCCTAGCTCTTTTCTCGGTTTGCTTTTGCCTTCTCTTTTACCGTCTACTCCAAAACCTAGGTCCATTCTGGTCTGCGGATTGAACAAAACACCGCACCCAGGTGTCACACGACCGTTAAAACCGTGAACTGTGTGTTTCTTTCCGCATATCCCTTGTCAAAATTCTTTCTGACAATCTCCGCTATACCCTAGCTGTGTCCTATAATTGGCTGGTTGTCAAGCAGTGCATTGGCATCTGGCGCATCAATTCTTTCAAGGAGCCGTGTGGAGCTACAGCGTTAACATAGCACGGATAATATCAAACGTGCGTACACCCTCAGTTGCGTCTGATATAAGCCCTGCGCTCACTTGGCCTTTTTCTTAGCCTTTCTATTACTTACGCTTCCGCCTCTTTGAGACCCAACCTGCGTCGACCCTTTGCAATGTCGGTTCACGCGACCAATAATCCAGATGATTCCCTACCTTCTTCTCGGTCGGATTCGCCCACTGAAATTAACAACCCTACTCGGACTGCTCTGAGCGCCTACGAGATCGAAGGCGATGGTCGTCCCCCATTCGTGCTTTCGGTTCCTGAGCTCAAACTTCTTGGCATTGCTGGTGTGCGTTGTTTTGGTGTCACGCGACCACTTTATACCTCGCCTAACCTCTTTTTTCTAGGTTGGGTTCTTCCTTGATGGTCTGTATAACATTGTAATAATCTGTTTAGTATGGTACTGACCTTTGCACAGCTTATGATTTGTTTATTATCAACGTCAGTCTAACGCCTTTTCAGTTGCGTAATCCGACTGACCTGTGTTTTCAGCCCGTTGCGACCATGTTGCAATTTCGTCTCTACGGCGGTGACCCTCTCCCTTCCAACCTGGAAGGGTTTATGAAAGCTGGCGCCAACATAGGCAGTGTCATTGGCCAGTTCGGCTTCGGTTTCGCCGCTGACTACTATGGTCGGAAGGCAGTTTGTGAGTTCCCCTTGTCCTCTATGCTACATTACCTTGCTAAACAAACATTACAGACGGCAAAGAGCTCGTGCTCATCATTTTCGCGACCATCATGTGTCTTACGACTCCCACTGGTATGTCCATTTTATTTCTCACAGTGATTTCCCCCTCATAGCCTTGCACAGGACAACTCTCCCCTGCAAGCTGTCTCATCTATCTCGCCATCTGGCGTATCGTCCTTGGTGTCGGTGTCGGCGGTGATTACCCCATGTCCGCTTCCGTCTCCACCGACCGTGCACATCTCCGTAGACGAGGTGTCTTATTATCCTACATCTTCGCGAACCAAGGCTGGGGTTCCCTCGTTGGCAGTTTGGCCACTATTATCGTGTTGGCTTGCTACAAGAGTGTCATGAGTGGCGGAGACCATACCAGCAAACTCGACGGAGGTATGTCTTATTTCGTTGTCAAACTCTCCTCGTGTGGTCCCACGGGGTTCATTTATAGTTTGGCGAATCGTCGTCGGTTTGTCGCTCATTCCCGCTTTCGGCACTCTCTACCAACGTCTTACATTACCCGAGTCCAAACGTTACGAAGAGTCTCGCCGTAATCATGATGATGAGGAGACCATTGAGGCCTTGAAGGAGAAACAGGCCGCTGAGGAAGCCGCTTCTCAGAGTACGGACAAGGAAAAGAAGGGTGCTTCTGTTACTACTACCGCTGCCGCAGCGAAAGCCAAGGATATAGCTGACGCGAAGAAGAATCATTTCGCAGGTACATTGATTTGAATGGTGGTTTCAATTTTTGTTCACGGACTCCATTCATTTTTACAGAGTTCTTCGCGTATTTCTCCGAATGGCGTCACCTCAAAATCCTACTTGGTACCACCCTCTCTTGGTTCTTCCTCGACATAGCGTAAATTCTTTTGCTCTTATGTTTTTCTCATCTCTCACTTTCGTCTCTATAGTTTCTATGGTATCAACTTGAACCAGAATGTCGTTCTTCAACAGATCGGCTTCGACGGTTCCGGTGGCACTCCTTGGGAACGTCTCTTCGACATCGGTATCGGTAATTTGATCGTCACCGCACTTGGTTTCGTACCCGGTACAGTTCTTCTTGGTTTGTACGTTCATTTCGTGTGCTTATATTTATGCTAGGTTACTATGCCACGGTGCTCACTATTGAGTACCTTGGAAGGAAGTGGATCCAGATCCAAGGGTTCCTCTTAGAAGCTTTGTTCTGTAAGTCTCTATCTCTATGTGGGGTGCATGGACTGATCGCTGTGTAGTGGGCATTTTGGCAGGCAGGTTCTATAGTCTGAGTAAGGTCTCGTTCATTGTGTGCTTCGCGTTCCTCCAGGTAAGGTTCTCTCGCGTACGATCTCCCAATTTACGTTCCTGACTACTGTTATTCCTTTCAAGTTCTTCTTCAATTTCGGCGCGAACACGTATGTAACGCACTCAAGTCTTCATATTCCTTATACTAATATGCTGTGTCAGTACGACATATTGCTATCCCGCAGAAGTCTTCCCTACCAAGTTCCGCGCTACTGCTCACGGTATCTCTGCTGCAAGTGGCAAGGCCGGAGCCATCATCTCCGCGCTAGTGTTCAACAGTTTGACTAAGAAAATCGGCACTCCCAACGTCCTTTGGAGTACGTAGTCGTTAGACCTTCCACATCTTACAACTTAGCTCTGACCCTCACGCTTTTTCGTTCAGTCTTTGTCGGCTGCTGTATAGCTGGCGCCTTCGTCACCCTGCTCCTACCCGAAGTTAAGGGTCGTGACCCTGACCTCATCTATCAGGAGGAGCTGCGTGTTCGAGGTCAGGCTTCGCAATAGATAACCTGGGCAATCGAGTTCAGAAGCTCATGAAACGATTTGACATGAATCGAGAACCATGTTTTTATGCAAGGAAGATCACGAGGAGAAGCTCATGGACTCACGCTAAACACCCCTGTATTACCAATACCTTAGATACAGCGCGAGTGCTACCATGTAGGTAGAACCCTAAATCCAAGATTGTATCAGAATGGTTGCGAGGACCAGAATGTACCTGTTCAAGAGTATCACTGGAAACTGCTGAGACCCGCATTTAGTGATGACCAACTTGCGGTAACTCGTCAGTGGGGTTCATTCTCAACGCGTACCTAGCTGAGTTGTACCGGCCACATAGAAGCTCTGTCGCATTGTAAAGAAAATAGAATGGTGAGCGAGTAAGCACTGTGTTACAAATCCGACCGTATTAAAGTGAGTAAGAAAGCATGTGAGTTGGAAAAAACCTAAGTACGACAAGGAGTAAGATGAAGGCGAGTCTAGGCAATGGTATGATACAAACTTCAAGGAATGGAATGAATGAACGACTGACAGGGAATGTCAGCCAGTTTGGAATAGAAGAAAATAGAATTGACTACAAAACAAAAGTGCTGGTAGATGGAGCATACGGGTCCCAGGTGGTTTCGCTCTCGTGGACACGCTTAACAACACGCTTCTTTGTCTTACCTGGAGAGAACGCTAGGGTGAGACGAGGTCCTGCATGAGACTTGAAATGAACGGGTCCTCACGCTTCTTAACAACGCGCTTCTTCTGCGACGAATGGTCGTCGACTACATGACCATTCTCAACATATCCCACAAAGCCCCCGCAATCTGCGCAAGTGCACTTCAGTTTGGCAGATTTGCCCAGCTTGTCCTTCCAATACTCCTCTCGGAGCCGCGCGACGTCAGCGCTATATTTGCGGCGGCCTGTGGCAGGAACGTTGGAACTGGGAACAATCTTGCCATTACGAGTGGTTCGCATTGGTGGAGGAGCGGGATGTTTATCCAGAGCGTGCTCGAACGCAAGAATGGCATCCTCTGACGCCGCAGATGGTTCGGTTGCGAAGCCTGCGATCTGAAGATAAGCAGATAGGACGTTAACAACTGTGATGGGTTGCTGCGCTCGGACGAGTGAAGTCAACGCTCGTTCGATTGTGGTAGACATTGTTGTTGTGTAGCTGTGGATGACTGTGAAAGGATGAAGAAGCAATGAAATGCGGTGATGTGGATATCACTGAGAGGGAGGGGTATTTATATCAATTCGTGGTATCAAATGGTGGGTCAATGCTCCAAGAACAAAGAGAGGTCAAAGGTGCTGGACCATATCGCTTCTCCGCGAGTACAAAGGGCCTGCTACACGGGTTCAAGCAAAAGGTGATAGACTCGGAGCACGATGCAAAAGATAAACGTGTTCAAGTGGGTATCTGGGTGGGCAAAGGAGAGGCGTGGGCTGCTAAGACTGAGCAGGTCGACAGAATCGCGAAACGAGTGGCGAAAACAACACCAGAACGCGCGAGTACCGCTTCGGTTACAGATCCCGTGACAGTCACCGTCCATGCGTGACGATGCCTAGCCGACTTTGCCACTGCCAGTGAGTCAGTGACTGCCGTTGTCTTCCCGTTTGACTTTCTTCGAGTCCCATGCGGACTTGTAGACGACCTTTATTTCGCGCTATGAATACGGGGTGGTCGTTTCAGTCATCCACTTTGGAGCGTCCAAATCCGAGTATCTGATCGAAGGTAAGCTCAGCCCAATTCTTGACCGCTGAGGCCAGCTGCAGAAGTTACTGAATGCACTAGATACACCGAACTATGTACTTCACCCTTGTGCACTACCTCTCCTCTCCTTCTTCATTTGTAGAAGTATAAGGTTCAACGGAATGTCGCAGCAATGGAGGTGTCCTTCCCGCTCGGGTTCATTGGCATGAAGGGCTCATTGCTGTGGTATGACTACGCCCGTGCTTAATCTATACGATTCACTTGTCAGAGAGGCCTCTTAGTCTCGCTAATATGCTATTTAGGTTCCCGTGTATGCTCACAACTTATCGCCTTATTCTCGTGGTTGTTCTCTGCTCATCTGTGCCGAGCTAATACCGCTTACTACAGACCGGTAACATCGCCTCGCGCGGGGATCATAAGAGTGACCAGCATCGTCCGCTTGTTCAATGAGGGAGTGCTTGGACTCACTCCGTTCTGTTGTGACTTCACTACTGTCGTCACGAGCCACCGCACGGCGCACTTTCACTACCCTCTATGGACCGGCCGAATGCTCTTGAAATACAGCTGCATCGATACCCCGAGGAGCACACCATAATACCAAAATCTGAGCACAACCCGAGTCTCCTAATCGAAAGGCCCCGAAACTCGGTGATGCTTGTACTTAGGGTGTCCTTCACGCTAAGGTGTGCACCGCTAAATCGCCTTTTGCAGCGTTCCGCGAGGTCATTGGTTTATGCTGTGTGTTCCAGATTCCTACCTCTCTCCATGTGCTAGGGGCGTATTCTCGCCGGACTCGTACTCATGACCGGTTGGCTCATCGAACGTGCAGAGAGCGGTGTAGCATCCCACCTATCTGGTTCATCAGGGTCACAATTCATGATGAACGGGACACTCTCGGTGGACTTTACGCTCAAGCAGGCCGAGCCATCGTTTATTATTTTCTTGGCCGATCACCCTTGAGGAGGCTACATGAGATTTCGAGGTAACCTCGAGACCTTCTTTCTGACAGCGTGGTTATTTCGGCCATCTTTGTCGCGGTGCTTGCAAGGTCTCTTTCGTCAAGCCTTGTGATTCAATGATCTCGGCTGTCTGGACTCTGGATCTCTGCCGAGAGGTCACGTGTCTGCCGACGGTGAGCGAGGATATGAACATATCGTCGTTTCATGCAGTCCCAATCATTTTCCGAGTCTTAACTGCTATGTCGAGTCCAGATCGACTGCAAGGACCGCGATTGGACGGCAAAGGGGAAGTCACAATGAACGCGATCCAAACATTTGGTTCTAGGGGCATTATTTTGCCTGTATTTCAGGAGTATTGTGCTCCTCGATCGAGAGGAGAAACAAACGTGACACCTTGTTTGAAGCTGCGTATTCAATGTCGTCAATTTGTCTAGATCGTGGTCTCTCCTTGACCCAACTTGCGTGCAAAAACATCGAGATGTTAACGACTTGCGTTGTACAACCTCCATTGTATGAAGTCGTTCATACATGCACATGGGCGAAATCCCGAGGCCTGAGATTGGAGCTGAACTCATAGCTTGCAATCCTCAAGCACGACCATCGCTCCAATGCTTTTAGGTGAGTTGAAAAATCAAATCTCGCTGGTCATCTCCCTCAAATGTTCCGAATAGGGATAGATGTCATGAATTTTTTCCGGTATTCGCCCCTAGCTATCGAACAGATGGTCCGATCGCGAACGATCGCAATTCATAAAACACCAAGCGCCCCTCCTGAACATACTGAAATGATTTAGCGCCCTCGTTCTAGTCGCGATCTGGCTGAAGGTGTGTTCCTCGTCCATTCAAATTTGGGGCTCTTAGTATTCGGCTTGGGTTTATGTTGCACAGAGATCCTGTCGACTCCTTTCTTCGAGTCAAACCGTATAAAAATCCTAGGAATGTCACTTCTCATTCCCCCGGACGCTGCCATCTCACTCAGTGCTAGCCGTTGACTCACCCCATCACCCATCGCCGTATTTATCTCATTCATTCTATCCAATATGCGTAGTTCGTTATTCGGATCCCTCGTCCTCGCTGCTACCCTCGTCTCTGCCGTTCCCGTCATCGTTGAACGCGAGCCAGGTTTCCCCTCCTTCCCCAAGCCCGCTAAGGGTGGGAACGCTCAGACAGGCGACTCTGGAGACGCCAACGGCGGCGACGTCGTTAATGAGGGTTGGAAGATCAAGAACTACCCCTGGGCCAGTAAGTTCTTGCCGTCCTCTTCCACCCATCTAAACCCTCCCTAATATTGAACCCTTCATAGACGAAGCTGGCAATGGCGGTTACACCAAGTCAGGAACTGCCGTGGGGGGTGACGGCAAAGGTGGAGGAGGCAACGCTAAGTCGGGAGACTCTGGTGACGCCAATGGCGGTAGCGTCGGCAACTTTGGCGGCACCGTCATCAACGGCAAGGGAGCTAGTAGGTCACACAATTGTTGCACAACGCTCTGAGATACTGACAAGCTGTTGTCCATAGACACGGCCGGCAACGGTGGTACCTCTATCAGTGGGAACGCCTACGGCGGGAACGCTTGGAAGCGTGGATACCCTTCCTTCCCTGGCTTCGACAAGTACAAGGACCAGGGTAAGGGTGGAAACGCTCAGACTGGCGACAGCGGCAACGTGAACGGCGGTGATGTCGTCAACGAGGGTGGCTACATCTGGAATGGCTGGGGAGCCAGTAAGTCTTCGACTATTGTCTGGCGATGACCACACTGTGACCTTCTTCTTATACTACAGACCAGGCCGGCAACGGTGGTTACACCAAGTCAGGAACTGCCGTGGGCGGTGACGGCAAAGGTGGTGGAGGAAATGCCAAGTCAGGTAACTCTGGTGATGCCAATGGTGGATCCGTCTACAACAGCGGCGGATACATCGAGAACGGACCAGGAGCTAGTGAGTCCAATGTGTACTTGATCGTTCCTAACTTGTGCTGACTTTACTTTTCTCTAGACAAGGCCGGTAATGGTGGTACTTCTATCAGCGGAAACGCATACGGCGGAAATGCTTGGAAGCGTGGATATCCCTCCTTCCCTCAGTTCGGAAAGGGAGGTAATGCTCAGACTGGTGATTCCGGTGACGTGAACGGCGGAGATGTCGTTAATGACGGTTACAAGATCTTCAACGGTCCCTTTGCCAGTATGTGCTCTGTTTTCGTCCAATTTTTTGTGCAGACCGCTCATACTCCCTATCGAATATAGACAAGGCTGGTAACGGTGGTTACACCAAGTCAGGAACTGCTGTAGGTGGTGACGGCAAGGGTGGAGGAGGCAACGCTAAGTCGGGAGACTCTGGTGATGCTAACGGAGGCAGCGTCGGCAACTTTGGCAAGGTCGTAGTCAATGACAAGGGAGCTAGTGAGTTGTGCAATTACTCTAGAGCACCTTTTGCTACTCACTAAATGTTGTTTATAGACAAGGCCGGTAACGGCGGCACCTCCATCAGTGGAGACGCATATGGCGGAAATGCCTGGAAGCGTGGATATCCTTCTTTCCCCAAGTTCGGCAAGGGAGGTAATGCTCAAACTGGTGATTCCGGTGATGTGAACGGCGGAGATGTTGTCAACGACGGCTACAAGATCTTCAACGGTCCCTTCGCCAGTATGTTTTCTAGTTTCATTCACTTTTTTTTGTGCGGACCACTCATGCTTGCAACCGAATTCAGACAAGGCTGGTAACGGTGGCTACACCAAGTCAGGAACTGCTGTAGGTGGTGACGGCAAGGGTGGAGGAGGTAACGCCAAGTCAGGAGACTCCGGTGATGCTAACGGTGGCAGCGTCGGCAACTTTGGCAAGGTCGTAGTCAATGACAAGGGAGCTAGTGAGTTGTGCGATTTCTTTCGAACACCCTTTGATACTCATTGCATGTTGTTTATAGACAAAGCTGGTAACGGCGGCACCTCTAAGAGTGGGGACGCATACGGCGGGGATGCCTGGAAGCGTGGCTACCCTTCTTTCCCCAAGTTCGGCAAGGGAGGTAATGCTCAAACTGGCGACTCTGGAGACGTCAACGGAGGCGATGTTGTCAACGAGGGTTGGAAGATCTACAACGACCCCTTCGCTAGTATGTCGTCTATTCATCACTCTTCTACGTACAGACTACTCATGTCCGCCGTTACATCTAGACAAGGCTGGTAATGGCGGTTATACCAAGTCAGGAACTGCTGTAGGTGGTGATGGCAAAGGTGGAGGAGGCAACGCTAAGTCGGGAGACTCTGGTGACGCCAATGGCGGTAGCGTCGGCAACTTTGGCGGCACCGTCATCAACGGCAAGGGAGCCAGTGAGTCACATAGTCGCTTTACGATGGTCTTAGATATTGACAAGGTGTTGTTCATAGACCAAGCTGGCAACGGCGGTACCTCTATCAGCGGAAATGCGTATGGCGGAAATGCATATGCTTAGACAAACCGTCCATTCTTTTCTTTAGACCACGCTTAGTACTTCTTACTTCCTCCAAAAGCTTATAGCGTCACCCTCATTTGTCTGACGTTACGATCGGCATGTACTTTGAATTGCAATCACTGAACCTTGTTTCCCTTGTTACAAACGAGCCTATCAGTTCTCAGTTTTCTCATCGGCAGTGAGAACCTCAGGCGTGCTTTCAAGTAAAATTAAATTAAAAAAACGTTTTGAAACCAGCAATCGTAGTTGTTTTCTCATTTCTTTCCTGTGCATTCACAATACGGGATGCGGGGGATCGTTCGAACTAAGCTACCTGCAAGCTTCAAATACCTGACTGGAACCTTGCACTGCCGAAGGCCTAGAGCTCAAAGATGCGGCAGTCAACCCAAAGTCAACCACGTCCTTAGCTATGCCAAGCCGTTCTTGGTGTTGTTCTGGGCTCAATATTTGGCACTTCATCGGTGCCTGTTTGAAGTGTCGGGAAAGATGCTCGCGAATACTTGGTACAAATTATACACACAGCGTAGGGTCCAAAGCTTCTTGTATTCAATGATAAAAAGGGATTCAGCGAGTACAATAATAATTGGGACCAGATATCTTAGGCACGAACTTGGTCTGCGGACGTCTGGCTATTCCGCAGGAGTCAAACATCTGCTTGGTTGGACGACAAACCTAGTGGCGACGAAACTAGAAGCCGGTATTTCGAAGTCCGCGATTATGTATCAAGTTGTGCCGAACTCTTGCCGAATTCTCTCTCCTTCGGACGTGACCTGGGCCTTCCGTCTCTTCGATGTCATTGCTCCTCGCTCATGCCTATAGGACTTGTCTCATAACAAATTCTGTGTATTTTGCACTGACATTTAATTACGGGATGTCCACGACAGTCCCAACTGTAACGACGGCAGAAGCTTTAGCTGCCGAAGTGGAAAACTCTCAGCGTCGAGGCGGGGGCCCTGATCGAGGAAGAGGTGAAGAACAAGACAGAGGTCGTGGAAGAGGCCGTAGACGAGGTCGTCCTCCGATCTATGATTCCCCTCGAAATCAGATCTCGTTGGACCCCAATGCTACTGGAGAGACGACCGCGCCACCCGCTGTTGTGAAGAAGAAGACTCCGAGACCTCCTTTGACACATTGTTAGTCATTCTCGTCACGACAGGACTTGCTATTACTGATGTTCGGCGTTACACTTGGGTTTTGTGGCTTGTAGTCCTATCTATACCCATCGTTAGCTCTTTCCCCGGCCTGATTGGTCTTGAATTGCTCAACGCGTCGGATATTATAGGGTCATCATGCTGACTTGAGACAGCGCATCTCTGCATTTACAACAGCTTTACTTGCTTCGGATCCTGCCATTCCCGGACTGGACGAAACTATTATCATCTCTCCTCGCCGGCTACATTTGACTTTAGGAGTCATGTCCCTGGATCTTGAGGGCCCTGGTCCCGACCCTGGTCCTGACCCTGCCCCGTCAGCGGAGGGAAGCTCTAATAATAGTAATCTACGTCCGAAGACGCTTGAATCTGCCACTCAACTCTTGAACGAGTTGAAGCCCAAAGTGACGGAACTGCTTGTAGGCCAAAAACTTCGTGTAGGTCTCAAACGAATCAATATTATGAAGCCTGAACATGGTGACCCGGATCGAGCCCACGTTCTTTGGGCGGGACCTGATTATAACGATGAGGACGCTCGACGACTGAATGCTATTTCCAGTGAGTGTCAGTCGCTTGTCAATTGTCTTGACATGTTGATCAGCGTTCTGTATAGCATTCGTTCACAAGGAATTCAGGAAGGCCGGTCTAGTCGTGGATGACAAACGGCCGCTCAAAGTCAGTCGCCGATTATCTTCCCACCCGTTGCATCGTGTCCGTATTGACGTTGGTGTAGCTTCATAGCACGCTTGTGAACACAATTTATCGCAAACCTCGAGGTCGAAAGCCGTTCTCGTATGCCGCCGTTATCTCGTCTACTGCTTTCCAAGCAATTGAGACGCAACCTCCCGAGCCTGCAAATGCCGTCACTACTTCCGAGTCTACGAATTCGGAAGTGAGGGAACACCCGCGAGGACGAAGTCCTCTGCATGTGGACCTTGGTGATTGGGATGCCGATGAAATACAGATTTGCGAGATGGGCAGTTCGGGACCAGAAGGGGAATATGTTTGCGTAGGGCGCGTGTCGCTCACTTGAGCTTGTATTTAGAAGTCGCCGCGCAGCTTGTGTCTCAAGTGAGCAGGAACAGCAATGTTCTGAAACGAAATAAAGACAAGGAGTGATTGGAAACATACCTGAAATGGCAGGTAGTCACACGCACAGACCCCTATGTTTACGTAAATGAACGGTTCAGGAAGGCTGTGGTACTGGCCGGAATGCGGAATTGAAAGCCAGCTCGAAAGCCCGCCTTGGTATCACTGTCTGCTGAGCCCGTCGTCGACTGCTGCACCATCTCCTCCACCACCATCCACAACGTCCTGCTCGCTCACAAGACCCCCCTAATCACTCGTTCTGCACGCCCAGTAATCCTTTCATGTCTGAAATCCGCAGGAAGCTCGTAATCGTCGGTGATGGTGCTTGTGGAAAGGTCAACACTTCCACTTGTTCACGCAACCATCAACCGTCTCACTCATAGGCTCTTTTCTGCTTTACAGACTTGCTTGTTGATTGTGTTCTCGAAAGGAACGTTCCCTGAGGTTCGTAGCCTGTCCTGGTACCTCTGGAAGCGACTACAGCAATGAAACATTGGCGTCTAATGACTTGCATTGAATCGTTATAGGTCTATGTCCCCACCGTGTTTGAGAACTATGTCGCCGATGTGGAGGTCGATGGCAAACATGTCGAGCTCGCGCTATGGGATACCGCTGGCCAGGAAGACTATGACCGTCTTCGCCCGCTCTCCTATCCTGACTCCCACGTCATCCTCATTTGTTTCGCAGTAGACTCCCCAGACTCGTTGGATAACGTCCAGGAGAAGGTGTGTTTCTTCTACAATGTTCAAGACGCCATCACTATTGCGCTAGCCTCCATTCGTGCTGTAATCGCTTCGTTTGACCTCGTGTCTCCAGGCGCTGAGCCGTGCAATGCTGCCGGAAGTCGCACCACAAACTGCATTCTTCCATATCGGCTCCGTCTTCTCTGACTCCACAATTGACTAATACTCGGTTGTATTTGGCATTCTAGTGGATTTCAGAGGTTATGCACTTCTGCGCCGGTCTCCCTATCATCTTGGTTGGATGCAAGAAGGATCTTAGACGTGATCCTCGTGTGATTGAAGAACTTCGCAAGACGAATCAGCGACCAGTTACTCCCGAAGAGGTGAGTTTTTGCGCTACTATCATCCAGAACTATTCTTACTTTGTCACTATTTCTTAGGGTATGGCTGTTGCGCACAAGATTGGCGCCAAGCACTACCTTGAGTGCTCTGCCAAGACGGGGGAGGGTGTGCGTGAAGTCTTCCAGTATGCCACTCGCGCAGCGCTATTGTCCAGACCCAAGGGCAAGAAGCACCACAATTGCCTTGTGCTCTAATATGTTCACCACACCGCACATTCCACCTTTTCGTACATCACTCCGTTCCTCGAGAGTGCGTGTACGCATGGCCACTCGTTTTGTCTGTCTTGTGTTATCTCTTAGGTTCATCGCATACCCTCCCTCGTCGTCCCCGCATCATGACTGCTAGTACTATCTCCGCAATGACCCCCACCCCACTTGTGTCCATGCATCGTTACAGTTGAGAGGGCGCGCGTCTGCATTCCCCATTCCCACGGTTCTTCCGAATGCGTTTCTCTCTAACCCTCTCCATCCCCCTCTGTCGTTACTACAGTATCTCGGCTTTGGTCAGCCATGGATTCATTGCCCGTGTGGGTGTGCACGTCTACTTGTTTTTACATGAGCTCAAGATACAACCTTCCTGTTCTCTATTTTCGCGTCTCTGGTTTATTTGCTGTTACACTTAGTTTCGTTCTTGAACTCTCCCTCTAACTTTTTGCAACGGAATTGTCTGCGTGAATATCCATGCTGGTTGAGTGTGCGCAGAACCGAAAGCTGATACCCTTTCCAATGCTAACAGTCTCAGTTACGTTCAGTACTTGAAATACTGTCCCAGTCAGTGGTAGTCACCAAAGTGCTGACCGGTCGAGTGTTCTGTGATTCCATTCCCTCCCCTCGCCTGGGTTACCTATATCAATTCCATCTGGCCTATTTGGCTGGTGATGCAGATGCAGAGGTTGGAAGACGAGACCATGAGGCGTTCAGGAGGTTTCCGAAAGTACTTGACAACATCTGGAGCTTCCATTGTACCGAAGTGCCCGAAGTGCCCGAAAAGGGATTGGGACGAGAGAGACATGTTGCTTGAATGCTTTATATGAATTATAATGTACAAAAGACGTCTGTGTTGGATTAGAACGGAACTTCCGTCAGGATACCCTGACTATGCACTATTCCGCGCAGCAGTTTGCAGTTATCTTCCAGAATGCGACAAATATTCTCCCGTTTCTCCCTTAGGATGGGATTTAGGATGGGAGTCTCTTCCAGAAAGTCGTACCATCCGCGAAGCAGGTCCTTGAGGAGAGATAGAAATCCTGCGTCGTTGAAGTACTGAAGTATAGGGAGTTCATAGCCACCAGCACGAGCGATGAGGATGAGAAACCGATCGACCGGGTTCGTGACAATAACATCGCGAGCAGCGGTTCGTCTAGACATTGACCGGAGTGTTTCGGCATTATGGGAAGTTAGAGGTAATCGTCTAACACGTTCAAGTTAGTCCAAGCATATTGAGTGAATGGGGGAAGTATTTACAGAGTGTCATGAAGATATGAGTAAACAGCATGAAGGATCGCGTAGCATTGCCTTTGTTCACCATGGCAGAGGAAGTCGATTAATCCGAACCAATCGCCTTCCAATGACGCAGCACAGTAGAGCACTATACGTGCCACTGTATACTCCCGCTCTGGTAGATCATCCGATGCATAAATATACCGAGACCTGAAAACGAATGAAATATTCCTCAGCGTGAAACAGGGGTACTACTAGTTGACAACACACCGAATGCACGTACAAGAGAATACCGCTGAGGCAATAGAAATGCGAAGCTGGCGCATAATAACCCTGTGGCCGAGAAGCAATCGTTTCCAGCGTGGACAACACTAGAGCGTGAATTTGGTTCTGAAAGTCTATCCTTTCACCATATCTGAGGGAGGATGAAGTTCGAAGGCGTCGGTCATCGACAGTGCCTTCATCAATAATCCACTGCTCAAGCCCCGCCTTGAACATGTCATCAGCGCAAGCATCAGTTGAACAGTGGAAAGCCAAAATAGCAACAACGTGCAGACAGGCGGAGCGGAAATTGTCTAAGATGGATGAATCTGCGTCACTGGCAGTACCCAGTTGCGAATGTGGGGCTCTTTTCCAGGAGAGATAAGCGACCACTCGAAGGAGGCCCGCCTGAAGGAAGAGTTGTGATGCTCTTTTGCTTGAGCAGGCCATATGCATAGCAAATATTAGGAACGGCTGAGATAGGTGGGCAAGACCCCGAGAACGTAAGCCAGGATATCTGTCATATATAGACTGGATGTCGCTAGAGGTGACTTCTGCATGAGCAAAGACTAGTAGAACGTCCATCAAGGCGTCCACAAATTGAGAAGCGTATTCCGGGCGTCCAGAAGCAATGAACCGGACCATGGACACTGCCATCGGTTGAAGGTCAAACCCTCGTGGGTCCCATGAAGAGTGTGGTTTATAGGTGAGTGCGAAGGAGGTCAGGAAGCGGGTCACTGGGGGCATGTCTCCGCTGATTTTACCGCGTAATACATAGTCGGTTTGTAGATCAGCGAAGTCGTGAATGTCGTACACGTCGTGAAAGATGGCCGGGTCTTTGACAATGAGCTCGGAGAGAATCAAATGAAAGTTTTGCGTTAGGCGCCTCTGTCGGCCTGATATTGACGGCCGAGCATCTGGTGGTGTTTTGACGCGTTGACCATTTTCTTGATCTGCGCCTGGGTAAAGTGTCCTTTGAGAGAAAGAAATTGTCAAGAAGACGTGAAGCTTTGAAGGGCGGCCATCGAGGTGTCTGAACATACCAATCGGAGAGTTTACACATTGCCAATTGCCGGATGAGAAGCTGAATCTCGACGGGCGGCCAGTCAACGATGGCATTCGCCACCTGCGTTGCACCATGCTCTCGTTCTAGGACAAACAAGATCATGCGCCATGCCTGGCGTCGGACGTCAATTGAATAAAGACCTACACTGTGTGGTATAGGTTGTCAGAACCCCATAGAGTCCTAAAAGGAGAACAATAAAAGAAGGTAAAACCCAGGTACTCACCGCTGCAGTTCCAGTAGATCTGTACAAATTCGGGAAGATATGTACGCAGGAACATTCACCCTTTCTTCAAAGTTCAGTGCAGTAGCAAGGGACTGAAGCCTGATCTGGATCGAGACGTTTTCAATACCTCGGAGGAGCATGTCTCCAATGCTCATAATGAACCGACCCGTGTCGGCCCCGATCCCGCGAATGGTGGTTCGGGATGTCGTCGTCTGCGTTAGGGTTAACGATAAAGCGTCGGCGGCGACCTCGTCGAAATTCGACAATTCTAAACGTGCTGAGCCCTCAGTTGAATTTGAATTTGAACCTGACTTGCCGGTAGGACTAGGAGCCATCTCTGCTATGAAAAGTTAGCAAGTGTAATGAGTCCTCAGCGGATAATGGGTTTCTATACTGTAATGCAATGCACAGCCAGGGTGTCAAAACGTCGAAAAGCGTGGGTATTCAGTAGGTATACTTCCTGTGCGTTGCATAGCCATATATCTTCCACGTCAGCAACTGAGCAGAAAAGACAGATACTACCGATTGCAGAACAATGACAACACCCCCTAGTAATAGTACAGAACATACAGTCAAACAGTCGGTGCAGTGAGAACGACACAGTCCATCGATGAGTACAAGTAACAACATATCCAAACGTAGAAGGTAAGGGGTAGTTACTTCAGTCACTGCTGAGTATCGCGCACCCGCTTCTTGTATGGCATGACAATCATAGCATACGACAAATAGATACTGTCGGCTGACTCAGGCCGTGAACAATTCCCGAGTAATTCCACACCTTCTTGCTCATCAATATTCCAGGTCAACTTGTTGCCTTGTAAATCCAGACTGTAGAATGGGATGGGTTTAGATTGCGTCAACCATCTGAACGGCGTATTAGACACATCAACATCCAATGTGTTGGTCTCTTCGCCGTCGTCATGACGGCGTTCACGAGCCTCAAGACGCTCCCGTTGGTTGCCAAAAATGTATTCCCTCTCTTCAACGAACTCCGGACTTCGGAAGGACTTGGACGCGTCGGCGACTAGAGCATCAATATGTGTCTGGGTGAGAGGGAACACTTCAGCAGTGATGCGTTCAATTTCACTCGAATCGTAATCCTCCATCCGGAAATCCACGTTGATGAGCACGGGTAGGAAGTGAACCTTGTGTATCCTGTCATTGGATGTTATATCGGATACCAAGGAAGACGCTGCGGCGTAAAGGATGCTGTCTAAACCGCTCAGCTCTGTCGTGTCGAGACAATATTTGTGCTGCAGGAGGATACCGTAGGGCGCCTCTAGTCGCGAAAGCGATTCTTTCATCTGATCGAACAAGGATTGCTCCAAGGCCGTCTTCGCCTGAAAGGAAGGCTGAGATATACCCATGGACGCTGGAGCATCCTCGCAAAAGATCTTGAATGCTATGACGGCTCGATAACCATCTTCGAGCTCCTTGACCTCATGGGCAACGTCAGGATAGAAAGCAACCCAACTGCCAGGGTACGCTTTCAGACCAGTCCAAAACCGACCAACGCTCAGATTCCCGTATGTTCCTGTGGTGGAATCACCAAGACCGATGAGGAAAGTCCCGACGAGGTCCTTCTCGGGAGTGTCTCTATGCTCTTTAAACTTGCCCCCCGGTCCATACAAGTGAATCTTGTAAGGCTCGACGCGAACAGAGCCTGGGAGGAATTGCTCAGCCCAGATTCGTTCGATTTCCGAGTAAAGATTCTCCGAGACTGTGAAGTCGCCTGCTGGGATGTCCTTGGCATTACGGACGTTAGGGTCGACTTTATTGGTCTGAGAACGTACGTCGCCATAACCAGAAACATCGGCATGTTCGTACCAGCCTTTGAGAAGCGTTTCAGAATCACCACGTGTTTTGGCAAGTTCATCTTCTGTGTAAGAGCCTTCGTCAGATGGCTGGTCCTCAGGCTCCTTGAAAGGGACGATCTCAGAAGAAAAGTCGATTCCGGCTCGTGCAATCGTCAGGGTGAAGCGAGTGGGTAAGAACCCCGCAGCGAACTCCTTCATGTTGTCGCTATATAGCTTGGAGAGGTCATCAACGGCTTCCTGAATACCGTTCAGAGGTCAGATGCGAACATGGAGTTGTGTCCTAAACGTTCTCACCGGAATGTCGACTAGACTGTCCAGCTCTCGCTCATCTGTGTATTTCTTGATTAGAGAGCCGCAAGAACCAATAGACTTCAGCTTGCGAGGAGCATTATCTATGGCAGCCTTGAGGTCCAGGGCAGTGCGAATAGCGGTAGGAAACATACTGGGAACAAGGCGGTCACGGCGAGGAAACTGCAGCTGGTCAAAGGTTTATATAGCTATTCAATGACTCGAACAGTAATCATCAACTCGTGGATCGCTACCGACAATATCTTTACGTCTTGTGTACGTTTCGTTGTCTTTATTCTATCAAGACCGGATATTGGGCACGATGACTGGTGAATCACCATCGATAGTCTCCCTAGGTCCCAGGAAAGCATGAATGAGCAGCTTTTGCAACACAGGTCGAATAGTTGCGCAATATATTTGGATCTGAGAGTCATAGTTATGGTGCGAATTGAACTTAGTAGAGCATGGAGATGAACTTGAAACCGAAAGTAGAAGTGGAATCTTATATCCCGGTGACGAAGCGCCCGCGCCCTCATGTATCTTTCTTCCGCCAAGTACTTCTCTGGATTTCATCTTAAGCCTCATTGCCATGCCCCATAAACGTGCCAAACGATCCGTCCGGGAAAAATCTCGTTCAGAAGCGTATGTATGAAAGTCTTGTGCTGTAGTGTCGGCACATTGCTGACGAGACTTGTAGTGGTGCAGACCTTGCTCCGGAGAAGTATGCTCTGAGCAAAGAAGAGATTCCCAAGAGCCTCTCTAGGGTCCTGAACGCAGCAAAAATTCAAGGGGAATGGAGACAGAAATACAAACGAGGGTCCGAGGATGTAGGTCTTGACGGCGCTCCGCCGAAGAAAAAGCAGAAGAAGAATCCCGTCGGTAGTGCTGATGCAGACAATATGCATATCAAACCCGGAGAGTCTCTTGCGCATTTCAATAGGTGTGTAATCTATCATAATCTTCTGGATTCATTGCTTGACATTGTGAATAGGCGTGTAGAAACCTCCATGCGCGGAACCGTTCGTGCAGCTATGCAGACATCATCTGCAGTTGCACGAAAATCTCGGAAGGAGGAAGAGGCGCTTGCCAAAGAGAAGAAAGCGAGTACTAAGCCCGCAGCTCCAACCAAAAGCTCCAAAGTCAAGTGTGCATCAGACGATGAGGGTGACGATGAAAAGTTCGCACCCTCTAAGTCAACGCGACCAAAGGATTTCACTCTCCTGTCGACTTCTGCTCCTCGGCGGCTGAATGACATCGTCCAGGCACCCCCGGAATTCAAGAAACTCCCTCGGGGCGCAAAGGCGAAGTCCACTACCCCATCGTCAACGCGAGGTCTCAAAGAGGGCGTCCTTTCTATGGCTCAGAAGGCCATGATGGAGGAGGAGCGTGAGAGGGTAATAACGTTATATCGGGAGATGAAGAAGAAGAACTTAGGAGATACGTAGTCGATATCTTGGTGTGAGTCTGAATTGGCTATCCTCCAAACTTCGGCTTCGGGGAGTAACAGTCCTTGCAATTCTTTCCTATGGATACGGACATCTCCCGAATCCTGCTCTCACACGAGGAGTTTCAGACAAGGGATGATCGATGACATCCTAACTACTGCAGATGGACTTGCTGCACTGGTAGTTTCGTCGCAGGAATACTTTTCTGTTTGCGCCATTGTCGTCATGCATGTTATTCAGGGCATGACAGGCATTGCCACACTATGTACTACATAGCAACCAAAGATTGTATTGTGTGTACGAACGAGCTACTTTGCACGAGGCATAGAACAGGATTGAGTGTGATAAAACGTGTTCTTTGGTGAGATCATACAAATAATGCGAGAGTGGAGTAAAAAAACGTTCTCGTTTCCATCTATGCCACGTACCCGGGTTGAACGAGTGACCTTCGCATTACAAGTGCGACGCGCTACCACTACGCCAACGCGGCAGTCAATCGCTAACATGCTATAAATAATATATCGGGATGTTCTGACGTCGTACACCATCCAACAGTAAGTTATATTCCCGCACAAGGGCTTTGTTCCCGCTACATCTACTACGCTTTCTACTCGTCATGCAATGTCTCCCTATAGATTTTCTCTAGTCCCCTCATTGTGGCATCAGGAACTGCGTCCATTGGCCTCCCCCGGAAGTGCATGTTCGGAGTACGTGCACTTGTCCATCATATTCGTGCTCTCAAGCTCAAGTAGCATTTGATTGCATACCCGCGCTCGGACCTGGAAAGGAGTGCGCTTGACTGGAGTCGAGTGGCTTCTGCTTAAGGTGGAGGAATGGATAGAATGAACAGAGTTCTCATCCGCGATCGTAGAGTCGTCGGAAGGGGTAGGTGGAAGCTCGCGTTCTTCCGTGAAGAATTTGTCGTACCTACCGTCAAGGACCGCTTTGAGCAAATCTGGCATGCCTGCGTCTCGTAATGCTAAAGCGTATGGTCGACAACTTGTGGCAATTTGACGAGTCAACATGATGAACCTATCAATGGGATTTGTCACTTCCGACCCGCGCGTTTTTGCATTGGCGTGCAGTCTCTGGAGGAAGGTGACAGTCGAACCTGGTAAAGTGAAGTGGTCCGCGTATATGTCGCTCGCGGTAGCTCGGAGGTAGTCGTTGATGATATAGGAGAATGCTTTGAAAATCCGGGTATACTGCCAGCTATAGAAAAACTCGATAACTGGACGCCAGTGCTCCTCGGAAGTGGAGGCGCAAGAAAGGAGGATGCGGACAGCGATGTCCTTGGCCTGTATCGCTCCTTTGCTCGTGGCTTGCACCCTATAGATAGTAAAATATGAGTGGAACTGAGGATCATCTGAGTTACTCACGACAGTAGGTTCATTGCGTGAGTCCACGATCGCCCAATGACTCCCGTAACATTGCCATTGATCTTGACGCCGTTTGCCACGCATGCTTCCGTGAGGAACAACGACAAGGGCGGTATAACGGTGTGTTTCGTCCAATCCTCCGGATACATCTCGGGAAAACGTGCATCTGGGGATACATTTTGAGCGAGCCTGTAGTCCCATTGAACGCTTATGCCATACTCACCTATCGTAGGCACACAAAAGACATTGATTTGCATGTAAAGAAGATAGTCCACAAATTCCCAAATTGTTGGCCGATGTCGAATGAATGCTCCGAGCAAGAGGAGACAAGCGACACGCATGTCATTGTTCTTCCCCGCTGAAAAGACTTTCCAGTCGTCTGGGCTATTCAGCGGGCTGACAGCGTTAGGACTCGGGATGCCGTAAAGCCAGAGTTTGGAGATGATGTGCAAGACTCCTGTCTCGATGAACAGATCTGTTGCGAGGGAACTATGAAATGCGAGATGCGAGGCAAACCTGATGAATGGTAACATGGGATGCATATCGGATACCACTAGGCTGCTACGCATCTCGAGTAGAGATGGATGGTTGTTCAAGACAACAGTCCTATAGAGTTCTGAAGATAGACGAGGGACGAACGCGTGTATACATGCCATGATATAGTCGACCATGAAGTGGGTATAGTCCTTATTATGTGGACTGGTGAGGATAAATTGAAGGAAACACTGGCCAGCCAACGGCATATCCCAGTCTTGCAGAACGGAGAAAACGTCTGAAGAGGAAGATATACTCTTGATGAGGGCATCCAAGAACCGATGAATAGGTAGATTTGACTGGACTTGGTGCCGTCGAGTTAGCAGCGAGGCCACGGAGGTGAGAGTGAATCCGCTGTTGACGACATCCAAACCATCAGTTCTCCGCTGCAACTCTCGAAATATTAGGCAAAATAGAGAAGGTTTCGACCCCCGCCAAGGGGTCCGCATGTCATCGAGAAGTGCCAAACGACTGAGCAAGGAAACAACGTCTTGTCTGGAGAACGTCAACAGAATATCGACGATTGCCCTGATACTGGACGGAACGATCTGCTTGATGAGAAGATTCCAAGCTTTAGAACTGACAGCAGAGGAATACGCCGATGGTCTGCACAGACGAAGTGAGCTGAGGCACAGATGCGCCGAGAAATAAGTTGGATCACCTCTGCAGTTCGATAAGATCCTCGTAGAATTGATCAGGAATGTTTTGGGATTTCCGGATTCGGGAGGATATTCTCCAAAGTCGCAAACGTACGCGAATCCTGCCCACAAGAGAACGGGTTGCTAGATCACGAATAGAAGGAATGGACACGTCTTGAGGGTACGTAACGAATTGCCGATAAATGTCACGGCCAATCGTGGCTGAGGAGCTCGCAACGGAAAGAGATGACCCCTTCCCCGGACTCGTCTTAACGCTATGATCATACACCGTAGTCGTCACGGTTGTCGACGAGATCGTAGACATCTTGTCTTTCTCCATACTCTTCTTGAAATCGTACGCAGGAAACTTTCTCTGCTTCGGAGGGCACTTGGCTTTACAGCATCCTCCGGCAGTGAAGCACATTGTGGGTGGCCTGCTTGGATGAGATGGGAAGCTTGTGGGGAATAATAGGACCTATCACAATAGACTCACCGATGGCCCTATATATGATACCAGGCTGTACATCTTGGATGGACGAACAGCTGATCAGATTCTACTTATAAAACTTCCCAGTGGCTATGTGGCAATTCCAAAAGAGTGCAACTTCCCGACTCTATTCGCATTCGAGGAACCTAGATATCCTATAGGTGACCAAATATTGTCTCACTCTCCGAAGATCCCAGTGGCGGATAAGTTCATAAACGGAGTATAGCCTACCAGCGCAAAGGTGGGGATTTGACAGTTAGGCAGTGCGCCACATCAGAATCAGTTGATAGCTGCGACTTCACCTATGTTCGCTTGTTCGTTCCTGATAACAACATCCATGAACGACGAGATATAGTCTTTGAGAGGAAAGAGCAGACCAAAATGTGGAGCATCGCCGCGAGAGCAATATTGAGTGACCGATCAATTTGACCCGCTAGCAATGGACATGTTCAAGCAGAGGAACGAACGCAAGAATAACAACGCTATAAACATCTGATCGATAGAAGACAAATAGACAGTCACCATCTAGGTGAATTCTCACTGTCACGCTTGGTTTCTTTCTTCCCCGTTCAAGCCCGGCTCGTAGCAGAATCTGACAAAGAGCACCTTCCGCCCAGCAGCGGCAGTGAAGCATCACGAGTCGCAGCGATCTGTCCGTGTCCAGAGTATTGACGTCCAACCCGGTCACCGACATCGGCAGATGATCAAGGTAGCCAGGGATTTCAAGTTCCGAAGATTGTGTAGAGTATCCTGAGCAATGATTTCCTTTGAGTGGGAGCGCAATAGGAAAAGGTGGCTTGACTTACAGTTGAGATCTCAGTGTAGAGCTCGCTGTTCCGTTATGCACGGGTTATACAAGCATCTGTCGCAAGTTCTCGCAACAAGGGTGCACATTTCACTAGTCCTGCCGGTAGGAGTAAGTGAGAACATATTCGATATTGCATAGAATAGAGTTAACACCTTCAGTTAATTATACTTGTTGTGGATTCGATGCTATGGAGTGTCTTAACCTTCGGGCAAGATTGCTGGATAGCCCACACAAGATCGCGATCTCTGCGGGTCACCTGCCATACTCCTAAACAGCCGGGTAAGACGTTATTTGCTCATGCAGCAATACGAGAGTGCGTGTGTCCCCAGCTGTTTGGATGGGGTATGCACGATGTGCAACGTGTAGAGATTCAGAAGCCACGCAAACGCTGTGCCAATGCTGAGACCGCTCTAATCACGCCGCATTGGACGTCAAATATTATTAATTGCGGCGAATGTCGGGTGATATCAGTCGCGACGATCGCTTTCGGAGAAGTAGATACCTTATGTGTTGAGCTCTCGACGAGACAACTATTGTGACCCCATTTCATTGGAACTTGACATGGCAGTCCTCTCTTCGTTGGTGTCATAAATGACCGCTTCGAGTACTCCCAAGCATGCGAAAGGAATGCTAATCGATGTGCATGTGATACATGTGAGAGAGCATGCAGAACGCATCCCCGTTGACCAAAGGAGCGTCGAGTATTGGTTCCGTCAATGGATCGGTCGCTGAGATGCCCGCGAACAGGAAATGTTCATGTCGCACAATTCCATGGACGGGCAAGGCTAACGGTATCGAAAGTCTTTATGGAGTGCAACCAAGAGATATCTGGGTGATAGGCAAGTTGCATGGGGAAATAGGTTAAAGATGGCAGTATTGAACATATTTTGCAAGCACTCCGCCCTCTTTCAGTTCGACACTGAAGGGAGACGTGAAGCTGTTTTCTTTCACGACAAAAGCAACAAATGATGCGCGTCTTGTCACGCGCCTCGTGATCTTCTGAAACAGTGACAAGCGCGCCCCGCAACCACGGTCACCGGTGTGACCGTATCTACTTATAAATCGACATTTTGAATGTGGGGTTAGCTGCATCGTACTCTCACCCGCCGTCCGTATCATGTATCACGATTTCAACGTCTGCCAGCCGGCTGACGAGCGAGGCTATTTACCCATTGCTGACCATGGATTGTAAGTCACAGGGCCATTAAGTTTGTTCATGCTAAAGACCCTCCCAAGAATCGGTAACCTCAGGACTGCAGCTCTTGTAAGTACCAATCTTGCATCTCTCATTCTATTCTTTGTTTTGTTTTGTTTTGTTTTTATTGAATAACTCGTTGATGTTATGTTGTAATCCTCTTAGATTAGTATTGACGGGTCCGGTAAGTGGAATGCCATTACAGTAGCCCCGCTACCTCCTGAGTACTTTGTCATTGCAGTTGAAAGCTACTGCGTACCCAACTTCGACTCCCCGTCGATTTTCGTCCGCATCTTGGACAAGGACAAGGTGACCGCGTTGTACATAACTATGAGGAACTGCATCCTCATCGACTCTAGGGAGGTCATTTTTCAATCACTCCCACAGTGCCATTCACCACGAAACAGAGCTATCTGCCGAGTTCTAACGTAGGCGCCTCTTCTCCATCCAGTCGGACTCTTCTCATTTATTCGTTCACTACAGGTTTTGCAAACGAAGTGCTGCTTACTTACTGTTAGCGTTACTTTCCTCTGCTGACAATTGTGCTAGATTCCTAAACGACAAGGGCGTAGCAACTGTCACCGGTTAGTTCAAATAATGAATCATTGTTTGTTATGTCATTCATATATAGGGCGCAGACTTTCTCCCTCGTCAACCTAGTAGTAATACTGCCCGTCCATTGCTCTCATGGTTAATTCGACGTGTGGAGGTACGCGTTTCCCCTGCCTTATTGTCAAGTCTGTCTCATGGGGATATCAGGTCGTTCGTGGATCCATTTCTCTTCGTATGGAATGCGCTCCGGCCTTCAACTACGCTCGCTCTCCCCATACTCTAGAGATCATTCCCGACCTTTCCATTCCAGTCCCCGACACCACCCCCGATCATATTCACAATAAAGCGTTATTTTCTTCGTCTGAGGCTAAACTGGAGCTGGACTTACGTTACGTCCTGGAGTCCAGTTTAGCTGGTGTCCCTGAACCCAACCTTGAGTTGCAGGTCTTGGATTTGACAGAGAAGGGTCATTTGGGTCACAGCGTGTTCTGCAATCTAGAACTTATAGAAGGTCAAGCCGTGACTTTCATTCTGCGAACCCCACCAGAGCGCACGTATCCTCATGTGGCACAGCCTAGCACGGAAAGGGCGAAGGAGTTAGGAATCCCTTTTGAGAGTAAGTGACAGGTTTTGTCCGTCAACCAACTGCTTATGGATCTGCTGTAGAGCTTGTGCTTGGCGCATCTAACTTGCGTGCTCCGGATGATCCCGTGCTCACCAGGGTAAGTCCCTGCCACTAGCATCACGATAAACTGGTTTAAATTCTTCTCACACTCAGGCTTTGGTACACGAGCTGCTCGAGACGACCAATCAATACTGGAATGCATGGATACGGCGATCGACTTACAGCGGCTCTTGGAAAGAAGCAGTACATAGAAGCGCTCTTGCTCTGAAGCTCTTGATTTATGAGCCCACTGGTTAGTCTCGACACATCTGCGGTGTCATAATAACTGCTAACATGAAAATCATAGGTGCCGTGGTCGCGAGTCCAACTTTCAGTTTACCTGAGTTCATCGGCGGTACCAGAAATTGGTACGTATCGAGCGTTGTCTATCATATTGAATAACTCTGACGTCGCTACAGGGATTATCGGTATATATGTGACCAAATCTGCAGATTCCGTTACTGACATGACTATGAATAGAGCGTCATGGATCCGCGACTCTTCCTTCACACTGTATGCCCTGATTAGGCTTGGTTTCACTCACGAGGCAAACGGTAACTACCCGCCTTTCTGTGTTCACAACCTGTGACATAACTAATTGTCGCTTGTATAGCGTACATGGATTTCATCTTCGAACGAGTCAAGGCCAAGAACCCAGACGGTTCACTCAAGATCATGCAAGTTCACAACATCTATTCCACCGTTTACTTTTCTTAACTTACTCAAGTATGACCCACAGGTATACCATTCACGGTACGTATCGCACCTCCTTACTGTCGTATCTTGTTTGATACAATGCCCTTGGGAATATAGGTGATAAAGAGTTCCCAGAAGAGGAACTCACGCATTTAGAAGGACACCAAGGGTCGAGACCCGTCAGGTATTATTTACAGTCTTCAGCTTGTGTCCCTTGAATGTGAATATGAATCGTTTGGCAGAATCGGGAACGGCGCTATAGATCATATCCAGCTAGTGAGAACTTCTCATATTATGTTATTGATGCCTTCTTTGACATTTGACGCTACAGGATATTTATGGAGAATTGTGGGTCCTTCTGCGAAATGAATCTACGAGTTGACACTTCAGGTTTGGTTCTGACTGTGGATTTGTAGAATGGATTGTATCTATCTCGGACAGAAGGTGTGTTATCATTCTTAGTGTTTTAATTGAATTGGTTCTTAAGCAGATCACCTTCAGTACGGCAAACCCTTGGTAAGAGACGATTCACTGCATGAATGGTTCTTCGTTTAAGCTGTACTTACTTCGATACTAGGGTTATGACACTTGGTACGTGTTGTTTTATATTTATATTCTCTCAGTCCTCTGACTTGCTTGCGCCTGACAGGGTCGCCGTCCGTGAGATGTGAGTGTTTCAAGGAGGTCTGGCAACCTCTATTACAAACTCATGACATTGCGCCATATTATTATAGCGTCGACTGTCAGTCTATTCTGTATTCTCATCCTCTCATGCTATACTGAAATGCGTTGACGTTATCTCAGATGCTGTGTCTGTTCGCAATGACCCCGACTTGTGCGTCTGATCCTATTCTTGTAGACGATGCCATGATAATTGTTCTTTTTTCCCGGCGTTGGTAATAGGTCTATCTGGTCAGTTTACTCTTCTAGAGGCTATTTTACTCGTCCAATCAATGGTCTCACACATCGTGACAGGGAGGTTCGAGGGAAGAAGAAACATTTTACCGTGAGTCATGTATGATCGTGATGAGCTTTGAGCTGATTCCGGCTGTGCCCTTGAATAGTATTCCAAGGTGTGTTGTAGAGATCTGTGTCTTAAATGACGTGATGTAGAGATTTTTATGTACAGGTCATGTTATGGTAGGTCGAGTTGTTCCTTTTTCATTGTTATATCACACATTACGCATGCTGTGTTCAGGGTGGCGATAGACCGAGGTTCGTCTCATACTCTCTTGCTCTAACGTCTGTATGATAACGTGTTATCCGCTGCAGGCATTCGTCTTGCAGACAAACGCTGTCTCCCCTGCCCCAAACGTCTGGAATGGTTTGCAGCTCGGGACGAGCTGTACGAAGTGATCATGCACAAGGCTTGGAATCCCGAAGGTCAATTCTTCGGTCAAAGCTATGAAGACAAGGATGTGCTTGATTCGTCTTTGATGATCATGCCGTTGGTGTTCTTCTCCACTCCGGTATGTTATGCTTTACTATTAGAATGTAGGTCGTGAACGTTGAACTGAGGGGCTACAATAGGCTGATCCGAGGTTTTTGAACACGCTACGTGCCATTCTTCGGTCTCCTGAACGTGGTGGATTAACCTCAAATGTGGGTTGCTTCAACTATGAGCATCGGTCTGGTTTGATAACCATGTTTCACAAGGGTCTTGTATATCGGTACGACGTCAACAAGTCTGATGATGGCGTGGGCGGGGAGGAGGGCACTTTCTGCCTCTGCACACTCTGGTAAGACGTCCCTCCAAATGGGCTCCACACTGCCTGAATAAACACCATTTGTGTAGGTGCATCGAAGCTCTGGCTCGGGCGGGTGAATTCGATAAGGCGATGCTGTCCAAAGCTGTTGCCATGTTTGAGGTATGTTCCTCTTCATTTCTGTTGTACTGCGTGTGAAGCATTTGTCCAGGACTTTTTACAATATACCAACCACCTCGGACTGTGCACCGAAGAAATATCCGATGCAGGGGAGGCGTACGTTGCTGTTCTTTCTCGTTCCTACTTTTACTCATACTTCGGTATCTCAGGCTCGGAAATGCTGTACAAGGCTTCACGTAAGTCGACTTCCATCGCACCATGATATCCACTATATCTTGACTTGCTCCTTTCTAGGCACGTTACTCTCATCTCAGCCGCATATAACTTGTCACGAATGCAAGCGAAGCTTAAAATCTAGAAGTCCTCGAAGCAAATGCCACTGTATTGAACGCAGCTGTACGAGTACTTGCACTCACTTGTGTTGTATAGTTAGATATCGAGCAAAGCAATATCAAATTGTATTGGTCCTTGGTAAACGAATCTCGTGTTTAGTGCGTTATTCCTTACTATGCTCACTTGAAACACCCCAACCACACAAGACAGATACATACTCACGGCGGGGGCAAATCGCGTTTCCTTTCGAGTGGATTCTTCTCTTCGGCCTCTCCAAAACATTTGAATCTCTCGTTTGGTCGTCAGGCATGTGGAACATCCCTCTCGGCAGTCTGAATTACTTGCAGACTGAATATCAATAAAGTCAGCCTGGGCCCAGACTTCGGCTCAGTTTCTTTGCGACTAAGTCGGTCCCGTCTCTTAAGAAACCTAATGGTGATGACTTTGCATCCGATTGCCCAGCACAAATATGAATATGGCCTGCGGTAAGGTTCATGTGGTAGTGTGGTTGTTCAGGCTTTGAGTGGGATTCAGCGGAGCGCCCGTTGAAGGACACGAATCGACTCGGCACTTTAGGGCTACCTCTGGCATAAGGTGGCTTTCTTGCTAACCAACGACGTTTTCTGTGTGAGTATTTTGTCATGCATAGTCAGCTTATGGCTAAAATAGTCTCAGGTGTTCCATCGTCGACTTATGGAAGATAGCCTGAGGGAATTCGTTCACGCCACCAGACTCCTCAGGCTGTTAGATGGTTCTGCATGAGACTGCCGATGAGAAATCATTGTAAGAAGAATACAATTCACCACTGGCAACGCAGTCTGTATTATAACGAGGTGTTCGCGGTTGGTTTTGCTAAGGTATAAAAACTGAAGAGGATATGCTCCACGTCGACAGGATCTAGTCCCGTTCTTCAGAGTCAAGGCTCAATAACAATGTCGCTCCCAAAAATCTGGCTCAGTACGTATGCGCCTCACTCCTGATACAACCAGACATTGACAGACCCGTCTTTTCTGCTATACAGTTACAGGCGCATCTTCTGGTTTCGGTCGATATATGACAGAAATCGTTCTTGCCAAGGGGGACATCGCAGTTCCTACCGCTCGTGACCTGCAAAACTTGACCGACCTCAAGTCTCGCTACTCTGCCGATAGATTGCTGCCACTCAAGCTCGATGTCACGAAGTCTGAAGAAATTACCGCAGCCTTCGACAAAGTCAAGGAAGTCTTTGGACGGCTGGATTTCGTCTTCAATAACGCTGGCTGTATGGCTATCGCGGAAGTTGAGGGTAATCCAGACGACGTCGCGCGAGGCATGTTCGAGGTGAATTTCTGGGGAGCAGCCAATATCAGTCGAGCCGCTGTCAAGTTCTTCCGAGAGGTGAACGCCCCTGGTGTCGGCGGAAGGTTGTTTAGCATCAGTGGTGGATTGGGACTGTTTAGTTTCCCGACTGTCGGCTACTATTGTGCGACGAAGCATGGTATGAATTTACTCAGCTGACTAATCTATTCCTATTAACCACATAGCTCTCACCTTCCTTTTCACAGCTCTTGAAGGTCTCACCGAAGCAATGGCAAAGGAACTCGACCCTGAGTGGAATATAAAGGTTGGCATCAATGTTGACTTCGTTCCCAGCAGCTCTTCCATACTCACTCTCTGTCTAGATCGTCATCATCGAACCGGGCGTCTTTCGCACCAACATCACAAGTACCAGCCTCATTAAAATACCCCCTCATCCGGCATATGCGAAACCCACCAACCCCAGCACATTCGTCCGCTCTCTATTTGAGCCCTCGGCAGAGTCCCACGGGAGCGACGCTGCCAAGGCCTGCGAGAAATTCTATGATTTGGCGCAGCTTCCTGATCCTCCCCTCAGGTTCCCTGTTGGGAAGGACGTTTTCGGGAGGATCAGGACGCAGCTGAAGAGTATTGCTGATGATGCTGAGAAGTATGAGTCCTGGTCTGAAGGTTTGGAATAAATGATCCACGTTCGATGATATGGTCGTGAAATAGGTGTATGTCGATGGCTTCTTATCGATCCTGATACGTACAAGTCTTCCGTGTATATGAATTACCGAAGAATCTAGCTTTCTCCGAGGATGTCAAGGCACTCTGAAAGAGTGTGCTGTCTAAGTAGTGTACCCGGGAAATAGTGCTGGATTTTCTCCGGGCTCGATACAACTTCTGACATGGTACTGTAGTATTGCAACTGAATCGGTAAGGCGAGTCACAGAAAGTACTTTGGCTTCATGAGATTACTTGCAACATGTTTCTAATAATATTAGTTATCCCTGATGTTAGAAACCAAACCGCTGACTCGGAATGAAGAATAGGAACATCAACTCTTCTTTGAATGCTTCCTCTTCTTACTCGAAACCACGACCATAGCATATGACAGGTAGATACTATCTTCAGAATCAGGTCTTGACTCGTTCCCAGTGAACTCTGCGCCTTCTTGGTGTTCCTCCGACCAACAATAACCAACTTCAGGAATGCCATAGAACGGGACGTTTTTGCAGAGTCTCAGCCAGCTATACGGGGTTTTAGATAAGTTGACCTTCAGCTTCTTCAACTTCTTCTCCGTCTTGAAGATGGATAGGATAAGCCCTACCTCCGAGGCATCTTCATCTTCATCTTCGTCTTCATCAGATTCTGAGCTGGCTAATAGAGCGTCGACGTGAACTTCGGTGAGCGGGTAGACCCATGCGGTGGCGTGGTCTATTTCGCGCTGTTCTTCGTCTAACCAGTCAGCTTCGGCATCGAGATGCACAAGAACTGGGAGGAAGTGGACTTCTTGGGAAGTGCTTTCAGATTCACCTTCTGATGCGACAGAGACAGCGGCTGCATGTAGGACATTATCCAGACCGCTTAACTCCGCTGTTTGGAGGCAATAGTCGTGCGTCAAGAGAATCCCATATGGAGCGGGGAGCTTTCTCAAGGTAGACTTCGTCTTGTTAAAGAGTGATTGCTCGAATGTCGTTTTCGGCTGCAATGCACCTGTGGATGTGGAATTCTGGGTGGGGTCTTTGCGGAAGAGTTTGAAGGCGATGACAGCACGATAACCTTCCTTGATTTCCGTGACCTTATGAGGGACGTCCGGATAGAAAGCGACGTAGCTTCCTGGATATGCTCTCGAGCCATATATCTCATGTCCAACGAAGAGATTACCTAGTAGATCATCCGAGGTGGAGTCACCTAAGCCAACAAGGAATGTTCCAACCAGATCCTTCTCCGGAGTATCCTTGTGCGATTTAAATTTCCCTCCAGGGCCGTACAAATGAATCTTGTATGGTTCAACACGGACGGAGCTCGGTAGAAAGTGCTCATTCCATATGCGCTCGATGTCATCACAGAGATTGTCGGAGACAGTGAAATGACTGGCAGGTATCTCCCTTGCATTCCGAACCTTCGCGTCGACCTTCGTGGACTGCGAACGGACATCACCATATCCAGAGACGTCGGCTTTCTTGAACCAAGCTTTCAACCGTTTCTCAGACTCCTGGCGCATAGCGACCAACTCGTCCTTTGTTCGGGACTTAGGGACGTCATGAGCAGGGTTATCGATCTTATCTTTCGGTTTCCCAAAGGGCTCGATATCAGCAGAGAACTTGATTCCGGGATGTGTGATGGTAAGCTTGAACGAATTTGGGAGGTATCCTGAATGACATTGAGCATCATTCTCATATAGTTGAGTGAGCTCTTCGATAGCCGCCTGTACAACAAGGTTACAATAAGGTTCACTAAGTGATTCTCTGAGAGCAGAACAGCGATAGACTACGAACTGGCACGTCAAGCCTCTCATCTTCGTCACCAAAGTCATAGCAGTCCATCCATGTTTGGAGTTCAGTAACGCAGGTACCTATGGGTTTGAGTCTCTTCGGAGCCGTTTCGATCGCAGTTTTGAGTTCCAAAGCAGTCCGAATGGGGGCGGGGAACATGGCTATTGGCTAATGTTTCTTTGGTTGTCGTTGACTCGAGATAGAAATACTGAACATTTCAAGGACGATTGAGGAGCTAGGCCTGGCTGGCCTGGACGCAAAAGGATTCGATCACTGTAAACAGCAGGCGATCAATTATGCAGTCTCACCGAGGCAGAGTTGCCAAATTGTCAAAGATGCAACCGAGTCCGAGTCGTCATTTTGCCAAGTATCCTCCATGTTCTTTTCCGCCGAGTTCCTAATCATTTTGGGCTTTGGACAAAGTCAAATGCATGCCCAGGTGGTGGTATCGCCTTCAAGACAAAGGACTGCAGGTCAATGCCATGGCCATGGCTCGTTTGACTCAACAATGTCACATGTCTTACCATTCTGCCACTATAAAAGTCCCCTCGATGAATTGTGGCTGAAATCATATTCTTCCTGACATTGATTCCCATCCCTACGTCCCAAAGAATGGACGACACACACAGGCGAGTACATCCGCCCACAACCGGATAACCTGCTATCGATCTCACGACAAGAATAACGCGACTAGATCCTCCGGTATAGCGACTTGCATTAATACCGTATTGCCTCCTGAGCTCGTCGACAGGACCCTCGACTATCTCCATGACGATAAAACGTCGTTGATGATCTGTTCTCTGGTCTGCAAGCACTGGCATCATACGGGCCGCTTCCACCTCTTTCGCCAGATGAAGCTTGGATCCTGGATCTTTATATGGGATCTAAGTACAGCAGGTCACTACGACAAATTCCCGGATTATTTGTCACGTTTCACACAGGAAGCTTCGCACCTCTGCGTCAATACTGAAGCAATTACTGTGAGCGGCGGAGTCAGTGGCATTGACATGGGAGAGTTCACTCTGGATATGCTCGATGTCATTCTCAAATGTGCGCCCTGTCTACAGAGCCTCACACTTTCCAATGTGGAATTGAGAGCTGGAGGCAGCAATGCCCAAATGTCTCATGTTTATCCGTCAGTCCGTGATTTAGTGCTGGATGAATGCGGGGTAAATTCAGGCAAGGTTCTCTCTGCATTGTTCTGCCTTCTCCCGAGTATTCGGCACTTCTACCTTTTCCACCTTCGCTTTCTCACTCCATACGACCAACTATTTGAAGCGCTTCCTCCGCATGTTGCCCTCGAGTCGTTCACAGGTCGAGTTGATTCTATTGCAAGCCTTTTGCTTTTCTTTAGGGACACGTGCACTGCGGGTTCTCTGAGATGCCTTGATCTCGGGGTTATGAGTGATTTACAGGAAGTTCTTGGAATGCGGCATTTCGATCCTCTCGTCATGCAGAACGTTCTTTCGCTCCGTGTAGGCCTGAGCACAGTGATAAGCAGCCATGAGAATGGTAAGTTCGTCATTTACTACGCGAAGGATTGTGAGTTCTGATAATACAAATACTACTGTGGACCATATCTTACATCTCGTTTTTTTGTGTTTCAGACCTTGAATCATTTTGGGAAGCCATGCCCTTACAGCATTTCACGTCTCTTATCGAGTTCACATTGGCCATTGACTTCCGGTTAACGATGCATCATATACGTGTCTTCGACTCCATATCGGCCACAGTACGCAACATTAGAATCGACGTAGGACAGATAGTTTTCTTTGATGATATTGGGTCAGAAATATGGGACTTGCTAGACCAGCTTCCATCTCGTTTTACGCACCTGGAATCTGTAAAATTCCATCATCTCGAGATCAAATTCTCTGGCGCAGCACATTGCCTAACGTTGCCGGAGAAGACCTCTGCATTGCAAGAGCACATGCCGAACTTGGTGTCAAATGGCCTGTTATATGTCACCTAGTCCCTATATCACTAGGCCTGAACTTATACATATCTACACATATAGACAGTTCACGGTATCTTCACTGTTACGTCGGGATATATGTCATCGAAAAGAATCTTTTTTGTCACATCGTGACCTTTGAACTTTCTTCTAGCAAGTCAGAATTCTATACAGCACACAAACACAACATTCGACGCAAGATGAAGCAACCCAAGTACCTCGATTTCATTTGTTACGAATCTTTACTTCTGCCTCTTGTAAATCTTATCCAAGAAGCTCTTGAACACCTCCCGCTTGAGCTTGACCTCGCCCTCAGCACCGAGTCCACCCTCAGGAATAGTCTCGATCAAGCCAATGATCTTCTTGTACGACGCCTCCTCATACGCATGGAACTTCTCAGGTACGCCAACCTGGTAAAACACCTCCTTGACCTTCTTCTCCGCCCCAGCATCCTTTCTTCCGTAATTAGCATCAAGAATCGCGCGTTGTTCAGGCGTAGCGTGAGCCAGGGCAAGGTTGATACACCATGAACACTTGTTATCGACGATGTCGGTTCCGATCTTGCCAATTTGCTCGGGCGTACCGCTGAAGTCGAGCCAGTCGTCTTGCACTTGGAAGTATTCGCCGAGGGGGATGAGGATGCTGGAGGCGACGGCGAAGGGATCCTTTGGTGCATTGGGGGAGGCGCGGATGCCTGCGACGTGCATGGCGAGGGCGACGGGAAGGTAGAAGGAGTAATAGGCTGTCTTGTAGATGACGATGAGACGGTGTCTGGAGTTGTAATGTCAGTTTCGCCATGTCGTTACTAGACGTACAATTACGTACTTTTCCAAGGAGAACTTGCTCAAGTCGACATGGTCTTCTGGGGCAGTAATCAAATCAATGAGTTGACCAAACTCAGTTTGGTAGGTGGTCTATGAGAATGGGAATTCAATGTCATATCACGCAAGAACCTTGGAATCAAGATGTACCTCGTGGAAGAGCTCAAGCAAGTCAACGTAGTACGACTCCGATCGGAAGTGCTTCTTGAGGAGGAAGTAGATCGCACTCTCGAGCATGAACGAGTCATTGATGGCAATCAAGCCGACGCCCTCATTACGGTACCAGCAAGGCTGGCCACGGCGAGTGATGCTAGAGTCCATGATATCGTCCGAAACGAGGAAGAATGCTTGAAGCTAGGTGGTCAAATGTCATTACGAGTACGCATATAGTCTGCTATCGAGTGAGACGTACGAGCTCGACTCCCCAGCCCAAGACAGCAGCTTTGAAGTACTCATCCTCGGTGAGAGATCTGCCCTTGAGGATCTCTACAGAGTCTACGACGGATAAACCGCGGTTGAGTTTGCCTCCGGGAACGTTGTAGTCCAAACTCTACGAGATCGTGTCAGAATGCGCGCATACATGCAGCTATTCTGTCACTGCAAACGATGTTTACCTTGCGGTACCATTCCTGCGCCTCCTTGGGCATTCCATTGCTAGCAAAGTGCTCCAAGAGCTCGTCACGGATCACCTCGAAGACATGCTCGAACTTCTGACGTTTTTGTGCTTTGGCGTCGGAGGACATGATATTCAGTGGCGTGTTCAGTGGCGTAGTATGAGGGTATGAAGCAATAGGATTTTCGTTACTTATAGGAATCAATTATAGGTGAAGTGGGGGGCAAAGCGTATAAAGAGCGGCGTCGAATAACTGAATCGTGCCATCGCATAAAAGAATAAAAGAGCCAATCGTATATCGATCGTTCGAGCGTGTATGTGATATGCGCATCCGAAACGCTCGCACTTGCATGTATAGGTATTGTCTTCTAAATCCGAGATTCCCAGGATGAGATGCAGATGAGCGGGGGTTGCATTGCGAGGAGCATGAACGAAACACTAAGACTATGCAGAGCCTATATACTATAGATGTAAACAACATGATGGGGGTGTACGATGAGCAGCAATGAGACGATAATAAAACATGTCAGAAGTTCAATGGGGTAGAATGCAAGGGGTTAGCAAACACTATGGCAAGTCTTTGGACGGTACTTTTATCTTCACAAACCGACGGAGGCTTCATGACCTTAGAAACCCATGCCACCCATGCCTCCCATTCCACCTCCCATTCCTGGAGCAGGCTTGTTCTCTTCAGGAGCCTCAACAACACACGCCTCGCTTGTTGTCAACAAGCTCGCAACACCAGCCGCATCAACCAAAGCAGTCCTGACGACCTTCAAAGGGTCCACAATACCAGCCTTGATCATATCAACGTACTCGCCCTTGCTAGCGTCGTAACCCCAAGCGAACTTATCGGGAGTACCGTATTGTGACTGGAGAGTACCGACAATGACGGATGCCTCCTCACCGGCGTTTTTAAGGATGGTGCGGGCGGGGTGAGTGAGTGCCCTCTTGATAATCGAGACACCGAGGTCCTGGTCGAAGTTGGCAGTTTGGATAGGCTTAACGTCGGGGTTACTGGGTTTAGAGTTGGAGCCGGGAGCATTCGAGCTGAGGGCAAGAGAAGCCTTCAAGAGAGCGACACCACCTCCGGGAAGAATACCTTCCTCAACAGCAGCACGGGTAGCGTTGAGAGCATCGTCGTAACGGTCCTTCTTCTCTCCGACCTCAACTTCGCTGCTTCCACCGACCTTGATAACAGCCACACCACCACTGAGCTTAGCAAGGCGCTCCTGGAGCTTGGTGCGGTCGAATTCGCTCGTTGACTTGTCGTTGATGAGCGCACGGATCTGCTCACAACGAGCCTGGATAGCGTCCTTGGAACCATCACCGTTGAGGACGATGGTGTCCTCCTTGGTGATGGTGACCGCGCCAGTGGAACCGAGCAGATCGGGGGTAGAGTTTTCAAGCTTGACGTCGAGTTCATCGGTGAAGACGGTACCGCCAGTGAGGATGGCCAAATCGCCGAGGATAGACTTGCGGTTGTCACCGAAGCCGGGTGCCTTGACGGCGCAGACCTGGAGTTGACCACGGAGCTTGTTAAGAATGCACGCAGCGAGAGCGTCACCCTCAACGTCCTCGGCAATGATGATCAATGGACGACGAGACTGGGCGGCGTACTCAAGAGTAGGGAGGATATCTTGGAGAACGGAAATCTTCTTCTCGCTTAGGAGGATGAGGGGCTTCTCAAACTCGACCTTTTGGTTTTTGGGGTCCGTGACGAAGTAGGGCGAGATGAATCCGCGGTCGAAGCGCATACCCTCGGTAATTTCGATCTCGTCCTCCATCGTTCGTCCTTCCTTCACAGTGATAACACCCTCCTTTCCGACCTTCTCCATCGCCTGGGCAATGAGGTTACCAACGTGAGTATCGCCATTGGCGGAGATGGTCGCAACCTGAGCAATCTCAGCCGTGGTAGTGATAGTCTTAGTATGGTGTGAGAGGAACTCGACGACACGGTCAACAGCGGCCTGGGAACCACGGCGGAGATCCATGGGGTTGCAACCAGCGGCAACGTTCTTGACACCCTCGGCGTAAATGGCGCGAGCGAGAACAGTTGCGGTTGTGGTACCGTCACCGGCAATCTCGTTCGTTTTTTGTGCAACATCTTGAACGAGACTGCGGGGCTCGTTAGCAAAAAGCTCAAGCAACTGGACGGTAAATGACATACCGAGCACCGAGATTCTCGAACTTGTCCTTCAGCGAAATTGACTTTGCAACAGTGACACCGTCTGTAGGAGCGCCACTTAGTATCGTAAAAAGTGAAAGTTAACAAGCGGTAGGACTCACCTTTGGTGATCTTGGGACCACCAAATGATTGCTCAATGATCACATTTCGGCCTATGACGAAGTGTCAGTCTGACATTAAAAACAACCAATTCCCAGAGAATATCTACCTTTAGGACCGAGAGTGACACTGACGGCGTCAGCAAGGACGTCAACACCCTTAAGGATGCTGGCACGTCCCTCATTCGAGAACTTGACTTCCTTGTGCGCACCACGAGCAAGCAAAGGTTGCTTGGCCTTTGCAGCCGCACGACGAAGAGCACGAGAAGAAGTGTTCGTAATGTGATGCATTGTCGTAGAGGAGAAGAGAAAACTCGGCGCTGAACGTTGGGAACGTCGACGAAGAGAACGAAGACAGAGAAAACCACCCACGTAACTTTCCCAAGGGAAATTTAATGATTTCCCCGCGGAACACTCTAGAATTATTGTCACGCTTGTCACACCTCGTCACCCCGGAATTGACCGGAAACTCTCGCTCGCAAATGGCAACTCAAGTCGAACGGCCTACTCATCCAATACTCATCTATAGCAAGTTATGTTCCTGAATAAGTAGTCTCATTCCAGACATTTAGATACTGGAATATAGCATTCAAGCTATAGACTATACATTGATTTGAAAATCAAGTACCTTTGCCATCACATTGGCGCGAGAAGCGTAGAACAATAGGAAAACTGTTAATTCTAGCTTACTCATTCAATGTTGATTCGCTCCTCCTTTACAACGCCTTTAGTATGACACCATCTGACAACAAGTAACTTCGGTAGAGGTGCAGCAGTCTCTCGCAAAGCCTGACGAGCCGCTTCAATCTTTCTCTTTGACGGATACTTGAGATCGCTCCTCTCTTCGACGTCCACCCACATGATCAACGTACGCAAACTTCTCAAGTTTCGAAGATCCCTAATTGTGACCTAAATGTATCATGAGTCGTATGATGGGTGAGATCTGATGCCGCATATGTGTGTAAACTCACTATTGTCGTTTCTACCCATTCTTGTGGACTGTACGGTTCGAAATAGGTCTTGCGGGCGTTGATCTCGAGTTTGCGTAAGGCTGCTACTGATGCAAGTCCTATGCAATATTAGTCATACCAACAGTTCATAAGAATAAGGAGAGCACCGTACGATTCGCTGTAGTTGCATTAGGCGTGATACCACGCAGAACTTCAAGCTTCGGACACGCATTCCTCAGAGCCCAAACCAAAGGCCCTCCATCGTCATCTCTGCATGTCACGCAACGAACTTCAGAACATGACGAAAGAATCCCTCGTGCACTGGAAGGCATGGAGACATTGCGGATCTGAGGAAGCTTGATGTCCCGGAACGTACTATGAATGCCAGCCGATACGCTTGATGAGGCATGGACTACTTGTAGTGTGTGCAAATTGGGAAGTCGTTCGAGACAGTGCGCGAATGCTGGAAGGACAGTTTTGGAAGAATATTTTGACAGGTTGACTGTTGCAATCCTGGACCATTATGAGTCAAGATAGGAAATATATGAGATGATGCGTACCTCACATGGCGAGCAACTTCAGGTGTATTCGCGAGTCCATTACTAACTCGTTCAAGTTTCCTCCCAAGTTGCATCCACCAATTCTCGCTTGTCCTGGTTTCGTCGTAGACAACTGCCTCGAGCCGTTCCCAAGCTTTATGGAGGAAGACAGCCCGATAGGCATGCGACACCCGTGACAGAGCGCGAAGAACGCGTCCCCTTTGACCATATTCATTCTCGAGCAAGGTACCCTTCAGAGGACGAATTGACAACACGTCTGGAAACAGAGATATGATGATGTCGAAGAGTTCAACTGGAAGACAGAGCAGGTCAAATGTTTTCGTCGAGGAATATAGAAGAGAAATATGGGCTTCGTAGGCCTTCTCCGCAGGCGAGAGCACGGGTGGAAAGTCCTTAGAAATGGCTGCACGTTTACGAGGCATCGCGATGGAGACTTCAACAGTGCACCGAATTCAAAGACGCCAAAGGAAGGACAGCAGAAATATGATCAATCGCGTCTGATGCGCCAATGATTCGTCGTGTGCCCAATCAGAAGAGCACGAGCACTCCGTAGGCGAACTACAGGACGCAGGGACGCGAAGAACTTCTTGCTGTAGTGTACGCATGAATTACTTTTCTTGTAGCATGAACAGAGAACTTACGTTGTGCTTACACAGGATTGGAGGTCTAAGGTGGCATTATATTTAGAACAGCCGACAACTGATGCACCCGAGTCTCCGCGTATCGGGCTCCTGAACATCATCTGCTTCATGACCCTTCCATCTCCTCCAAACATTAAATCATTCGTCAGAGCAGACATCGTCATTTCGACGTCAAATATGCTAAATCTTCAAAACACAAAATTCCCACATCAGCCTTCTGAAGTCTCATGGTTTGCAGGCGTCCGTGAAGTTGTGGATTAAGTCAAGCAGCCGGGGGAGCCTTTACATCTAGTCAGTCAAACCCGTAGAATAATAGTCCCATGTAGCACAAGAGCAAGGTGTGATGTCGCAGGAGATCAATGGTATTTCATCTAGCAAGAAGATGCAATATGCTGAGCGGAACGAGAATCGAACAAGAGAGAAACACGAAAGGAAGCAAGGGCGATAAGTATGTATCAACCGACAGCAGAAAACGTTCATGGCTATGCCGTTGAGTGCCGCCGACGCGGCCTGCTCTTGAGATGGTGGAGGCTGCCCAGGCCATGCTTCTGGAAAGCTTGAATGAGAGATATCAAGGATGGGACAATCACGATGAGCGCGAGGATCTACGTTAAAGTTTTAATCTCAAAACAAAAAGGTTGGTCGATTAGTGTCAATACGTACCTGCCCGAATCCCCACTCATTGTCGGAACTACTATAAATAGAAGGATTGCGCTGCAAAAGTAATTCCGTGCAGATGATGAAATACACAAACACGACAGCTTGGCATATGAGGATCCCGACGAGCATAGGGTCGACTGCCAAGCGTGTGCCTTTGGATTTATGTATGGAAAGATATGCGATGTAACCCGGTTCAAGTTCAGCTCTGGAAAAGTGAAGGTCGGAATGCCGCGTCCCGCGTCGATACGAACAATACTGGGCGAGCAGCTCATGCAGTGAAAGCGCTACATAGACGGCAGTAAGAAAGGATGTCACAGTGAGTGCAACAACTCTGCCAGAACCCAGAGCTGGAAGCGTAGCGAAGAAGACAACATATTTGACAAAGGGAGCGCATGCGTCTTGATTCCCAAAGGAGCTCGCATTCGCCCTATAATGGTACTCTATGAGTAATTCATTCATAGATCAGGAGTTGTAAACTCACCATGTATACAGAGTCAAGGCCATGGAGAAGAGCATCTGCAGCATACTAGCATATCTCGGTATGCTGTTTACCCAGTTGAGGTTTGGCGTATGACTTGTAGTAGGTACATGATTTTCTGAGAGGCCGTCGCGTACTTTCTTCTTCGTATCTCTGCGACGAGAATACGAAGCAAGCGCAAAGAAACAGCCGAAGTTGGCGAGCCTTTGCGAAAGTATAAGAACACATCGTTTACGAAATGAAAAATAAACCGCACTCACCAGACGAGGTTTGAGACTTGTAGGGCTTGGAAGAGCGAAAGTTGCTGATTGGCCGTTTGGACGATCGCAGCTACCGTCAATCCGATGTTCGTCATCGTGAAGGTCCATAACGCGCCAGGCGCATCCTCCCAGGAACGATTCACTAGAAAAACTAAGAAATTTATATCAATGTTATCGTTCCACCTGCGTCGAGCCCCCCACGTAGAGGAAATGACTTACGTAGGAAGACATTTTGCAGATAGAAGCTAACTCTTACGCCGATACCACTGATGTCTGGATTCACCTCCTGACCTCTGCAGTCAATCTCGTTTATAGAGTCAAGCTGTACGAATACCATCCCAGTTCGAATCTAAGTCAGAGGGGAAAGGTTGTGAGTTGACTCTATCGATGAATGCAGCGGGTTCTATTTAGTACTTAGTATTAACGCATTGAGTCTGTGTTCCTCACAGCCTCGCACGTCAGACCCATAGTTGGGGCCGCTGTGTGAAGCAAACACTAGCATTCTCACAAGCCACCGATATCAGCTATTCAACAGAAGCAAAGACAGTGACGATGATCATCGTTCAGGTTACAGTCCGAGTCAGAATCAAAACAGGGTCCATGAATGAACTGTACTGATTACGTAACAGGACTACAAACGAGACATTAATGCTGCCAAGCCTGCAGTGTGCCTGCTCTACCTTTGACCTTTTCATCTACCCGATACCGTATGCAAGAAGTTCAACTCACTCACTTGGTTGACTCTGCCACTCATTTCAATGGCAAGAGTGTCGATTGTGTATGTGCTTAAGCCCGATTATCATAGGCTCGTATCTATGATACAGATTGTGCCTACGAAGCAAGAGAACGCTTCTCGATTCTCCTTTCTCAACTCCCGAATGTTTCAACAGTCAGATTATAAATTCTCTCTCTCTCTCCCCAAGCCGACAGTGACTCTATAGTCATGAAGATCGCAAAGGCCATGCATATAAAGCACTGTTTTCCGTATTTTCCTTACATTCATACTCCACCGTCTTCCCAGTACTTTGCAAGTCCCTAAACGTTACAACAAATTCGCTCCGATGACGACAGCGATCTAAACGTGACTCCCAGCACACGATCATGTCATTTAGGAGCAACTAGACCAGAGTTCAGTAAATTCCTCGCTCAAGTGCCTTGCTCGGGACCTCGTCCGACTCATATCAATGACCGTCGACGGCACTTTGAAGGCGGAATTCTCCTGCAGGTGAGGGCAATGCAGACACAAATCTTTCTCCCTAACGGTGAGCAACTTTAACCTTTTTCATCTTGTCAGTTCTACTGACGGAGTTGAATATGAGAAGTACGAGACCAGGGACTTCACCCTTCCAGTAGAAACGTATGATATTGCGATTCGTGCGATCATACCAGTCGACCCGGTACATAGCGCGTTCTTCTCTGGAGGCCTGTGAAGGAGAAAGTTAAGTCTGATTCAAACCTCGCGGCAACCACACAACGGAGGTATTTATCCCGGTCACAATCACCTGATAGGATCACGGTCGCGTTGTCACGGTCGCGTCCGGTCGCGTCTCGATGATTTACAATGATATCAATGTATTCTGGATATAATGCTAAGGTACCCCATGTATACGGTATATGATACACGTTTGTCAAGGAATACAGTGACGCAGTGGTTAGTTGACACAATGGAGAGGAAAACATAGTTCAGACTTTCGAGACTTCAAAACAAAAAAATGGAAAAAGAGACCATATCAATACATTATTATGAAACGTAGATAACTTTGAGTAACACGGTATCCTCTACGAGGTATGTTAGTCCGCGAAGACGTGGAAGAATTCAACTCAAGTACGTACCTCTTTACCGGATAGTCGGTCCACCGAACCTCGACATTTCGTAACTCCTTGGTTTAGCCCAGACATCCCACACCTTGAGCTTACCCTCCTCGGGGACACCTAAGACAACTCGTTGTCCGTTCGGACTTACCGCACTACACGCCACAGTCTTCTCACTAGCTTTTCGAGCAACAATCTGGTGCAACGTCGGGTAGTAATGCACGACTACGGAATTCTCCACGCTACCCTGCGCACCAACACGACCAAGACCGTGAGTACTGAGGATCTCTTTTGCGTGTTCACTGAAATGAAGGGATGTAATTTGGGCATCGAGGTCGATCTGACGTATGAGGTTGCTTGAGGTGGAGCTGTCTTTCACGTCCCAAAACCGGATTATGCCTGTCTGAGTGGGAGACGAGTCACCGCTCGCAAGGAGCTTGGAAGACCAGGGGCACCATGCAAGAGCCTGAAAACGTGTCAGCGATGAAATTTTGATCTCAACGGAGAAAAACTGACCGAGACAGGACCATCGTGTTGCATTTTCTTCCGTCTCTGAATGGTCTCGCCGACGTCCATGGGTTGACCTGGTTTTCTTGAGTCCCAAACAAGAGACAACCCACTTTCGTCTCCGCTCGCCATAAGTTTTCCCTCGTTGTGCCAGGCGAGACAGGTGATATTAGCTTGGTGACGGGTAACTTTCCTAGTCTGTTCCTTCATCTTCGAACTGGGCTGGATCCGGGTGTCGAAATGCCTGATGACCCCACGTTGCGCGCCAGTGGTAAGGACAGGCCCGTTCCATTGCATTGAGGTCACGTCTTTAGTTTGCCAGGAGCCAACAAGCGTTTTGGTGGGGAGGTCATACAACTGGATGTGACCCTTTGACGTGCACAATGCGACGGTATGGGACAATGGCGCGGACTCGAGCAGTCTCAGACTACCTTGCGAGCCGCGGATCTTGCATAACTGCGTGATCTCTTCGGTACTGGACATGTTCTTAAAGTGTACGCGTTTCCCTCGTCCGAAGACAAGGAAGTTCTTGCTGGACCAGCAGACGGGCGAGACACCCGCAGTAGCGTCTTCAGCGGAAACGTTGAAATCGATGAGAACTCGGTCCGGTTTTAGTTGGAACTTCGCGGAGATATTGGGAAGGGAGGGAACTGCGGGTGACGACGAACGAGACGTATGGGAGGAATGAGAGATGATTGGTTGGTAGGGGCTGGCGTCGAGAGAGAACGACGCGCTAGAATTGGCACGGACGCGATCGAAGACGATGTCTTCGCGTGTCAAAGACCGCGTTCGAGACAAAGAGCTCGTCTACAATGAATATTTGTTAGTACATAGAAAAGGTATATAGCCCATCGATACTACGCTGCATCAATCCAGAACATTCGCATGGGACATTTTTAGGGAGCCTCCCCCACGATTTGCGCTACAGCGCATTGCCTTCTTGCCTTCTTGTAATTGCACTATCTGGGTCTCCTCCAAAAATGTCCATCGGAAACATTAAACCATCTCGTACAGTGTTATGCAAGTTATATGACTACCACACAGGTAATGTTTCCGAAGAACATGTTGGATATGAGAGTAGCATCGGCGAATGTTTTCTTTAGATGCCTGGAGGTCCACCGCGAAGGGAATCCAACCACATGCCCGTTTAGGGCCAGGCATTTTACGCGTTCATACATCGTACATTGTACCGCCATGGCGTGATGTCCGGTCAGAGACGCAGAGCAGCGCCACTTCGCGTATAGGCATATATAAGATAAATCAGGAACAGTCCAAAGGACGTCGTCCTGAGACGAATCCCTTCCTCTTCACCTGTAAGGAAGAGGTGTATTCAAGGCATTATCGTAATGTTAAACACCCAATCTGGGGTTCCAGCGCATCAAGGGAAGAGAGACCGATTCGTGTGTCTGACGTCGTGAGAATCACTCACCGTACTGGAGCGAGTCCGAGCTGCACTGATACTGGCCGTCACTTCCAGACCAAGATCAGAGATCGAAAGCGAACGTTCAAGGGGTGGCCGACTGCTTGTACTGGCAAAGAGAGCAGGAAACGGGCGATGGCGTCGGTTCTGTTCTTCTTCATCTTCTGAAAATGATCGCCTGCGTTTAAGACAGGCACTACAATTCGCAGATTAGCGATGCCTTTGACAATAATATTCTATTGAGCTTACCTGGCACTTGTTCCAGGGAGATCTGGCACGCGGAATGACATGGTGAAATTGACAGTAGTGAGGAGAACACAAGGCCGGAAACAGCGCTGGTCTCATTGGCCGGCGCTAGCCAATGGCCACGATCACGCCTGCTCATTTCCACAGTTGGACGCGTTGTTGACGCGTTGTTTGGTTTTGTCGCATGGCGCTCAAGTCTCCTAACGACTCTCGCTCAGGGTCCCCATTTCTAATCTCTTGCACAAAACACGTTATCTTGCAACTGGTCGATGACATTTTCACGGTTCACACAATTCCGAAATACATCTATGTGCCCAGACCGGGATCTACAGTTGTGCAGGTTCTCAACTTACTAGTGCATCCACGTGTCTCTGAGCTTGATTGTCCTTCGGACCTCGATATTCACCTCAATATTCATCTCAAGATCTTCCGCCTCCAGCTGTTTCGTGTCGATTTCAAGTACATCTGCTGCTCAAACTCACAGCTTAAAGGATTCAATCGCGTGCAAACAACGCGTCAATCATACGTTGTTCACGTGATCATGGCGCTGAATGATAGGGCTGTCTGGACTCTGCATGCTGTTGAAGGTTTCCTAGTGCCTCATGTTCTCCTCTCCGGCTTCTGGAAGTTGCATTTACTTGTCTCCGTCTAGGTATAACAACATTAATGCTTGTGATCGGCCACGTATGAAGTTGGTCTCTGCGTTTACCTTTCAAGTACAATATTGGTAACATTCGAAATTGGCTGCGAGCGTGATGTCAGACACTCACTTTCGGAGTATACTGATTGTCGTCCTGCCAATTGCAGAGTACTATTTCAGGATAAAGTTGTCGCTGCTATTGCAATTACTTCTTCGTGCACTGGATCCCTATGCCCTTATCGACGCCGGTCACGAGGAGGCTGTACAACAACGTTGTCGTGACATTCATGCTAGCTTTCTTGGCTCTCCTCTTCTTCCTTCCATTCACGCCCCCCATCTCATATCGCGGACATTTCTCTCATTACGATGAAAGTAGAGCAAGCACTCAAGCATATAGAAGCAGACTCGGCCTCCATTGCGCTCCGGAATACCCTTTGTGGTATAAGTACGCCTTCAAGCAGGGCCATCCTACGGTTCCGCAAGGTAGTCAAACAGGGTCTCAAACATAGCAGAATTCATGAGAGGTTACATGAAATCGATACGATATTTCAAGACCAGTACTCCTTCATCCCGAGGGATTGTTATCAAGACCTGCTCGGATTTCAAATGTATGATTGTGTCCCTCATCCGCAAAGCATTCACTCAGTCATTCGGGCTTCGCTTAGGATAGGACTATATGCAGATAATGTCAGACAACGAGCGGTGGAACTGCTGCTTCTATCTATGCAGCAAGGCCGTCCGCTATTGTATTTCGTCGAGACGTTATTGGAATTGCCCACTGTGCAGACACAGCTCTTCCTACGACAATTATTTGTCTTTCAGCAAGCCGGATGGTAGGATATTTCTTATATGCGTTCTTTCATGCCCTCAATGCTCATCTTCCAGGTCATCTATATCTGCTGTGCCTGACGTTGGCCAAGAGAAAGCTGCAGTTTGTCAAACTCAGCCAAATGATAAGGTCAACTCCATAACATCTAGTTATCGCGAAATTGTACGCGAAATCCTCAAGCATCGTCCTTTCGTCCTCCATGGAATTTTCGACGTTCCCCAATTCATCTTCTTGCAAACGGCGGACTCTCTGAACATTACTGACAACAAATCGGAAAATGCATCGCCTCATAACATACCCTCGTTATCTCCCCTCTTCGATTATCTTGGCGCTGAATCTCGGAATGGACGCTTGGACGGGTGGAAGCTGCCTGTCGCCGCTCGAGATATCCTCGATTTCATCGCAACCGCTTCTCCTGAAGCGCAGCTTAGCATTGCACGATATATCCTGTCCGCGCTTCGGCATTGCCTTTCTCCTGAGGCTGATGCCAAGAAGGATCCGTCATTCCTCTCTTCACGCAGCTCAATGGAGAAGGTGTCAACTCTCGATTCAAAGGATATGGACGTCAAGGCAGAATCGTTCCCTTCGTTTATTCACCCTCGCGTGGGACCTTCTAGGACTGCTACGATGTCTACTGATTCTACTGATTCCTCATTCCACCCTTCGCTCCCTTTCTTGTGGTTTGCAGTTCACTTGGGTTTGCGAAGTGAAGATGCTTTCGACACATTCATATCTGGAGACATCCTTGATCTTATGAAACAGCTGTGGAGTCCTGGCCTTCCCGACTACGCGGAAGCACACGTTCTAAATGGCAGTTTGACTAGATCTGCTGTTCGTGATGATCTGCGATTAGTCTGTTGTTTCATGTTAGGTGTTATCTCTGCTGTGGATTCATCCCTGTCCCTACCACAACGTCTTCATGACGAGGAACAAGAATGGTTTTATGATGTGTTTTACACTTTCGTTTCTCGCTATGAGTTCATCAACGCCCTCATAGCATCGGTGCATCCGCACCGTTCGTCTGCCGATCTTCAAGCTTTCTACTCGCTGCTTCTAGCCGATCTTGGGTGTGTAATCATGTATCTGTCGCGTGGCTTTATTGACAAACCCTGACGTTATTTTAGTGGGGATGTGAAAATCGGACCTGAAGATTGGCGTTGGGACATCTTCCTCACCGAGCTGTATGAACGTCGAGAAGTACATGTTGCAAATGCATTAATTCAGCTTTCAGATGCGGAGCTGAAGCAGAAAGTGTTACGACAAGCAGTTGAGGCAGCTCAGTTCTCCAATATGTACGTTTCACCAGATGTTTCTGCTCGTAGGTGATAATCATATCCTTTCCGTAGAGTGACGCGTTCAAGACATCGAAAGTCAAGCGGACTGATGTGGCTCGTCAATGAGCTGGTTCATCAGGAGGCTGGGTTACTTTCCCAAACATTGGACATCAATACTATCGTATTCATATTCATGCCCATGAAAGGATCAGTGCCCACCGACGAATACGACCTTCCCCTATTCTTCCAAGAATTTCAAGATCCCCGGAAACAGGCGGCGCAATTCATTGGATACGATGGTCATGAACTTCCGCGAAATGTTCGGTACTTCTTGAATTATCTCCGGGTTGCGCCGCCCGAACAGCTCCTCAGCGTGTCCACGAGCATCGTTGAATCATTGAAGGCCCTTCCAAATTCTGTTCTTCCTCCTAGTTACTCGCGTTTAGGCGAACGTGAAATGGAGGAAGAAGCCCTCCGTCACAAGGAGAAGAGCGCGGTTATGTGTCTTCAATTATTGGAGTTCACCGCATTCTTGGCGCTTCTTGTGCCGGAAGCCATTCGATTGATACTGCAAGCAGACCTCGTAGATGTGACGTTGCAGCTGTGCGCAACCTCAGCGGCATTCTTCCCATCTGTCCAACTTGAAGGTTACACCGGAACAAGCGTCATGGCCTGTGATCTCATCTCTGCCCAATGTTTATGGCTCCTTGGAGTACTCGCCTCTCTTGATATGGACGATACTGTGCGCAGGATCCAAGAAAGCGAATACTCAGCGTACTCTGTCGGATCGTCATTTGAGTGTGCTTTGGCAGCTCAGTTTTCCATGAAGGAGCCTTCCATCAACGTTCGTAGCTCGATTGTTAAGCTATTGGCTCAGATTTACGAAGCCGAGCCGGGACCCCCCGGGCCACTGTATCCCTTGCTGGATGACTCAAATTCGAAACAAGAGCTCATTCAGTCAAGAACTCAGTGGCAAGACATGCTCTCCGTCTTCGGGTAAGCGGCATTGTCGATTATTAGTTGAGACATCATGATTCTGACTTTTACGGGTAACGATATACAGGATGGAGGACGCCGCACTGGAGTGGAAAATGGGTGCAGCCACGGAAGTGCTGAAGTTCTGCGCTTTTACCCCTCGTCAATCTTGGAATACGGTCTTCACAAGAGGGCTTGTGACTTACCCTTCGCTCCACCGCGTCATACAGTTTATTATTCGAGAGTACCTGGGTTGCGAGAGGTGAGCATGTTGCATTTATGCCGTCTACTCTGTTTCCCGTGAAACTCAATCACTTTCCAGCGAAACTACTGTCACAATATGGGATGAGGTACAACTTGCCCTGAATCAGATGCGGAAGAAGTCACAACAGTATGGGTTTCATCGTGTACATCCCATCGATCGTTTCATCCTATTGGTTCATCACATCGGTAATCAACTGCAATGGTTTACCACATGGCATTCACGATTGCCAGAGCTCGGTATCCTGGAACTTTGCAAGCACTTAGTCCAAGGAGAATATGACTTTGAGGATGTCGCAGCTGAAGTGAGCTTGCAGGAAGCGTCAAGCAGAAGGGAGCTGCGTGATATTCGACAGCGGAGATTAGACTGGTTCAAGGGGAAATTGGATCCTGTGCAGTGTCGCCAACCGAATATCAGGCCCGTCGGAGATACTGGCTCGTTATTCCCTGCGATCGAACAAGGAAGTTTTATAGGTCAATCGGCACAAAAATCGTCTCATGCCAAGGCGCGACCGATCTTAGTTCTTCATTCTTCCGAAGGGTAAGACTAGAACTTGCCGTCTCTGTCGAATGTGGGCTGCAAGCGTTTGACAAATAATTCATATTCTTTGGCATATTTGAACTGGACTCTCATCGTTCAAGGATGGATGAACTCGTACTACATATTCAATTAGCGTAACTTCATGATAGACCTACAATTACATGTACTTTTCTCTGTAGTCCGCAACAATGACCATCCTACCAGCCCTCGAGCGCTGAGCAATGCTTCGTGAGCATCTTCTTTCTCTACGCCCTGTACAATATTAGCTGAAATCCGGGATGTCGGACAGGGTATGGGTCCTTGCGCGGTGTCCGTGATGATCGGTGTAATCGTTGGAGATCACGAGACCGCTCGGGTGGATGGTCATCGAACGACAGCAGCATGCGCACGATGTCAGGAGCGAATGTTCTAAGCATCATGGAGGGATCATCTCGTTGAACGATGGCACAGAAGAGTTGGCAGGCATTCCACACGAGTGATCGGCAGTCGCGATGATTAGATGCCTCCCTCAAGCCCCGAATGGATATGAGCGACTTCGGACTTAGGTTCTCCTTCCTGTGGATTATCATGATTAGTCGACTGTCTGCAACGTGAGTGAAGTGGAGCTCCGAGCTCACATGACCGACAACTTGATGATTCCTAAGTATTGCAAGAAACGTTGAACATCGTCGGGCTCCCATTGATTCCGTATGATTATCCAAACTTTGTCTGCTACCGCTTCTGTCTGTATTGCTGCAATAAGAATGGACCAGACACGACGTTTGGCGAGGGGGGAATAGAAATTCATTCTGTCATACGGTAGGTCAGGTCAAACACGAGACAATGCGAAATCGTGATCAACTCACCGAACAATGTCGAGAAGTGCTTCCAACGTTGAGCTCGAGACAGATTTGAATCCATGTATGAACTCCCGCACTTCATTATTGAATCTGCGCAAGGATAGATTCACTTCCAGTACTTCCACGCCTCGCAGAACGAGAATGCCTAGCGCCAATAATGCCTTCCCTGTGTCACTACCAATGCCGCGCATAGTGCTTCGAGATGAATCGGTTCGTGAAGCGGCATACGCATCGTGGTGCTGAAAGTTGCCGTCGGAACGTCCGAGAGAGAGGGCCATTGGAAACGCAACCTGCCAGATGATATGAAGCAGCGGGTTCATTTCACAGACGGTTGCTGTTTTATTTCAAGAGGTACTGCGAGATCGGAGGCAGTATTGCAATGTGGCTGCCAATCATGTATCAGGGTCTGACGTCAAGCTCAACCTCATTGTCAAGGTGAGGCAGATTCATTAACGATAGCGAAGCACCTCCCTCAGGGGATTCAGTGCACGCACTGCACAAAGTTTGACAATGCAGATTTTGATCTCCCATCTGTCAAGTTCGTGTGAGCTAACTTTAAAAGGCATAGATGCAGGCGAAAAGCAATGGACAAACATGTTTCATCTTTCCCTTCATGTACCCAGATAGACAATCTGACAGAGAAGGGTCATAGGCCGCATGATAGAATGATGGCTACAAGGTTAGTACAGTGGAGATAACGAACTGGGGAGGAAAGTTCCGACAGTGTTCATTGCTTTGGGGATACCTGCCGCATAACGAAGCGATCAATCCAAGCACGAATAATGTCAAAGCCGCCTTTTGATGGCTTCGGAGCGGCGTCAACAGTATTTCTTCTACATAACGCTGGTGATGACTTACAGGAGATGAGAACAGAAATGTCGTAGTATAAGCAATACCGTCGTCCATTTAAATATATGTTCGCCACCATTAAGAAGCACATCCGACAGAACGCGGAGAGACAGCTGTTGATAGAATTCAAAGCAGGACCCAGCCAGTCCGACCGCGCACACTGCCCCCTCGAACAGCATGAGGGAAACTCCCGGCTTGACTTGGGACATCCATTCCAAAAGCGGAGGTAAATGTTATCAGGAAACATACCAAAAGGATGGAAGACAAAGTATTAAAAATGGTCCAACGGCTCGACGATGTGGGCTTGAGTAAGGAAGTGGCCGCCACGCTACCTCCAGAACACCATAGTACGCAGAGAAACGTCTAAGAGGCAATACCTCCATACTGACATTAGCAACGTATGTATAGAACAAGGAGCTTGATGCGTAATCCCGGAGGGGACGAGGGCAAATTGTACGAGCCTGAAAGCTTGCGCTCTCAGGGTCCCAGCTTTCGCTTCGTAGAGTCGATATTCATCAGGTGTGCAGATTTAGCATGTGCCAAATACGTTACGGTCGTCCCTCGCTCCTCGTCACTGGTCTGCGTACTAAAGAGTTAGGAGTACTTGCTTCGGCGATGCTGCAGTCAACGTCCAGGCACGCCAAATAGGGCGTCTTCCGTGTGCTGCAGATATCAGTGCGTTCGGCGTTTTCTGACTCTGTCACTCTTTACTCTTGCCGGCAGCCGCTAAGCTTGAGGCGCCGCTCCTCGATATCTTCTGACCTTTTTTTTTTTTTTTTTTGGAATCCGTGTTTTTTATCTACTGTAGTGAACGACACTATGCTAGATATTGGATGCCTTTCCGTAGGATTTAGAGTGAATTCTAGATATTAAGTGGACCTTAAATGGGCTCACTGCTATGACAGGCCTGGCCGGACAATGTTATGAATTTGCTGAGGGTGTAGAAATGTGGTTTGGGGCCGTGAGAAATCGTGTCAGTGCGTACAAATTCAGCAAACTTTTGAATTTTGGGCGTCTATTATTTTTTTGGCGGGCGTCACGGTCGGCAGGCTCCTTGCCGAGTGTAAGTCAATCTTGGATTGCCTTATCTGGCCTTCTCTCCTCAGTAAACAGAGGCAAAGTGCACAATCGCAAGGCAAAGTGCACAATCGCAGTCTCGGCAGGGCTCAGACAGGTCTGCGGGCACTCGCAGAATAACACCTCTCTACTTCCAGCTGCACTGTCTATTTTGGGAAATGTTTTATGCCAGCCGAGAGGAACCGAGATAGCCTGCCAGGTGCCTAGGGACAGCCGAAATAGGAAGGATGGCTGCCTAGCAAGCCGTAAATTTGGTATGTGGTTTGAGCACAATGCTATGGCTGCAAGCTCATCTAGTCTAACTGTAAGGATGCGCCATCTAATGTCAATCTTTATAGCTGTCATTGAGCCTCCCAGTTTAGTCCCTCCTTATACCATTATTTTTTCTTATTTTCATACCCTCTCAGCATGACACCCGGAGGGCGCCTAATGAATGTTCAAACATTGCAGACCAATTTGTACGCTGTGGCATTTTCTCATGACTTCACAAAGTTCAAATGCTATCAAAAACTTCAAAGTTTTGTCCAGTATGGTCCCTCATACACTATGAGGGACCGTATCGGACAAAACTTTGAAGTTGTCAATAGCATTTGAATTTTGTGACATCGTGAGAAAACGCCACAGTGCGTACAAATTGGTCTGCAATGTTTGAACATTTATTAGGCGCCCCACGGGCGTCATGCCAAGATGGTATGAAAATAAGAAAAAATAAGGCTATAAGGAGGGACTGAACCAGGAGGCTCAATGACAGCCATAAAGATTGACACTGGATGGCGTGTCCTTACAGGTAGACTAGATGAGCATGCCTCTGTAGCATTGTGATCAAACCATATACGAAATTTACGGCTTGCTAGGCAGCCATCCTTCCTATTTCGACCGTCCCCTAGGCGCCTGTCAGGCTATCTCGGTTCCTCTCGGCTGGCATAAGACATTCCAAAAATAGACAGTGCAGCTGAAAACAGAGAGGTGTTATTCTGCGAGTGTCCGCAGACCTGTTTGAGCCTCTGTAATATTTTTATTGAGGTGAGATGGCCAGATAAGGCAATGCAAGATTGACTTGTGCTCGGCAAGGAGCCTGCCGACCGTGACGCCCGCCAAAAAGTTGATAGACGCCCTAATTTCAAAAGTTCCCTCAATTTGTATGCACTGACACAATTTCTCACGGCCCCAAACCACATTTCTACATCCTCAGCAAATTCATAATATTGTCCGGCCAGGCCTGTCATAATACACTGCCTTGGGTTTACAGGAGTTGCTAACCCGTAGCATCAAAATTTGACTGCATCGTAGACTGATTTCGATTGTTGTAAAGTGATGTGTCAGCAATTGGTCTTACCATACAAGGAGCACGAGCGAGCCGCCGAGTCGCAAGGGCCAACGAAGAGACAGCGGAGAGTACAATGCTGTGTTTTTACTAGTTTTTACTGCAGTTTACAACTAGAAGAGGGGGGGTACCCCCCCTTCCAGATTCAAGGTTTAGAAACCTCTCCTCTATTCCGACTTAGTGGTACCGCTCGACGGCTCCTCGGCCAACAAGCGTCTGAGGCATTTTTCTACTGGTTTATTGTTTAGAACGCATTCCAAATGGCTACGGAAAGGCATCCATTAACGAGCGATGTGAACGTAAGGAGTGGCGAACTACGAGGGCTACCTACACAAAGGTGATCTTCTGACCTTCTGTGACATCGTGCTGTAGAGGCTGGAATTCTGTTGCGTTTATAAGTGCGATAAGAGAAGGACATGTCCTGTGAATGCAGGGCAGTCAGGAAACGGAAATATGAAGTAGTCCAAGTTAAATTTTCGAGCGATCATGTCAAGCCGCTGAATGAATGAGGGCAAATGAAGAGCTTCTCGGGCGATAGTTTCATTTCTATGCAGACAGCCGACTCTAGCACAATCGATCGACTCGACAAGACGATCAGGCTGCCTCATCTGTTCAACGTTCAACGCCTCTTCGGCTCACGGAATTGGCTTCATAATCATCACTCCAACTTTCAAGTGATTCTGTTCCGTCTGGTGCTTGTGTCGGGTTCGAGAGTCATATTTGTTTTCGGCGACGATGAGTACAGTACTATCAAATAACCCCGTGATTGTGAGTATCGATATGTCAACGTCTCGTACGGTGCCGTAGGCCTTTCGCTCACGGCCAATGTTAGCCTTTCAGCAGTGCTCATTGCCTGATCACATTATTGCCATTAATTTCTTAGGTCGACGAAAGGCCTTGGACCTGGCCCGGTTTGCTTCATAGCCTCAATCGCTCTCACCACTATGGAGAAAATGCTATTGAAGCAGATCAAGGAAGACGAGGTCTCGATCATATCGTCTCGGAGTACTGATTGGACGGGAAGCAGCACTACTCTGCGAGAGTTTGGTCCTGCATCGGGAAAGGCCCTCATGGCTGTAGGCAGCCTTGCGATTCGCGGTGTTGAGAGCATAAGATTGCAATTCAGGCTGCAATCCAAACTACGTAATATTGGCGAACTCGTACGGCGGGAAGATGATTACATCCCGGCAGAGTACTACGAGGATCTACTGGAGCTTCAGAGGCAAGTCTCTTGTAGTGTGCGTACCCTCTAAATGCTGAAGTATTTGATTGCGATGTCCTGATAGGTTCGGTCTATATTCCAAATCCATCCGATTTCATGCATGGGATTTACTACTGTTGTTGATGGAGAGACGGCGCACTGAGCGTTTGGTCGACATCATCATGAAATGGCCTTCTATTGAGATACAGCTGATGCTCCGTCAACTTTCGGTCTTCAAATTATCCGGATGGTACGTTTTCTCCCGTTGGTATCCCTCCCGGAAGGTCTTCATTCTTTGATTTATGTTCCAGGTCTCTCCATCCAGCCCGTCTCGTCCGAATTTACGATGTCCAATCTGCCGAAGCCAGTCAAGCACTCAATCTTCAACGTGATAGTTCATGTGCTCAGAGCTACCGGAACATTCTAGGATCTGTTCTTCGGAAGAATCCCAGAATCATACATGAGATTCTCGGTGCAGAGGAGTACATATTCCTCCAAACACCCTCTCTTCCTGGAGACGACCGTACAGATGTTCCTTCTCTTTCACGTCTCTTCGATTATCTCGCTCGCGAATATCCTCGCAAACGTCCGGATAAGTGGCAATTGCCTCTCGCCGCTCGAGACTTTGTGGATTTCCTTGCATCAGGACCAGCCGAACAATGCCAACACGTCGTCAACTACATTGCTTCTCATTTGCGACCAGTTGGCATACACACATCCTTTCCGAAGGATATCCATGCCGTCATCGAGACTCATAGAAATACAGGTTACCGTACGAGCATGCATTCAGCATTTGCACTCCTCTGGTTCACCATTCATCTGGCACTACGGAGCCGAATGGCTTTTGGCATGCTTCTCGAAGCGGACCTACTTGACATCATGCGAAGTATCTGGACTTGTGGCCTCCTTGAAGCAGACGAAGATGAGGATGAGTCAACCCAAACAATCCGAGAGGACATGCGAACCGCCTGCTGCATATTGCTAGGTGTCATATCCAGTCACCGGGTTTTCCCTAACCTGGCTTCTTATCTGGCCTTGGAGCACACAACCTGGTTCCTCGCAATTTTCTCACATTTTATGGATGCATATACCACGGTTGATGCAGTACGTCTGCCTGCGTGCTCCGAGCCTCCCCGGGATGATAGGAGCGATTTCTACCATGAACTCCTGAATATCGTTGGGTGAGCTATTCTATATGATAGAACTCGCGTTCCGAATCTGAGAAATCGATGACAGCGTGAATGATGCTCATGCTGGGACACCACTGAATGACGAGCAGGAGATAGCCTGGAAAGTTTTGATTCATGAGTTGGACCAGCGTCGAGAGACTCATGTCAGCAGCGCACTTTTGGAATTCCCTTCGGATCACCAGAAATCGATGATTCTTCGCCGACTAGTTGACATTCGTGTCAATCCACGGTATGTTTAGAATATAATCAAGACACGTCCATGAATAGCTGACATCCTGGGCTGGTGGTGGTCTCCTAGGAGTATCGGACTAGATCACAGTGAGGCTCGAGCGCGTGCGTTGCAAGTGATAGTCAAGCACATTTCAGCTGAAGAACCAATACTTTCACACCAAAGCATCGATGTTCGAATATTTGCTTTCATCTTGACAAACTCGGCGGAGGTTCCTGTGGATCTTAAGAAGGCTTTTGACATATTCTTCGACCTCTACTCACCTGAAGAGCCAGTTCAGTATACCTCGTTAAAGCTACCACGGCACGTTGGATACTACATCGAGTATCTTCGACATGTGCCTCGGGAACAAATACTTGTCGTCGCTGACTATCTCACAAGCGTGTTGTTGTCGTACTCTAACTCTGACACTCCTTCAGAATCGGAGGAAGTGCACCAAATGAGGCTTCCTCAAGTCCTGCAAATTCTGCACCTCGCCTCTTACCTCTCATTTCAAAGTGACGTCGCCTCAAGTACACTCTTGAAGTGCGGTGTTATGGATATCCTATCTGGCTTATGGACTCAGACTCCTTCCAGTATTCTGATTTATGGACATGGGGGAAATTTCTCAATGGCAAGAAATGTGTTGCGAATGCAATGTCTATTGCTGCTGGGAGCCTTGGCTCAACATTCCCATGATGATATTTTGGATATAATTAAGGCTGATCCTCGTAGGCATTGCTTAACCAAAACAAAACATCTGGATGTACTTTCGTCGCAGTTATGCATCCATGTTGACGATGTCGGTTGGTACGACGTGACCACCCCCCTTCGGTCACTTCTTTCGTCATTGGGATTCTCCCTCCCGTCATTGTTCCAATTAGCAAACGAACGGCCGTTCCTTGTGCATCCATGGGAACATATTCTGGATCCATTCATGTAAGATTGAGGTTTATTTTGCGGGTTCTGCTGATGCAATAATTCTACATGTTGAAGTGACCTCAAAGCCCTTGATCATCAGAAGGTCTGTGCCTCTGAGGAGATCCTTAAACTCTGCACTTTTGCGCCGCAGGAGAGCTGGTGGGCCGTAATACAAGCTGGCTTCAATATACAATACCGTACTCAGGCCGTCTTCAAGTATATGATACGAGAGTATCTTGGCTGCGAAGAGTTCGTAGTTTTTCACGTTACACTTTTCTAAGGTGATAAACTGACCCCGTCTGACCTTCAGTGATCATCCTTGGGCTATTCCTCCAGCTTCTCGCAGTGCGCTGCTTTCATTATCGAAGACTTCGGAGAAGTACGGCTTCACAACAGTTAACCCCGTTGACCGACTCATGCTCTTCATATCGGCCACCTGCATTGGTACCAATGCTTCTAGCTTCAGGGTGCTGGAGAATATAGGAGTAGAGAAACTCATGGATGAGTTGCTGGATGGATCCTTTGACTTCTGTGGGAACCCCAATGATGGGCAGCGGATGGCAAGAGCCAAGGAGTGCAAGTGGTTGAGAGGTTACATGTTGACACTTTCGGCTTATGAATTTGGAGATTGATCTTACACGTAGTTGTCGATAAAGTTTCGAAAGATGACTCAAGTGCTCTTCGACCCTCTTTTCTTACAGTTACTGGTACATAAATACCGCTTGCATACAATACACTACGAGGCAATCGAACAGTATATGTACAATGCAGGAAATCTTTGTCTACAATTCATATCTCCGATGAAATCAAGTCCTACGGAGGCTGGAAGAACGGAGGGTCAACAAACAAAGGTTCTCGAAAATTTGTCAAAAATGATGCACCTGAACGCATGGCTGGTAGTGTCATGCAGGCACTTGGTCAAGGAAAGTTGCAAGATCTCCAGCGATCATCAGAGACTTGGTGCGATCGAAAAACTTCTCCTCGTCGGGCACTATAACTTCTGAATACTCCTGGTTGATGAACACCTGGAAGATCTTCTCGTACGATTCTGCTTCGAAGATCGCCATGCCATAGTAAGGAACGGAGGGCAGTCCCATCTTCGCGATGGCTTCATTCTGGATGACATTGAAATGCATCTAATAAGGAGTCAGATGAGTGTACTGAATATCTTTAAAAAAAAGGCGAGAAAGGCCTACTTGTTCGTACTTGAGCAGGTTCTTCTTCGCAATCTCGATGGAACGGAAAAGAGGTCCGTGCGTCTCGATCCAATGTCTATCGAACTGCTCGAAAGGGACACCATCCTTGGGATGGAGTAGCACGACGAGGCGAACACGGTCCTTACGAGTGGTCGAGACGATCTCCGTCATAATAGCAATTGTCTGTGATCTACAGAGATATAGGTCCCTCACCTGGCCACCATATTTATACTCACCGAAAGTGCAAGCCGGCCTCAAATTACAATGCACGGCATCGTATGTTCTGGGTGCACATGGGCATAGGATGTGAATCCGAACCTGTCCTCAACCTTCCCGAGCCTAGATCAGAGGTACAATTGACAACAATCGTAGAAGGGCTGTTCAATTCTAAATGCCTCGTCGTGTCCCGTCTCGCCGTGTCTGGAGCAATATCCGCGCATAGCCCTCGTGTGCAATGAACATTTTTTTGCGACTAGTCTCCGGGCGCAGCTCTCCTGGAGGTGGAGAGGCACAAGAATAGTAGTGGGACGAGGCAGCACCGCGCTTACGGGCGCCAGTCCTGCTCGAGTTTTTATATAGAGTCGCCAAGGTCTAATGGTGTGGAGGATGAAAAGTTTGAGGACAATTGGTGCGATTAATGGCGAAATGAAAGCGAGAGCAAATGGGGATAGGTTAGGCAATGCGTGGACATGTAAGATGTCGATTGGCAAAAAGGAAAGCATTAAGGAGGAGAGGGTGCTTGCGGATGCGTGACGCTTGCCATGCTTCAGAGTTCCATCGGCCGGCGGCTTGGATAAGTGAGGATGGGGTACCTTCGGCAGAATTAGAGATATTTTTGGTACCTTTGGCAAGCGCATGAGAAAGTGCAATGAGCATTCATGCATCAAACTTGAACGTCCAGTGGTCCATGGCAATCACTTGGGTTGTCCGACATAACTAAAAATAACGCGGGCAGGATATAGACTATATGTCATAGTATCCCAGACGTAAGGCGTAAACCTCATTCTTCAGAATACTAAGTGTATCATACCGTGAGCCCGCTGAATGTTCATGAGTTGCCCCTTCCAAAGTTGCCCTATATCAGTGGAGAGGTTGGGAAGCGCCACAGTTACTATTTGATCTTGAAATTCAGATTGGCCAACGTTGGATGTACAGTACATATAACGTGTACGGGTCGATAGAAAAGGACATGGTCGACAGACGGGAAGGTAGAGCTGCCCAGGGGAGGATAACAATGCGAAGCTCAATCAGGATGGACTGAAGGTCATTCTGTTAGATCGATCTCGGAGTGTATGAACGCCTATAAGTAGGATCAATTTCGTGATCTTTGCAACGTTAACTTGTACCGTCACTTCAGTACTTGACACGAACATGTTGCGAATTCCTCTGGAGCTCATCTACCTGACTATTGACCATCTCCATCAGGATATCTCTACACTCAAGTCATTTGCATTAGCTTCCCGAAGTTGCCTGCATGGCTGTCGCCCTCATCTTTTCCGATCAGTCCAGATTGATCTAGGGAACCAGACACAACTGGGTTTTGCTGCTTTCCTCGCCATGATCCCTGTAGTCGCTAAATATGTACGATATTTGGCCATACTGCAGGGGTATCAGAAGGCGGGATGATGACCGTTCGATGAAGTGGACTCAGCTCGATGTAGGCACTCTCCGTCACCTAATGACTTCTCTCCCCCACCTTTCTTCGCTGCATCTATTTAAACTCAGCGTTGGTCTTACGGTTGATCCAAATTTTGGCACATTGCCCAGTGCGCCGCCTGCGGCCCTGATGACGCTTCCAAAGCATTTGGATTGCCTTGAGCTGGACACCATACTTTTCGACAGAATCGAGCAGCGTTTTCCGGAGATCTTGCAGTTACTTGATATCCGTGAGCTAAGACTCAAGTATATCAAGACATCGTTTAACTTGCAAACTCCTACGCCTCTATCCAATCTACAGAGTCCAGATACGCTCTCTCTGGACTTCACGATGATACATGTGTCATGTGTCCGCTTTCTATTGAGTTGTCTATCCTTCGATAAAGTCCTCACCTTTCGCCTCGAATGGTCCGCTACAGACGCTGATTGGACCCCAGATCTGGGTCCCATCGTACAAAAGATGTCGCGGTCATTGAAGCATTTCTCACTCTACGTGCCTTGCAACAAGACTGGAGGTACGTTCTACTATACCTTTTGAGCACACAAACACAAGCTAAATGTTGTCTTGCTAACCAAGTCTATGACATGAACTATGACTGGGAGACAATAAATGACCTTGCTTCATGCGTCCATCTAGAATCCGTCACCGTCACCATTCCAATCTCCACGCCGGCCGGGTTTGAAAGCGAGTGGACCTGGTCATCAGTTTCGGTTTTGTTCAATAATGTCCCGCCTACAGTTGCCCGAATCCAAATCATCGCGGAGACACGCGAGAGTGCAGGCATCTCAATGATTGAGCTTCGTGGAATAGGGCTTCCACGAAAGCCTGACGACTTCAGACATGATTCATTATATTTGCTGCCTATGGATTTGACTTTTCGCCGTTTTCTTCCATCCGTGTCAAAGGTTGTCATCGTTTGGATTGTTGCAGAACGCCTTTCAATGAGAGAGTGGCAGTTGGTGGTTAGGGATCTAGAATTCAACTTTAATTCATTGGTACGGGCCGGTGTTCTGAGAATCATATATCAGGAAACCTCTAATTGCAACTCTCGAGATTACCAGTACCCTCCTGTTAGCGCTATGTAGTATTAGTACCGTACAATGATTATGCATCGGTCTTGGATCGTCTGTCATCCAATCCCCATATAAGCAGCAACTGAGACTATACAACGCGAGGTGGAAAGGGATCTGCATGTATTAGTAACGCGACTGGATACACGAAAGGAAAAAAGCTAGAGCGAACGTTTTATCCTCCCCCTGCCTCCTCCTCCCGCCCAGTCACATATCCTTACGAGCTTGGAGGGGCAACCTCAGGTAGGTTGGCACCAAGGTTATCGGGGATAGCAAGTGTGGGATCAGTCTGACTCTTCAGCCTTCCACCAAACAACACAGGGCCATTCTCAGCTCTGAACTTCTCAATCCGCTGTTCGACTTCGGGACGGAAATGACGCATGAGACCCTGGATGGGCCAGGCAGCGGCGTCGCCGAGAGCGCAGATAGTTCGACCCTCGATTTGTTTGCTACAAAGAGACGAAGGGAGATATCAATATCGGCAATACAGAAGAAAAAAAATTCACAGGAAATGAGGAGGAAGGATGAGAGGGCGGGCGACGTACGTGAGCTCGAGAAGCATGTCAATTTCGCGTTGATGACCTCGGCCCTCAACGAACCGGTCCATCATGTTCATCATCCAAGTTGTACCCTCACGACAAGGTGTACATTGACCGCAGGACTCGTGTTTATAGAACTGTGAACCGGTGTAAGCGATCGGTCACAACCAGAGGTTCCGTGAAATAGTAAACGTACATGGGCGAAACGAGCGATAGCCGCAACGATATCCGTGCTCTTGTTCATGACGATGACAGCGCCCGTTCCAAGACCTGACTGCGCGTCCTTTAACGAGTCGTAGTCCATACTGTAACGATAACGATGAGATCGCGCATGAAAAAACAAAACAGGGCTAAACTCACAGAACCTCCTCACACTTCTTGATAGGCAAAACTGGGACGGAACTTCCGCCGGGAATGATACCCAGCAGGTTATCCCATCCGCCAACGACACCACCGCAATGCTTCTCAACGAGATCCTTCAACGGGATACTCATCTCCTCCTCGACGACACAAGGGTTGTTGACGTGTCCACTAATGCAGAACAGCTTCGTACCCTGATTCCTCTCTCTGCCGAACGATGCGAACCAACTTGAACCACGCCTGCAGATTGTGGGTGCGACAGCGACCGTCTCGACGTTCGCCACCGTCGTAGGGCAACCAAATAATCCAACGTCCGCAGGGAAGGGAGGCTTCAGTCGTGGTTTTCCCTGCTTACCCTCCAAACTCTCGATCAAAGCAGTTTCCTCACCACAAATGTAGGCGCCAGCACCACGATGGAGGTAAACATCGAAAGAGTACCCGGATCCACAAGCGTCCTTTCCGAGGAAACCGGACTTGTAGGCTTCGGTGATGGCTTGTTGGACGTGTGAAGCTTCTTGGTAGAACTCGCCACGGATATAAATGTAAGCCGCACTAGCATTCATTGCACGACCGGCGACGAGACAGCCTTCGATGAGCTTGTGAGGGTCACCACGCAGAATCTCTCGGTCCTTGCAGGTACCAGGTTCACCCTCGTCGGCGTTGACGACAAGGTATCGTGGACTAGGACGATAAGGTTGAATTTGCCGACATTCAAGGTGAAGCTCTCGAGACACTCACCGAGGGTCCCTTTCCCATCCGGGCTTATTCATAAAACTCCACTTCAAACCACTCGGAAAACCAGCGCCTCCACGCCCACGAAGACCAGAGTCTTTAATGGTTTGAATAATCCATGAATCTCCTTTTGCCAGAATGTCCTTGGTTCGGTGCCAGTCACCACGAGACTGCGCAGATACAGAATCAGCAGGTACACATTGCAGGTGTTCTCCAGCGACATACCAGAGCACCCTTGATTCCATGGTCGTGCCGACAGTATGCGTTAGTGAAGATACGATCCTGGTCCTTCAAGCCACCATATCTTCGAACCGGAGGGTCTGACACGGTTGCAAACCCTCGGCGCAACTTGGCCTTGAATGGCCGTGATATTTCTATCAGCCAAGTATGTTAGAGATGAGGTGCACAAAAAGCATGTTTGGCAACGTACGAGACGTTGACGACGATGCTCTGAACATCGTCGTAGTCGATGAGCAAAGAGGTTGGTTGGCGACAGCCAATCAGCGACCGTTCGTTGCGGCCGCTCGGATAAGACCGGCGTGCCAAATTAGGCCATGTCAGCGTCTCTTCTGAAGCTTCAGTTGTTGACTCAAACCTCCATCCACTTGGACCTGCGCAATCTTTCCGTTGCAAAAGAATGTTGCGATAATACAGGGTGAACTTTGTCGTGCTGGATTCTGTGCCCATGTTATGAAGTGTCGCGGTGAAGCTTCTTCTGTAATGCTTCCCGTGAATCGATTAGGTTCGTTCTCAGCCTCTAAATGCTATCCGAAGACAATCGTTCTTATAACTCAGGTGTAATGTTTTGCGAATGATGTGCATTTGATGTTACAGAACCCCCCTCGCCCACCTGCTTGGGTCCTCAAAGTCTGGAAGGATTCCAATTCAATTTTGGATTCAAGCTCTGTCCAGTCGTTGTTGCACGATCTGGGCCAATCCTCAATCACCAACGGCTTACTTGGTTCTTCTGGCCTAGGACTTTCTATCGCTAGGATCCTCCTTGCTAATCGTCTATTAGCTCTTGGCAGGCCGCACCGGCGCGTCTCTTATGCTTGCACCGATCTGTATCTTGTTGGTTTCTCTCGTTGTCTTCATGCAAACTACCTTTCCTGGGTCTCAATAGATGTTCGGACGGTCCCAACTTCTCTAGAGGACGATCGACATATCCAAGAACTAAATTCGCTCTACTCCAACACTATCTGTGCTTAATCAGTAACATGCGCCCTTGCAGACGTGGTTGCTTTTCTTGACTTCGACTTCTGCCCTTTCACTTCGCTGTATTGCCTGGCCATGCAGTGTGCGCTTCGTGTCTTCAGAAGATACTATCCCCGATCTACCGCAGCTCCGTCTTTATACAGGTTGGATCGCCGGTATTCTCAGCCTACTTTGGACTCGACGACCCGGGTGTCTGTCACATTCGAGCATCCAGTAGTGCCACTAGGTCTCGTGGATCATCAAAGGCCAGTTTTTGGTCAAGTGTCGAGTGCAAAACAGTACAGTACCAATTGCGAGATCTCGATCGTGTCCAACCGCTACTGAACTCTAATAGTATAATGAACCCCGGAATCTCATTAAGATATTGCGATCTTCTGATGCTTTACGTGTGAATGTCCGAAAACGGGTGCAGCAAGCAAGGTTGGGCAGGGTCGAGGATCATCTGCTCTTCTATCCAAGCGCATGTTGGTTGTTGCGATATACACGAGGCTGAGTACAAAAACTCGTCCCGAATACATACAGTCTAACAAAAGAATACCAAACACAGCTCGTCCAACGAGGCCAATGCGAAGCACACAGCGTGTCGAACCTTGATCAAACGGATCTAGAGATACGCCACATCTGGAGCAGACGAGACGCGTTCGCCGAAAGGATGTATGAGAACCGGAGCCAAGGGGACAGATACAGATAGGCGGAAGCTGACAAAAGACATGCTCACTCCTCGCCTTGACATCGCGTGAGACATGAATTTTAAAGGTAAGATAAGTATGCAGGCGTCTGAACGAACTTTGATTGGCTTGGATTTGGCTCTACTGCGCGATAGGAAGGAGAGTTCGGAGCAAGGAAGAAGAACGCGAGGCGTCGATATTCAATACGGGAACACGCGATTGGTGGAAGCTTGGTAACGTTTGCAAGGAAATTAAAACCGCGAAAGGTTGTTCCGTCCTTGCTTTGCGGATTTGAGCATAGAGGTCCCAGGACTGCGTTTCTGGAAACTCGGTACGGACCGCGTCTATAGAGCTTGATAAAGTTTATCATGTGTATGTCAGGAGAGCGCACGTTCGGTGACCACGATGTATGCCCAAATCCGGAGAGATACATAGCAGATCTAGAGGAAACGGGAAGACGTGGTAGTTGGTGCATCGATAGCGAACACTAAAGTACCACTGAGTCGGTAAGAAACGAGGTTGGATAAAATGAGGGGTCAAAATGGGACAGTCTGACAGAACGGAGATTACGGAGAGAGTTGGCAGCAGAAGCTGTCCTGGTGACTGGGCGTGTGCTTAGTGGGGGCATTGACCGGCAAAATACACGCTGGTGCATAAAGATAGACGAGCAGCCAACGGAAATGAGAATAGATTCTTTACCAGAGCTGGAAGTGAATACGATCGTCAGGAACGCCAGTGGAAGGTTCCCAATCGATAGGATGATATTAACGGTACCTTTGAACTAAAGGGCGCTGGAGAAACGCGTCGACTGATTGAATGGAAAGTCAATGTAAAAACCATGAACGTGAGGAGGCGGAGACGGAAGGCACGTTGGGAAGAGATTCAATTGGAGAGTATCACTGCCGAAGGAGTGCCAAGAAAGTGCCGTAAAAGGGACATGTAGTTGCAACGAGGAGATCTAGACTGGAGATGATTTGGAGCTGGAGATAGTCTCGTGGTAAGACATGAGTGCGACAATAGCAAAAGGGTTGACAAGATGGAAGACAGATGGAAGACGGGTCGATGAAATGAAGCGGCGTCAGTCCAGAAAAGGCAAGGGTGAAGCTATAAAAGGGAATGCTGACTAAAGGCTCTGGACTTTGGAGGACAAGGGCCGAAAAAGGTCGGAAGGTGCAAGGCTGGTGTAAGCTCCACCGCTTGGCCAGTGCAGTGCCAGTCTTGGTGCCAGTGCTTCAAAAGTCCGCATCCCGTTCCGTGCCCTTCAAACTGACTTCAATCCGAGTTCTATAAAGTCTCGTCCCCGCTTTCTTTTTTCTGCACCTACTCCGTTGTCCTCCGCCTGTATACTCTCGTCCACTTCTGCCTTTGCTTCCATATACCGCTTTGCTTATATACTTTACCCTCACCCAGCATCTCACTCACCTACTTCTCACCGACCACCTTCTCATTCTCCCATATGATTCGTTTCGACAATCTTCCCCCAGATGTCATGCAGGCAATGTGCACCCCCATGCACCAAATCATACCTCCCTCCGCGTCATCGCGCACAGGCGCACTCTACCTCGGCTCCTTCTCAGCCATCCTTGACCCCGACCTTCTCAACCAGAACCGCATCTCTGCTCTCGTTCAGGTGCTTGATGCGCCTTGGCTGCCATCGGTCGATGCACACGCCAAACAGGGCGTCAAATTGGACTGCTTCAGATTGGATATTATGGACAGCACCACTGCCGATCTCAAGCCTCATTTGGAAGCGACAGTCAGGTGGATCGATGAGAAGCTGCGAAAGGGTGCCAACGTTCTCGTACACTGTCAACAGGTATGCTTTCCTTTCTACCTGCTCATATGGTTAATTGACTTTTGTTTGAATTCTCTAGGGCGTATCACGATCTGCTGCAGTAGTGATCGCATACCTCATCTACACCCATAACATGTCCTATGATGCCGCTTTCGATCTCGTCAAGCGCAAGCGAGCATGCATCAAACCCAACTCTGGTTTCGTCCGAGCCTTGCAAGAGTGGGAGAAGCAATGGCGTCTTCCGCGCGGTCAGAGACCCGACATCCGACGTTCGGCTACCGCCCCCAATCCCATTGCGTACCGCTAGCCACCGTCTTTGACGGTGGGCTCGGCTTCGATATCACTGAACGGTAGCGGAAGTTGTACGAGGATCGGATGCGCTCGCGCTACCGAGGGCATTCCACAGAGACTACCTCTAATGTCGACTCGGTCAGGATCTTGGTATCGGAGTACAAGAGATAGAAGATAACTACCGTCACGTTTCCGGAGTGCAGGAGTTCTACGCGTGGAGTGCGGGTGAAGGACGGCTCGCGTCTGGTGCAATGAGCAATACACTCCGTGTTTCCAATGAAGGCGCCGTCGCTCCTCGCCCGACATCCTTCACCGGATCTGCGACTTTCGTCCACGCTGGCGCCGCTACTTTTTCATGACGTTCTTCAATTCAAGAGGACGATCGTGAGTTGACTTCCCCGGTTGTTTAACCCCATTCGACACCCCCCCCCCCCCCCCCCCCCGCGGAGGTCCACCACCGAATCCAGCCCTCCTTTACCCATCCGCTCCATGTCTACCCCCGCTCCACGTCCATTGCACTTCTCTCTCGTCGTCATCCTCCCATTGCTTTGATCGTGATCGAGTGTAGAGACGTACCCTCCCCATCTCCACCTCATCTGATTCGACATCCCTGCATCGTCTGTATATCATGCATCGCCGCTTTCTTTTTTCATCACCATATTATACCCCAGCATCTATATATTCCACGCTGCATATATATATATATATCGACGCAAGAAAAACATTCACGCATGCGTTGCAATCGATATCATCATATCACCCTCATACGCTATCGTATTTGTCATGCTCCAAGTAACAGACACGAAAAGAGAAGACTATGTATAATGTGTATAAGTATGTACGTATCTAATTCCAGCACAGATCTTTGTTTCTCAATTGGCTCCTTTTTTGTTGTTTTTGGGCAAGGGCTGACGTAGATTACAGTCTGTCTTGGTTAATAGATGTTGGCTATGGATCCAACTTTGAAATGCATACCTTCGCGATGAATTTCGACGAGTCGCACGTATGGACTCGATCAATTATCGCATTCGTTATGAAGCTCAACTGAAGCTTGAGCTTGAAGCTTTGGAGGTACGTCTCGAACACCATCCGCAGAACAATGTTGGCGGCTCCTGTTCCGCTACCACAGAAACGTTGTCCAATGCTTCCACCCGTACGAACTCCCGTCCTTTGTCCGAGATACTCCACACTGCCCACTTTGAGCTACTGACTTGCCCAATGCAACAGATAATGACGCACCTAGGCCCGATCCACGTCTTACCCGTTGCTCTATGTAAATAGCACGGTGGTGCCAAGTTCATTTCCGCTGTGGCAGCGGCCGACTCCTATTGTCTCTTTACGTCTCATCTGACGGCTGAACTCTCTCTTTTTTTTTTTTCAGGTTAGTCGATTTCCTGAATTGTCGTGACGTAACTCAGTAGGTACGTGAATAGTGCAGGTGCGTGCGTGTGTAATGTGTCACAGGTCGCAGAACGATACTGCTAAAGTCCAACGTTCTACTTCGGACATTGCAAAAAGACCACCGCTTCCAGAATCTCATTACTGGTGCCGATTCAAGACTCTTTCAATTCTATCGCCGCCGCTCAAATGGTATGTTCGACAAGACCTATGACGGCCTCTACTAAAGACTTTTAAGATTTGTAGGTATTGCGTTCGGCAACCCTCGTTACTTGTTAGCTTATGCTATTTACCCAGACATTCTAAAGCATGGAAGTCAGCGGCATGATACAGTTACAGCCACTTTGCCAAACCCTTCGGGAGACAATGCGGATGGTTGCAAACGGAGGTATCCCTCATTCCGCATACATACTCAGAGCTGTCATGATGAAACCCACATCACACCCTCCTGAACTTAAGCCCTACTTCTCTGCAGGAAATATGTGCTCCTCCAATGTTTGTGGTCTGGTTACGACGGCGTTATTGTGAATAATCAATCCCAGCTCCCGCTCTTCGTCAAGTCCCATTCAGACTTCACCAACTCTTGCTAGCAACCATCCGAGGCCGTCTTCGAAATCTTGGTAAAACTTCTTGCAGATGGAAGCATTTGGAAGCCCGTAATGAGCTGCGTGAGGCATACCGGGGTAACTACGGAAGAGTTCTCATTCACTGCAGATCGCACCTGAGGTGAGTTGGACTTACGTATTCAACCTGGTCTTCACCCCTGAATCTTTCAAAACCTTCTCGTACAGTAGTCCGTCGTCTCGAAGTGGATCCAGTTCGGCAACTTGTATAAAGGCTGCTGGCAATCCCGCGTGACTATTTGCTAAAAGGACGGAGAATTCGGGGTCGTATGGGTCGACGTTCAAGAACTCTATTATATTGTGAACATCTCAACAACACCAAAAACAACATTCAAATGGCTGAAATACGCACATGTAGCGGTCAATGTTATCCCGAGTCAGAAATGGGGCATCTTTATTAATTTCGAGTGATAAGAGCTGAGATTTGTACCTGCATATCGCCGAAAACAGGTAGCAGAACCGTGAACGAAGCACGCGACAACGTTACTCACTGTTCAGGCTTGGCGTCGGGATGTATCACCTGAGGGATTTGCAGAATTTGTCCAGAGAGCTTTCGACCAGTGAAGAATGGATCATCCCGTGCGCGTAGCGCGACAGCTGCGGCGAGATTCCCACCAGCAGATACTCCAGCAACAATGAAACCTCGTGATATGGATGCAGAAAGCAACGACGCATTTTCTGCAGTCTAGAATAGCATATTCAGTGCAGTAGTTGAGTAGAAACGAAAGTTCGGACCCATTTCAGCGCCGCATATGCATCGTTGACTGAGGTTGGGAATGGGAATTCCGGAGCTAATCTTGCAAACGCAAAAGTCCATCAACCCATGAATCGGTGCCGGAGCCTGAATGTCAAATCACTCACCTGTATTCGACGTTGACAACTGCAACATTATACTTCACGCAAATCTTCCTCAAATAGAAATCATCGATGTGGAGCGACCCGTCACAGAATCCTGTGGCCAGTATACCGGGAAGTTCAATCTAGAAACTGTGCAATAGACAGATACTTACCTCCACCATGGAACCAGACAAGAACACGGAACTGTCCATTGGGCGCATTTCTTTCTTCAGTGGGTACCAGACAACGAGCCACTATTTCACCTCCATCGACAGGCACGAAGTGATCTTCTACTCGATACGCCGATTCTATTATATCTTTAATTAAGCACGCAAGATGAATCTGTGAAGCTTCCGTATACGTACCGGCAGGAAGGGAGGGCCTAAGCTTTTCCTGAAGTTCTGAAATATAACCTTTTGTTACTTCGCGTTGCTCCAGGATGGACGTGGGAGTCGGGGGTGGGGATGCATGACTCAAAAGTACAGCGAGCTCGGGGTCTAAGGATGGCGTTTGTAGACTCGAGTCCATGACTATAGCGAAGTAAGGTCAAATGGGGGAATTGTGAAGCTTTTGGACGTTGTAAGGACCAGTTAGACGCGACTGCTATCCTCATCGACTGCGGTCTGATGGACAGACGTTGTAAGGTGTGTCAGTACTGTGGCCATTTATTCGGTTCTTAACTGCGAGAGATAAGGATCAGTGATGGTGGGCGTCGACAGTGCGCTGACAGGGAGGACTTACTTCCCTGTTCCGAGCAAGAAAAAACAATCACAAAATTCTCATCGGTAAAGATCGTGATATTCACGCTCACCGGGGGGACAATGAAAAAAATAGCGTCAACGAGACAATTGAGGAACCTGGTTGAAAGATGAAAGAAACATGAACACCATCTACCAACTACGTCCATAAGACAAATGAAGCCGTAGGAACAGAACGATTGTCATTTGTCTGATCAGCAATGATACATCCTGAAGTCATTGACAAGTATTCCAGCTACGAACCCGTGGTCAATAGCCACTGGAGGCCGTCTTCGAAATCCTTGATAGATTGCTTGGAGATAGAAGCAGTCGGAAGTAAGAAATGAGCTCCGTGAGGAAATCCTGGGTAACTGCAAACACTCAGCGTCAATAAATATCAAGTGCTCTGACTGTTTCAACTCACACATCGAGACGATGGATTACTGTATGCCAAGATATTGACAGAATCAGGTGTGAAGACACGTTTCAAAGAGGATCAAGGCCTGCGACCTGAACGTACGTAGGCGGTAGACCAGCATGAGAAGCTGCAAGGATAACAGAGAACTTAGGGTTGAATGCATCGGCCTTCACCAGCTCTGATTATCATTAGTTTACGATACCCATCACATTCCAAGGAGTCCCTACATACCACAGAAATACTCGACGTTGCTGCCGGAAAGTAAAGGAGCATCCATATTTTGCTCCAAGGAGACAAGGTCAGATTTATACCTGATAATTTCTTGTGAGGGGGATATCCGGAGTCATAATACCAATTATCTTACTGCTCAGGCGTAGCCGATGGATGAAGAAGAATTTGGCCAGTCGGCTGGCGTCCTGTAAAGAATGGATCGTCACGAGCTCAGGCTTGCAATACTACCCAAGCAGCAAAGTTTCCGCCTGCGGATATGCCAGCTACGATGAAGCCAAGGGACAGCGAAGCTGAGAGCAGTGCTGCATTCTCAGTGGCCTATACAATTCGAGTATTAATCAAAATTCAAGAACCTGTCCGATGTTGAAAAATCGAACCCATTTCGAAGTTGCGTAAGCGTCATTGATACCGGTCGGGAACAGATACTCTGGAGCTAACCTAGGAAATGACACGATGATCTCTTGCAGAATACAAGGACTGAAGCAAGCACACCTATAATCTGCACCAACGATGACCACTTGATGCTTTATGCAAACTTTCCGAAGGTGTGGTTCATCTACCTCAACACTGCCGAAGCAATAGCCTAGATGATTTAAAAAAAGTGAATCATTGCCCTCCACAGCGGAAAAACTTCCATACCGCCACCACGAAACCAGACAAGAAGGGGAAATTCTTTCCGACCTTCGCTAGATCGCGAAGGTATGAGACAACGTGCTTTGATTTCACCGTCGACCACGGGCACAAGATATTCTTGGGCGAAATACTGCGAGTCTGCGAAGGTGAAGTACGCAGAGAAGGTAGATTCCGTGGTTCACTCACCTAATGACGCGTCATACATCACTTGGCTTTGGCTCTGCAAAACGCTAGCATTGAACGTATTCCGTTGCTCTTGAACGGTACTCGTAGGAAAAAATCTCCGGGTTTATTGCGGAGACATTAGTTTTGAGCATCATCTTAGTTGCGGCGAGGGAGAAAAGTTGGCGTGTACCATGGCTGAAGAATTGTAAGTATATATCGGTGGCATTTGGGAATCTGGAGTCCGCATCGCATCTGAGAAGGGGTTACAATCAGTCATTGAGATCGCCGCCTGACTCAGGATATAATGTTACGAAATACACATGGTGTAAAATGCAAGGGCACCCGTGTCAGGTGGCTAACCGCATTGCTGCTGTCACACTGCGGTGGATGCGCAAGGTCAAATAAACGCTACATAATACCAGGAGGAAAAGCTGGTCATGTTATCCACCCTTGTGACAAATAGTGACCCGTAAGCGTAGCAATGTCTACATATCTACGGAGGAACTCGCCTGTAGCATTTGAGTGGACAACAATTACTGTTATGAGTCATAAACTACCTGTCTTCAACGTATCCGTGATTGACAATCGGCCTGTATTTACTATGATGTGATCAGTACTTGTGCTATTGTAGGACAAAACTGTCGAGTGATGTGAGAGACCGCACCAAATCGGTATGAGGGACGCACTCACCGTGAAATACGTCACGGATAGTCAGGACACAATAATGAGTCTATCCCCAAGCCACAATTCAGATGTCAAGATTGATATTGATCCTCTCAACGAGTCGGTCTCTATGAATATAAGGTTTGGTGTTGCGCAATTGTGATTGAATGGTAGTCAGTTGCGGGCGACTTCAACAACGTCAAAACACGGAGATCACTGTATATAGAGGCGCATAGCACTTAGTGTGATATCACAGCCTTGCCAAGTGCCAGACAATAGCTTACTGTACTTGAACGTTTAACGATGGTCACGAAGCAAAGCAGGAAATCATTAGCGCTGAAATATTGAACATCAGTTGATGGTATTCGGTTGCTCCTTATTCGGATCCACCTTACATTCTACCTAATGCTGTAGGCGGGCGCGAATATGTTGGAGTAGCTGGCAAACATAAATCCAATGTACCCTCCGAACTTGCTTTGAGTCTCTGGACGTAGTAAGTAGTGGATTTCAGTGGGCATCCTTTAATCAGAAATATTTACTACGCGTTTCCATGCAGGAGCCATTTGAGACCTGTGTCAAAGTCCTGGTACACCTTAGCAGAGAGGGAGGCTCCAGGAAAAAGGATGTGTCCTCCGTGCGGCAATCCGGGATATCTATAGGAGGTAAGTATCGGTATGGACTGTGCAGACCTACTCTCAGCAGTCTTTGGACTCACATGTCAAGTTTTGTTTTGACATCTGATTCCCTCAGGACCTTTGCATAAAGTATTCCCTCATCACGTAGCGGATCCAATCCTGCAACTTGAATATATGCTGGCGGAAGGCCAGAATGATTAGCTGCTAGCAGAACGGAGTAGCGAGGGTCTGAAGGATCTGCTTGATAGAGTTCTGGTGTTTGCGTTAAGAACTAAGTAGTGCTTCTGCTTCTTCGAACCGATGGCACGTACCACAAACTCGCTCCATGGCTTTTCTTGTAAGATATGGGCCGTCCTTCACTTCCTCCATGGATAAAAGCACGGCTTTGTACCTGTCCATCAACGCATGATACCAGGAGCAGTCTCGACAGAGTAAAGAGCATACTGTTCAGGCACGGCTTTTGTATCGAGCACGTGGGGATTTTGTAGAAGCTGTCCTGTCAACTGTCGCCCAGTGAAGAACGGATCATCACGAGCTCGGATTGCAACCGAAGCGGAGAAATTCCCTCCTGCGGATAGGCCCGCCACAATAAACCCTCGCGAAGGCGATGCTGAAAGCCGAGTCGCATTTTCTGCAGCCTAAAGTTGGGTCAGCTCTGACAGTGACAAGACACGCACATGGGGACAAACCCATTTCAAAGCAGCATATGCATCATTCACTCCGGTCGGAAATGGGAAGACTGGAGCCAACCTGGTTAGTTGCCATCAGATTTGAATGGTCTATCATTCACCACTTCATACCTGTATTCGACATTTATCACCACCACCCCGGTTTTCACCGCGACCACTCTCAAGAAGCCATCATCCAGATCGGAAGACCCAACACAATACCCTAAGTGGACATGGAATTAAAGATCTCGTTATCACGGAAGATGTTCGCGTACCTCCGCCATGGTACCAAACGAGAAGTGGAAGTGGCCCTTTGTCGTGGTGCTCGGACGAGGTCGGTATGACACAGCGTACTTTTATTTCGCCGCCATCCACAGGCACAAGGTGATCTTCAATTCGATATTCGGACTCTGCCAGAAACGGTCAGTGTGAACCCGAGCGTAGATTGCAGACAGTACCAGAAGGCAATCGCTCTTGCCAATGCAGAAGTGAGTCATGAAGGTAGGCCCTCTGCTCTTCAATAGTTGGGTTCTCGACCGCTGGCATGCTTGGCATCTTAGCAAGAAGAGCAGCAATTTCGGGATCCGGTGTCAAGAGATGAGCGTTGGACGCCATTGCCAGAGTCTGGTCGGATGTAACTGGGAATAGGAAACTATTGTGTTTAGGATAGAGGGTCTGTGTATGAACGACGAAATCGACCTCTGGAAACTTGATGCATATATATATATATATATATAGCCGTTTCTTACAGTCAGGACTTCGCGGCACCGAGAATTCTTGAAATTGCTTAGAAAGCTCAATTCCCCATGGAGATATCTGCATTCCCTATGAGAGAAAGAAGTCAATATTACCAACCAGAAGGATTGAAGTGACTCGGAGGCATGTTTGAAGATCGAAGCGCCAGTCAATGGGTGCGGAACCGAGAAAGATGGTATGCTGAAAATACAATATGTATCCGGAATAAGTCGCGCGGTCAAGTCCAAAAGAACAGAAACAACTTATTCAAAGTGGCGTTCGAGCTTACAAAGTGTGCTACTGTTATCGATACCTACAAATTTATGCAGATGACTCTTGTCGATGCAACAACCATCTCAAGCCTTTCTCGAAGTCCTTGTTCACCTTGACAGAAATCGAGGCGGAGGGCAGCAAAATGTGACCGCCATGAGGCAACCCGGGGTAGCTAGTACGAAAACGAACGCCATCAGAGCATATCAAGCAGGAACTGAAACCAGCTCTTACACGTCAAGTTTGGTTTGCACGCCAGCATCACGAAGAATCTTTTCGTAGAGTAATCCTTCGTCACGAAGGGTATCAAGACCACAGACTTGAATATAAGCGGGGGGTAAATCCCTATGATCGGAGGCAAGCAGAACTGAGTATTGAGGATCGTCCAGCGGCGCCTTGTAAATTTCTATGTCACGATAGCATCAGTAGCAGCTTCTGCGACATCAAAGTTACGCACTGGTAAATTCCACCACCTCCGCCCAGGTCAACAACGGAGCATCCTTATTCTGTTCCCTAGAGTATAACTCATCCTTGAATCTTGGGCAATATTGTAAGCTACAGATAACAAATCCTGGCTACCGCATACAAGACATACCGTTCTGGTGCCGCCTCAGGATGCAGCACTTGAGGAAGCTGAAGCAATTGTCCGGTCAAGGGTCGATTGACGAAGAATGGATCATCCCGAGCCCGAATCGAAAGAGAAGCAGCGAAATTCCCTCCAGCGGAGCAGCCCGAAATGATGAAGCCTTTGTCTAAAGACGCAGAGAGTAAAGCTGTATGGCTGGCTGCCTGAAGGGATGATGAAGTATGTTGGTGTGCTCAATTACAAATGCAAGTAGGTTCATACCCATTTCAACGCAGCATAACTATCATTCATACCAGTAGGGTATGGGAATTCTGGAGCCAACCTTTGAAAATTCAGAACATGTCAGAATTCGCCTAAACTCAGTCAAAGAATGCAATTACCTGTACTCGACGTTCACGATGGTCAACTGAAATTCGACGCTGATCCGACGCAAGAGATAGTCTTCCATCTCAATTGATCCAAGAACATAACCTCGAGAATGAAGTTAGCTTCAAACAATATATCGTGCTCGCAAGGTGTGTACCTCCAGGGTGCATCCACACCATTAAAGGATAGGTTTGAGATTCGTTAGCATCGCTCGGATTCGGGGTGGGTATGATGGCCCGAACAAGTATCTCGGCGCCTTCAACAGGGACCTTGTGATCCTCTACTCGGTACTTCGACGCTGCAAAAAGAACGATTAGCTCGCAATGTCGAGATGTCGATACGTTTAAACCAACCATCTGGCGCGTTCGTTTTGAAAACCGCTTGTATCTTCGGCAAAGCGAAGGTGTTGAATGCGTTACGACGAACAGTGATGTCGCTCGGGGGTGGTGCATGAGGAATATGGGCCAGGAGTGCAGCAAGCTCAGGATCTGGCTGAGATAAGTGAGCGTTGTGAGCCATGGTAGATAACAAGTGTGATCGAGGGCTTGATGAAACGGTGGGTTGTAGATTGACAGCTGTCCACTTGGACGCCACCGAACCCAATTGTCCACTATTTATCTAGTTGTGAGAAACACCGCAATAGAAGTCTAGAACCTCATTGTCGGCTTGACACAATCAACGCGCGGAATTCTCGTGGAATCACCTACCCCATTTTTATTGGCGATGGACAGATGACAATTTAGTGGCATCGACAATATTGTTGAGTTACCTTCGACCATCTGGAGGTCGTGATGGACCATCACCCATGTACAAAAGCCGGGCAACTTCACGCTTCATGCACGAGGTAATCGTATCGGAATAGATGACCAATACAGTTAAACAACTCTTTAGTTTAGACACCGTAGCAAGAGTTCCAATGATACTGAATACTGCAAATGAAGACAAGCTACGGCGTCGTCAGGCCTTCGCATGGCTTAAGTTCAGAATGAAGAACTCACACTTGGGTCATCAACGCTGTGTTGGGTAAACTGAGTGACGCTAGTAGGCGTCGAGAGTTGCACCTGAAAGCAACCATCCCAATCCTCCTGTATAATCAGATTCCCACTTCTGATATACCCCGGCGCCGGGGAACATGTTGAAGCCTCCGTGAGGCATGCCAGGATACCTGCAGGTATCAGTGGAGTCAGCCAACAACTATGCGAAGACATACGACAAATAGCAACGTACACATGTAGCTTCGTTTTCACACCGGATTCCCTAAGAAGTTGGTCATATAGAAGACCGCCATCACGAAGTGGATCTCCACCGGCCACTTGTAAAATCGCGGGTGGTAAGTCACGATGATTGGGCGCGAGTAGAATTGAAAAGTTCGGGTCATTCGGTTCAGCGCCCACTATGTCTACAGAGATATCGAAGGCATCCGGTTACCAAATTGTGACGATGAGCATCAGACGAGGAAGAATAGCTTACCTCCAATCCCTAAGACCGCAGCCTTGTTGAGGATAGGAGCATCTTTGTTTTGTTCCACTGAGGATAATGTCGGCTTGTACCTGGAAAAACAGGATTACATTGGTACCGCGAACATGTCTCGATGATTCTCACTGACTTCTCTGGGAATGCATCCGGATGAACCACGCCAGGAAGTTGTAAAACTTGACCAGTTAGCTTTCGGCCTTCAAAAAATGCATCGTCCCTCGCCCAATGGGCGACAAGCGTAGCAAGATGAGCACCAGCGGATATGCCACCAACTATGAACCCCTTCTCCAGTGACGCGGAGAACAGGGAAGCGTTCTCGACAGCCTGTTTGAGTTTCAACGAATAGGATAGCACACACGTGCATCCGTGCTCACCCATTTCAGTGCTGCATAGGAGTCGTTCAGTATTGTTGCAAGGGGATACTCTGGAGCCAATCTGTACAAAACTATCAGACCGTCGCAAGAGGTGTCTGATACAGCATACCTGTACTCCACGTTCAGTACGGCAATCTGCAGATCAACGCAAATACTTCGAAGCCTATAATCGTCCATATTGACATCGCCAATACACCAGCCTACGGTATAGTGCGTTCGACGTATGTGGTCCAGGGATAGCTAGATTTGATACATACCTCCACCATGATACCAAACATAGAGCGGGAAAGTCTTTCCCTCTGCATCCTGCGGGATAGGCACCAAGCTGCGAACAAGAATCTCCCCTCCATCAACGGGTACGTTGTAGTCTTTGACGCGATACGTATTGTCTACTGATGGATTAAGATACGGAGTACAATCCAAATATTCATTCATTAGAACGTACCTGGAGGAAGTTGCGACTTCAAAGCATCCTGAAGATGCGGTGTTGCTTCTACCAAGGCCTTCCTGATCTCTGGAAGGGTCTCCTTTGAGAAGGTTAAGGTGGGAAGTTTGCTTAGGTGGGGAACAAGATCGGGGTCAGGCTTCGAGTATTCAGTCCAGTCTGCCATATTGAACGACGCTGTACGAGTTTGAAGGAGAGATAATGGGCCGTGGTTGACAATCTTGAGAGCTGCCCTATATAACGACGGGCCTGAGAAGAATAAGTCTTGATTGAGTCAAACCTTCGCTCTATCATTGACCGAGCGTTCGTGGTACCACGGCGCCATACTGCATATCTTTGGCCGGACGCCTCAGCACAAACTCTCCCGAGGTCATTTACGAAGGTGGGACCAAGGTGTAAACTCATCCCGGGCGCGCAAAAGCAGCAGAGTATCTCTACCAACAGGCTATGGACGGCAATGAATGATATTAGTCTCAACCGAGTGGATGCGTAGACTGAACGAGTTGCAGCTTTCACATCAGCCCAGACAGCGCGGAGTCTGGAGACTCTTCCATCTCTCAGGAAAAGACGATCTGCGAAAAATCTAACCTTCCTATTCCACTCAGCAGCGACACTTCAAAGAGGTAAATAATCGTGAACTCTCACCGATTGCACTTATACCCATGGGAGCTCTCCAGCAGATCATTCAAGCATTGATATTCCATGTGACAAGGTCATCTGATGTCGAGGTACACGTTCAGAGAAGACTTTCGCGATGTTATAACATTATGCATGCTTGACCAACGTTTGTGACCAACTGCTTGAAGAGCCTCGAAGAGGACGAGAGCTACGGACGGCATAGGGTTAGGGTCGATCGGCTTGCGCTCAGCCATGTCGTACTCCGTGCGTTTCTTGTCTTTCGTTCTGCATACTTAAAATGATTAACTACGATTCACTAGACGGTTCCTATTTTCTTTGCTCAGGATGATCCGAACGCCGACCCATCAACTATCGGAGCAGTCAGTATCAAGTAACGATTCATTCCGGTTGAGTGTGTCATGGACCCTCTTTTTCTAGCTTCCACCACGGTTTGGACTCTTAGATGACTCAGAAGACCGATGGAAGACATTTCAGTCTGCTATTGGTTGCTTGAATGCGGAGGCCCCAGGAGGAGTGTCCTACAAGGTATGTTTCCTGGGTAGACACGGAGAAGGATGGCGTACGTTTCATCAATCAAGACAGCATTACATGCAGGCTAACTCATTATGACATATTCTGTTGAGCAGATAATGTTGCTGAAGCCAAGTACGGCACCGAAGTAAGCATGCTATATTTTTTGTGTCGTTCCCAAATGACGAGCTTCGTAGGCATGGGATGCGTATGTACCCTTCATATTTCGTAGCATCAATTGCCATCCAATATCCTCCATATTCATAGATATTGGTCGAAATTAGACGGGGACTCTGAAATAACATGGGGTCCAGATGCGCTCCTCACCCCGCTTGGAGAAACCCAAGCCCTGCAAGCTCGTGAAGCTTGGAAATCCGAGATCCCTAAAGGTATACCCGTACCAGCCAAATTCTACTCGAGCCCTCTTAGAAGGGCGCTGGATACATGGAAAGAGACCTTTGGCTTGCGTAGCAACGATGCTGTACTCGATAAGTCCAAAAGGACGGTGTTGATCCTCGAGGTGCGTTACCGACGATGAATTTTGTATCGGATACGATTTACTGGAATCTGTAGAACTGCCGTGAGCAGTACGGCGTCCACACCTGCGATCGTCGATCAACTCTTTCATCTCTGGTTACTATTTATCCTCCACCCACGTATGTGTTCGAAGAAGGCTTCGCAGAAGAAGACCCTTTGTGGCAGAAAGACGAACGAGAACCCAAACCTCATATCGCTGAGCGAGCTCGCGCTGTACTCGAGGTTATATTCAGGGAACCTGACATTTGTGAGTCCCTTTCTGTGCTGAACTTGAATATTTTAATAGCGCGAGGTTGACCGTGTCTCTAGACATCTCCATAACGGCTCATAGCGGATTCTTCAACGGTGTTTTGGCTGTTATCGGAAGATCTGATTACGCACTACCGACTGGGGGTTAGTATCGTCTAACTCTGCCACTTAGTCCTTGTCATCTCACATTTTTGTAGGGGTCTTGCCAGTCGTCGTAAAACGTACTGCGATACCAAACTAGTGTCTTGTTTGCCCGCGGTTCTCGTTGAATTACGACTGATAATCATCCTGTGGAATGGCACACTGTATTACGAATACCCTGATACCTCTCGCAGTTCTTGGAAATGCACTAGAAGCGCATGTCTATTTCGAATAGACTTATCACTATACCCAGGATCCGTTTTGGCGCGAAATGCGAGCTTCTCACCGAGGACACCATGCGCTGTGATACAATCGTACATATCGATATCACAGAAAGTGTGAAAGTCGACAGATGGCCGCCCTCAGCTTTAAGTTATGACGGCACCAAGCCGTTCGAATCTATTTCAGGCGAACGTTGCTTGCAACGAGGCTGGTCACGATAGGTGTGTTGGACTGCTTTTCGTGATCATCATCACTGTTATGGTTCAATGGCGAGCTTGGATTTGCATACTTACCACTCATGACTCATTTCCTATGCGTTGCATTCCGATGCATGCGGGGAAGTCTTAATAAACTTTGGAACACATGCGAATCTTGTTCAGTGGTCCATCATCGCTCGATGGGCAGAACCATTCTACCTGACAATAACTTCAATGATAATATGTCCCTACATATCTTCAGGTTCGGGAAACTCAGCTGGAGGACGAGGAGTGACCCTCATCCTGATGGATCGAGTAATCTAGTATTCGAGTCAAGACTGACTTACCTTGGTGTTCCTTCAGACAAGTGCTCTGATGCTTATTGAAACGAGAAGGGGATTGGTATAGATACGAAAATTTCCGAATTCGACCTATCATATATCAAGAGAAAGACTACGTTGTGTTTGAAAGAAATGACGGCGACGACAACCCTTAGGCAGGACTTGACATTCGACGCGATTGAGAGACAAGAGCTTAGACCTAGTCGCGATGAAGAAACGACTTTGTATATCAGTGGACCAACGTAACTTCGCGTTGCAGAAAATGAGAATGAACTCGCCGCAGCATTCTGTACTCGTAGACAAGTGATGAACGCATCTGGATCAGCGAAGCGCCTGAAACGACACGAATACAGTCGAGCTTCTTCATTAGCCATATATATCGCTGACCTTGTGTCGTCTGAGTGATTCGAATGGCTCTCTAATAGGGGATCTACTAAACGAATAGACATACCTCGATTACTAGAGTGTTGAACGGTGCATTTGACAAAATACACCTTCCGATAGCCTACATTGTCGCGTCCGTATATACTTCACATTTGAAGAAGGCCTGATACACACGCCTCTGGAAAATCTAGCAGATTGCGTCACACATCATTGGGGAGAGAGGAAGCCGAGAGGTGAGATCATTCCGAAGTTGTCATTCAACTTCATCCAATTTTAGTTCTGGCGCGACTCGCACTTACCGTGCAAGCTGGTCAAGAAAAAACGGGCAAATATTGCGTCCGATCGTGCACGTTCTGTTTGCCGACTGTAGCGAATACGGCCCCTTATGTGGAACGAGATGTGTGAATAGTCTGAAACGATAGAAAACGCAAGTAAGGTTGGATGTAAGCAGGATGCATGGAAGTGAAGCCGCCTTGAACAGAATCACGGATAGTAATCAAGGTAACCACACACAGCAGGGCTACTGTGCAACCTGTCCGTATTCCTTGGATGTTTTGAATGGCATCTTGTGTGAAGAACTCCAGGACGACCTTGATGATGAACCCAAATGAATGATGGCCATTCATAAGGATCATGTTGAATGTTATGACGGGGATCATATACCGTCTATGGTGCGCTAAACAGGCGCGAAGGGCGTGAATAAAATGAATGCAGCATTGGAGAACCTTTTCGTCGAGGATCACAAGAGAAGACTTCCGAACTGACATCATGCGACGATGTCAACGCAGAGAACGACGGAGGGGGGAGGATCATATAGGACGACAATTGAGTTTGTGTTGCGAGGAAGGAACAAGACACGCCGGAGAGGATACTTATCGCGGAGATCAAACTCCGCCCATTGCACGGTGAAAGGTGGCCGACGAGTATGGAGGGTTCAGAGCTCGAAAACTAGGAAAGCACTGGCAGAGACGACGTCGAAAGCGACAAGCAATAAGCATATTGAATAGTCTACATATCCTGTCAAGAGAGCCGAATAGGAATAGTGAAGCTAGAGAGTATAAAGCTGGATTCTCAGGCACAGCACATTGGACAATGCGGGGTAGCGCCGAGAATGATCGAGGTCCGTTTGAGTTGGCCCGTCAGCCCACGGTGTATTTCGGTTTTCTTTCTCCTAGACCCTGCATGTTCTCCTCCTTCTAACCCCATTCAACTTTCTTCGCTCGTTGTCCGTCCATTTCACGGTCTTTCATTGTCTCTTGCCCACCTCCCAAGCTTTTCCTGCGCCTACCCTCCTTCTCCCAGTATACCTGCGAGACATATCCTACTCTAACCACTCGGCATGAGCCCGTGTGGTGCTGACTGCTATCTTCGATCGCGGAAGGGCAAGGAGAGAGCGGTCGAACCGCGCCAGGATTTCTCTGCTCCCGGAGATGGGCCAGGTGCTGACGATGGCATCGTTTTGCCCTTGACCTTGGTTGGAACCTCCGCCTACAGCGCGTAAGTACTTGCTCACCACCGTGCTTTAAATCTATTTCTGCTTTTCCAAACACACCTCTTTCGGTGTACGCTTCCAGCAGCTGTCGCCGATTTTTTCTACACCGACTGACGGCCTTGCCACAGAATCTATACCATACCCGTCCTGGTCGGAACTAACAAGCAAAATCTTTCATTGCAAGTAGACACGGGCTCTTCTGATCTCGTCAGTTCCTCTCCTTCTCCCACATATCCATCTAACCTTGTTCATTCATAGTGGATAGCTTCCACCTCGTGTTCATCTTCCTCATGTGGGCAGGCCCATGGCAGTCTATACGATTCTTCACACGCTAAACCAACCGGACGCAACTTCCAAATCACCTATGTCGAAGGCGAAGTGGACGGCCCTATTGTCTGGGACACAGTCCAACTAGGGAACTATGTGATTGACAATCAAGCGATGGGTACGTCGACGCCCGTTCGTCGTCTGTCTTGCTAATATTTTGCTCTAGCCGCCGCCTCCACAGTCAACGATGAACCTCTGTCCTCTGACTTTAGCGGTATCCTCGGTCTCGCCCTCCCACTCAACTCGTACATTTCCCAACAGCTTCCCGCTGGAAACTCCGACGCTCCAGATGGCGCCATCTTCTCTTCCAATCTCTTCAGCATGACCCCCTCTTCCACCGCCCCCTCTGCACGTTTCATCTCCATATCTCTTGAACGCCCTGGTTCTGAGCGCATCCCTTCCTTGCTTGGTATTGGACGACACCCACCATCCATTGTCAATGACCCAAGTAAAATCGACTATGCCCCTCTCGTGAGCGAATATAGCGGGGATTACTTTTGGAAGGCCAATGTGAATGCGATAACCGTCTACGTGGATGGCGTGCCCAAACCTATCTCTTTGAAGAGTGCGAGTAGGGTCCAGGGGAGCATGACCACTGCTGTCGTGGATTCAGGCATGCCCATCATTTTGGCGAGTCCCGATATTGCCAATGGGATTTATGGCGCGCTGGGGATCGGACCTGGCAGTGACGGCCAGTGTACGTCCTTCACGTTTTGCTTGAACATACACGTTACTTACCGAGGAATCTCAGACTACGTAGATTGCACAACGCCAATCAACATGACAGTCACCCTCGATGACCGACCCGAAATTCCTCTACACCCATTAGATCTAACGACCTCTCCTTCCTCCGGCGCTACTTCGTCTTCCTGTGTCGGCATCATTCAAGCTTACCCTGCTGGGTCTTCCATCAGCGACATAGCGGATATCGTCCTAGGCGTCCCGTTCATGCGAAGTACTTACACCGTCATGGCTTACGACCAACCCGACTCCGAAGGAAACTTTCCCAACATGTCTGCGCCTAGCTCGGCCTCGGGCGGAAGCATGAATTCGGCTCTTCTACGTCCAAGGTTGGGTCTTTTGAGTTTGACGGACCCGACCGTGGCGTTGGACGAGTTCAATACGGTGAGAGTGTTGAAACAGCCTTTGGGGAGCGCTGGTGGTGCCAATGGAGGTGCTCAGGGACAGAGCGTTTCGGGTGACGACGGAGGAGGGAAGAGACTCAGCGTAGGCGTCGAAGTTCTCATCGGCCTCCTTGGCTTCTTCGCACTCTGTTTCGTCCTCTTTGCTGCTCGATGGGCTTACGCTCGTAGAAAGTTCAAACACGAACGCGCTGCTGCTGGCGTGGCGGGAAAGTCCAATGGGAGTGGCGAGTTCAAGGACAGAGATGATTATCTCATGGATGAGGTTGCTTTCAGACTTTCAAGGAGGACTTCGAGGAATGATCCCTATGGTCCTTCCGAGGAAGCTTTGAGAGCCATGCGATACTCGGAGTATAAACGGAGGTTGGACAGCGAGTATACAGATGACAGCGGACGGACTCGTGTTGCTTCACCTGGTGACAAAGATGGTGTTAACGACTTCGGGTACGACGTCGTTGGTGGCAGGTCGGGCTCAGTGGATGCAGATGCCGACTCCTTGCATCAACACCATGATACGGATAGCGGTGAAGAAGAGGACGTCGGCGATCCTCAAACGGGTTATCAAGCTGTCAAGACACATGTGCGGTCGGATTCAGAAAGCTCGACAGTCCCTTCACTAAGCCTACGACGAGACTCTGTCCCTCCAAGGTCCCATACCACCAATAGCATACCCGACGAGTATTTGCAACAGCAAGCGTCTAATTTACACCAGAGGACGGCTAGCGGGGAACCAGGAATCGCCGCTCCTCTTCTGGCGCATACGAGGAGTGATTCGTATATATCTACGATTCAATCGCCTGATCAGCCTGCTTTTGGGTTCGCTGATCCTCGTGCGTCGAGTAGGGCTAGTCGCCTGAGTCGAATGCCACCTCCCTTACCACTGGACTTGCCTACATCGTTGGACGATCCTCCATTGACAGACGTTCGGGCGTCACCGCCACTGCCAGCTCGAGAGGTCAACCTGCTCGGATCTCCACTACCCACTTCAATGTTTGACCTTTCATCTCGAGAGAACGTGATCCATTCATCAAGAGCTACGAACGGACATGGTCAAGTATCATAGCATATGTTTCTTGGTTATTCTTATGTCCCTCTTTACGTTTTTGGTTTATTTTGATCTCTGCGACGGAAAAACGGAATGTGTACCATCATCGTTATTACTTTCAACCCAGCCCCACTTTTCATCGTCCCCTGTGTTCTATAACTTTAACCCTCCGTTTCCCTTCCTTTTTTTCCCATCGGCTTTGTCGTCTCATCTAACCCCTGCGTATATTCTCTCTCTTCTATCATCTCGCTGCCCAAAGGACTCGGACTCTGATCTCATTCTCTACCCATTGATTTAGTAGTACTCTCACTCCCCCTTATTCTCATCTCTATTCCTTTACTGCACGATCCTTCCTCAGCTCCCATCATGTTGCATCATCCTAGGCATCGCGCTCATTCATTGGATATCTTCCGTCAACATCCCATTGTGCTCTTCCGCGTGCATCAATTTGAAAGCATACAAATTGTTTAAGTCGTGAGGTATGGCTTACACTAGGGAGAGGTGTGACCTATTGGAATGCACAAACACAAGACAAAACATGTAGGTTGTGGTAAGAAAATATGAGGTATCTACCCATGTTGTGAATCCGCATCTATGTTATGAATTGAGCCCAATCCTATGCCGTGAAGCTTCACACGGGACAATTCAAGGACCGAAAGAGAGCGGACAAGTTCAAGGAGGGTGATATCCTGGTCACCATTCCTTCGGCCTCTAAAAAAATCAAAGTGAAGTTCAATCCCAAAAAAGACTCGCAATACGGACGTCTGTCGCTTTTGGGTCGTGGTACTCGTGTCTTTAACGTGAAGAGTAAGTCTACATGCCCCGATCCTGACCACAAGGAAAAGACTGTCAAGCTCAAGGAGGTGAATCTGGTTATGAAGCTGTACTGGCCGGACAAATTGAGGACCAGCGAGTCCGATATCGTTTCCACCGCGCGTTCAATAGTCAGCGAACATCAGCCAGATCTACTTGATAATCTCCCCATTGTCTATCACTCGTATGACTACGAAGGCACCGACACCTCAGAGATACGAGTGTCCCTAGGTTTGCCCATAAAAACAGTGAATAAGATAGTCACTGGACGGATCCTCCGGCTTCTTCTTATGGAACGACTAGAAAGTATGATGACGCTTCAGCCTCAGTTGTTTATGTCGACGTGGCTGCAGGTCGTTAAATGTACGCTTTTCTTTTCTTTTTCGTATCCTGCAGACTGACATTCAGCAATTCAGGTCATTACTTTGTCTGGGAATGTGGCGTGGAACATTCTGATATCAGCGAAGGAAATGTCATGTATCGCACCAAGAAGAAGGGCAACATCATATGCGGCATTCTGAATGACTGGGATCTCGCTACGCTTCGGAACAAAACAGATCATGGTGGTCTCGAACGGACGGGAACCATCTCATTCATGTCTTTGGATCTGCTCGATGAGAAGTACTGGAAGGGAAATATCAAACGACTCTACCGACATGACTTGGAGTCCCTTATCTGGCTTCTCCCTTGGGTCGCCCTCAATTACCCCTCGGGCGATTATAGACTTAATGACGGCGTCAAGCTGTGGATCACAGGAAATTATGTTGCTTGTCGCAAAGAGAAGAATGATTTCCTTAATGCTTAGGGTTATGGGGACTCTCGTCCGACCCTAGGGCTGGCGTAGGGTCGGGCGCCTAGGGCCCAGGGTTGGGCGTCTGTGGGCCAGGGTTGGGCGGCTAGAGGGCAGGGTTGGGCGGCTAGGGGGCAGGGTTGGGCGTCTGTGGGGCAGGGTCGGTGGTTGTGGGCAGGGGCATATGGACGTCGGTGGTGTGAGGCGAGCGTTCCGTCCAGGACGGAAAGAGAGAGCGGCAGACATGGGTGGGAGAAGCGCCGAAGAGATGGGTGCAGAGATTCCCTCCTGGACGGAATTCTGTGGAGATGGATGTAAATGCAGTGAGAACGGGATTCCGGTGGGGCTGGGTGCATACATTCCGTCTTGGAGGGAATTCTGTGTGCATGAGATTACTGTTTATTGGATGATGAGAATGCCGTTGATCTAAATTGACATGCGGCAGTTGCGAGTGAGAAAAAATGTGACGAAGATGGAATAGACCGAATGAAGGAAGGATGTGATGATGGGCGAGGAGATTAGCAGTGGAGTGTAAATGAGGTGAAGAGGATCTAGGCTAAACGTGAATGATTTATACAGAAAAATGTATTAGAATCAGGGTTAGGAAGCCGTCAGGGATTAGGGCGAAGTGGACAAGCGTCTGTGGAGGGAAAGCCTAACCTGGTTGATATAGAGGATAAAGGAGTTGAGTAGTTACAAAGTACGCATGCGGATTTTGTTGAAGTGGGGAGATGATGATGAGATATATGGTAAGATGAAGCAGAGATACGAAATTGGACAAGTATGCAGGATGAGAGAAGAGGTTGATGTGAAGTACGCATGCGGATTTTGTTGAGTGTATGGGTCAAAGTACAGATAAGATATGAGTATGGACTCTGGTAAGAGCAATGTCGATGGAGTGATTGAATTGATGGAAGCCATGCATTAAATTGAGAATGTAAATTGGTGAAAATTGAAATGGTGCATGTACGAGGTGTTGACACAATCCGTGTGTGGATTATGTTGATGCGGATACAAGTAATATTATTATAGACGCAATCCGTGCGCGGAATTCATCTCTCCATACCAAATCCGTATGCGGAATTCATCTCTCCATACCAAATCCGCATGCGGAATTCATCTCTCAAGGCCAAATCTGCACACGGATTTTATTGAATTGATAAGTGATGATGGAACGAACATTGGAGGTTGTCAGATGTGGTAGTTGATTGGTGGCAGTCTTGACATAATTGTGAATATCTGTGTCTCACTAGCAGTAGATAGCGTGGGTCACCGAGAGATGGTTAAAGAGTGTTATATTTGCTCATATATACTGTATTATGTATAGGACAGAATGGATAGAGATATATATATATATTCTTTGGTATTGCATTATACCCGTAGAGGCCGAATGTGGTTAGGGTTACATTGATGGCGATGTGGGCGAAGGATGGAGATGGTGAAGTTGGACGTGGTGAGGAACTGTTGAACTGACCTTCACTGATCTTGACCGATAGGAGATGTCAGGCAAACGAAACACAGGCAAAGCGAAGAGCAGGAGGCGGAGTAGTAAAGGGAAGATGAAAGCGAGGAGAGGCCGAAAAGAGGTATGTCGGATAGAGATTTCAGTGGATAGAATGAGTACTGATAGGAACGGTGAGGACAGATGGAAGAGATTAGAGAAGAGATAGTGGAGAGTGTGAGCAGAGAGATGATGGAGTCAGGAGAGGTAAGTAGATGAGGATTTGTGTGATTGATTGGAGAGCTGGGGCTGATTGATGAGAATGGATGCAGGCAGAGATAGACGGCAGACAGATAGCAGGGACGCCAGAAGTAGTTGATGCTCGAAAGATGGTGGAGAAGATAAGGAAGAGACGGCAGAGAGGAGTGAAGAGTACAGGAGAGGTGCGTAAAGAAAGCAGTGGGTGAGAGGAGACTGATTGTGATAATACTGCAGGGGGTTGAGTACGGGAGAGTGAGTGAGGAGATGATGAAAGCGGTAGTGATGCACAGTGCGGCAGTGGAGGGATTCCTGGGATACGGATTGGCAGTTGTTGTGGGATCGGGGGATCGGATGGTGTCTCGGCGGGGAGTTTCATCAGAGGTCCAGAAGAAGAGGGTATATTTTGAGGTTGAGGAGATTGGTGAGGGGCGAGTTGATTCGGAGCGGGTTGAGGAGTTGGCGAGAAGCTTGCGAGAAGGAATGGGGGCGGAGTACGTGAAGAACCGAATTGCGATTGGGGTGTATGCGAAGGAGTTGAAGGAGGAATGTCTGAGGAATGAAGTTGTGGATGTTGGAAAGCTGAAGTATGTGGAAGGGAAGGGTGGGGAGGGGAGGATTGGGGGAAAGATGTGGGTAGTGAATGGAAAAGAATACGGAATGGCTTGGGCGAAGTGGGACGATGAACTGTGTGGTGAAGCGGAACGGCTGGAAGAGGTGATGGGTGAGTATGGAGAGGGAAAGCGAGAGTATGACGAGGAGTACGATAGGGCAGAGAAGAGAGTGAGGGAGATTGAGATGACGGTTGGGAAGTACGGGACATGGGTGGTGGAGGTGTTTGACGAAAGTGAGTATTCGGGGAGTTCTGTGGAGGGAGAGAGAGCTAACGAAAATGGGATTTGATTCTGCAGGGAAGGTTGAAGGGCGGGTGGGGCTTGGAGAGTATTTGGGATGGAAAGATCGGAGGGAGAGGGTGGAGGAAATGAGTGGGGAGCGAATGACGCGTGCATTCAGGAAGGTGATTGAGAAGTCGAAGGAGTTGAAAGATTTGGGAGTTGAGGCAGGAAGCTCGAAATGGAATGAGGGCGTAAAGAAGGTGGCATGGGTGAAGGAGAAGAAGTGGAGGGAGGTGTTGAAGGATGAGGAATGGATAGAGGTGATGTCGCGATTGTTGGAGTTTGAGTATTTCTGGAGTGGAGGAATATGGATGGGAGGGATGGAGGAGTACGATGTGAAGACGATGTGGGGTGGGGTAAGTGATTGCGATAGGAAAAAGAAAAGAGAGAGTGCTGACCAGGCATGACATTGTTGCAGGTGATACTGCATATGGTGAGAACGGCAGTGAAGGAGCTGGAGGACCTGTGTCGAGTGGGATTTATGAGTAGAGAGGAAAGGGTTCGGGATGTGTTGAGGGAATGGGAGGAGATCTCAAGGCGAAAGAAAGGGCTGTTGGAAGGAGAAGAGTTGGATCTGGAGACCCGTATGCGGGTGATTGATATTGGGGAGGTGGGAGAAGAGATCCGGAGGGATTGGGGCACGACGAAGATTGATGCGTCAAGATACGATGGGTTGGCTCTGGAAGAGATTGACAAGACGTGGTGGGAGATCTTCGAGTTGAGGAAGGAGGGAGGGCTTGCGAGGTATGAGAGCTGGATGGAGGCTCGGAAAGAGTATTGGGATGAGGTTCGGGGGATTATGAGGAAGAGGTGGGTAGAAGGAGGGGGGGTTGATGAGGCGGAGTGTTCGAGCAGGCTTGCACGGCTTCAGTGGCATGAAGGGCAAGTGTATCCGGCGACAGAGCTGCTGACGACGGGGTACATGATACGATCTGTGGAAGAGTTCTCAGAAGCGAGTGAAGCGATTCAATTGGTGAGTGCTATGATGCATTGAAAGGGTTCGAAGTGAAATCCGCATGCGGATTTTGAAGTGTATGGATGAGGCAAAATCTGCATGCGGACTTTGTCGACGACTGCGCGATGAGCCACATGTGAGAGGAGATGAACGAAATCCGCATGCGGAGTTTGTCAGCACTTGGGATCATGAGACAGGATGTAGGGAAGTGAGAGACGAACTCCGCGCATGGATTTGGTTGCGAGATGACATATGTGATTGTGCTTGGTGGAGTTGATCGCTAATGAGGGGATGATTGGTTACAGGTTGGGCTGATGATTGAACCGATGCTGCCTTACATTCAAGGGCAGCAGAAGCATGGATATGATACAGCTTGGCACTCACTGAGAACGGTGCTTGGAAACTCGAAGAATTGGGTATCAGATACATGGGAGAAAGTGAGTATGAGCGGAAGTCTGAAGCTGCATTTGAATGTGATTCTGATGCATGGACATACAGGTGATGGCATTCATGCTGACAAATAGCAGATTTCTTGAGGGCGTGCAGGAGTTACTGAGGTGGAACGTTCCTCGGGCATTGGTGAGGCTGATTCATGTCACACGAGCTGAGGCGAAGGCATTTCTGGCACGGGACGACGAGTCGCTGATGAAGGATGGCCTATTTGGCATGTTTCTGGACCCTGAGGGGAATATACGCACGATGGCCGGGATGAGGGAGCAGGTGAAGAGGGTGCAGGGGTATTTAGATTCGGAGATGAGAAGAGGGGGAGCGCCATTCATGAACATGACGGCGGAGGATCAGCACTGGATTCCCGAGGTTATATTGGCTAAAGGAACGAATGAGCCATTCTGGGTCAGCGCGGGGGGGACGACATACCAGAAGAACAACAAGGCGGCAGCGCCAGTAATGGTGGTGACATTTGCGATGATGGCGGCAGTATTGGGAGAGATTGGTGGAGAAGAGACATTTATGGAGATATTGGAGATGCTTCATGATGTTCTGAGGCAATGTTGGAAGGACGGCAGAGAGGAATATGTATTCTGGTTCGAGGGAGAACTTCCGAAGATATCGAAGGAGTATTCGAAAGGGGTGGAAGGGAGGAAAATCATGATGGGGTTGTTGGATGAGGCATACAGGGGAACAAATAAGAGGTGGAATGCGGAGACGCTTGAGTTGAAGATGGAAGAGTATAGTCAGTGTATGGGAGGATTGGCGAAGATGAGGGAAGCGTTTGTGGAGAGTGGTGCAGGGGACTTCAGGTGGAAGGGTGGGTCGATTGAGTATGAGGTGGAGTTTCACTGGAATGAGCTGTGTCGGGTGAGGGTGCATGCTGGATTGATGGTGATTGAAAAGTGCTAACTTGGATAATGTGATGAACAGGGGGCCATTGGGAACTTGGGACGGCGATGGTTTAGGGAGGTGCAGGAAGGCAATGTTGCGCATCTGCGGGTGCGACCGTACAAGGTGCCTGTGCCATTGTCAAGAAAAGTTGAAGAGGACCGGATGTCGACGTCGAATGTGAATATGTATGAGATGGTTGTGAGGGCAGTGCGAGGTACGTGTATTTGGTATTGAATTGATAGAGAGTATTAAAGTGATTTGTATAATACAGGGCATGAGGAGGTGCCAGTTGGAGTTGGAAAGGACTGTACGGATCCATGGCTGGACCCGTCGTACCGTGAAGAGTACATGGTGGGGGCAAGAGGAGAGCTATGGTTGGAACAATGTAAAGTGGATAAGGAGAAGAGTGTGCAGGGGAGAGAAGAAGGAGGTAGAAGTGGAAGAGAATTGATTGTGGAGGAAGGGGAGAGAGAGGAGAATGTAGAGGATGAGGAGAGGAAGAGATTGGGGAAGGGCATGGAGAGGGGGGATTCAGATGAGGTGTCGA